TCTAGGTGGATGGACAGAACCGCAAAGCACAATCAGTTTAAGAACCACATATACCTCAGCAATTTTTTCCCTGGCACATATATTCTGCTCAGTAGCTACCGTGACAAGATCATCAAGATTTTGCTTGCTTGAAGACTTCTCCATTTCCAGCATGTTTATCTTGTGGACAGAACATATCAAGTTTAAGCAAAAAGCCAAAATGGAAGAAAGAAAAGCCACTTCAACAGGCGTTTAGTTGCAGGTAAAGAATAGAAGAAATGCACCTTCTCTTGGAGTTGCTTAATGAGAAGAATAGCTTCTGGATCCCTAAGATGAACACCGTTTTCATCCCAATGTGCATTTCCAACGATTTGACAATCTAAATGCTTGCATTTTGCTTCACCAGATATACCATCTTCACCCAACTTTGCCTTAAGGAACTCAATTTGTATGTCGTTGATGATTCTCTATTGAAAGGTGTGGAAAAATAAGAAATAGAAAATACAGACTACTGATGTTGAAAAGGAGAGGCCATTACCTCGGTTTCATATTGCAAGAAAAGATCCTCATATTCCCTTTGAATTTTGTCTAACTCGCTTTCAACCTGTAAAAGATTAACATAATGCCATTGCCAGCTTTACAATAAGAAAAACACAAAGATATATTCAAAAGAGGAAGACTGACCACTATGGGAGTTTTCTGCCTGCTTGGTGGTTTCTTTCTGCTAGTCACATGCACTAAAGCACATGGATCTGGGAGTGCAGAATCTTCAAGGGTTTCATCGATGCTATTTTCATCTTCCTCGCTGATGTTATATAAAGGTTCGTTTTCTACCAATTCCGAAAATGGAAGTAGTGGACCTGTCTCGCGCTCGGATCTAGAAGATTTAAGAGAAGACCCTCTTGACAAAACATTAGACTGAACCTGATAAGCAAAAAGCAAAGTACTTAAATGGCTTAAAAAGTCAACATTTTCTCATGTTTGGGTTGGCCATTTTATACAATATTCACCTCTGATGTGGAGTCTCGTGAAAGGTGACCAGTACACCATGTATCCCTCCTCTTTCCCTGCAAGTAAATAACATATCATACATAAGAAGAGATAGGAAGCAAATGCAACGACAATATGTAACAAAATTCTCTCAACAGTGCCATCCTAATGTTTTAAAGAACAACAGCATTCAGCAACAATACGCTGCGATCATTAAAATTGACTAGTCTAGAATTAGGTGAAAATTCACATATCATCTTTCCATAGTTCCGTAATTTGCAGTTTTGCAATAAATATATCACGCCTAGCAAATGCTGTTTTAAACTGTTAAGGGATCGAAAAATAAATGGACAGAAGAAACAGGACAAGAGAACCTTCTTAAAGTGATCCTGCTCACGCTTCTCATCTCTATTCGAAAAGAGAACCATTGAACTCAAGTTCTTAATCTTCTTTGCTTGCTCCTGCAATACTTTTTCCCTCTGAGCTTGTGCCTTCTTCTCCTCTTCTAACTCGAGGGCTATCCGCTCTCTCTCTAATTCAGACTGCCGAAAAACAGGTTGTATCAATAACATAATTAAAAACTCAACAAATGAGGAATCAAGTACACAAATGCCAAACCTTCAACAAGGTGTTGCGCAAGTTAAGGATCTCTTCTTCCGAATGGTCAGAGTGAGAAGCCTGTAATAGAAAAGGTGATATTTTACGCGAAATGGAAACATAAAAGATAACTTTGAGAAACAAAAATTGAAAACAATTTAGCAACCTTTAGTTTGAATCTGAGCTCTTCTATCTCCTTCTTTTGGCGCTTTAATAGAGCAGCATCAGTCAATATCTAAATCATAAACACAAGAATGGATTGGATATTAGGCTTTAAGAAAGTGCACATCTTATATACCAAACTTAATCAGGAAGTATATTACACAGATAGAGAGAATAAGCGCAAGATGATTTGGATCCTACCTCATTGACATGCGCACAGTTGGTGACACGCAGTGCTCGGCTAGCAAATTGAAGACTGCTCTTGGTTTCATCTGCATGAATCTGACATCAAACAAAAATAACATTGTTAGTTGTACAAAAGCAAACAGAGAGAAAATTGTAGACTGCTCTTTCATCTGCATGGCTTATCCTAATGTCATACTATTGGTGATTAATACATACCGGTGCAAGTGTTATATTACATATGATAGCTGTATTTGCATTTCCACCTAAAGCGGGTTGCAAAATCCTTGTAAGCTTGCTGTCTCGGTACGGAACATGACCACTGATTCAACCAAAGAAAATGTTAATAAGATGATAGACATAATCATTATGTACCATATGCTTTTATCCCTAACGAAACAAGGCCAACAAAAAAAACTTACCCTTGATTTTCAACTCCTTCACTCAGTTTTTTAATTACAGTCCCGAGTGTCATCAAGCTTTTGTTTATATGTGAGCCCTCCTTCAGCCTAACACCCTCTGCGCCGGTTTTTGCAGCGCGTTCTGAACCAGCTAGATCCACCAAATTCTATCAAATGAAAAGAAAGATGAAATACAAGATAATATGATGCATACAAAGGGAACAAAAACACTAGTTCCAACAGATAATACCAGAACAGAAACACGGACTGCGTCACAGGTATTTCCAACACCTTCATCTTGCGTCTTCTGTCTGCTTTCTATAATCTGTTAGATGAAAAAGCTGGCAAGTTAAAATTCATCCTACATTTAATTGAGTACTAAGGTTGAGTATATATATATATATATTTTTACCATGCGGAAAATAGTGTGGGATCTACTACTGTAAAGATTCATATTTGTCTCCCCGATATGCCGATGAGCTGAAATTTTATTCCAAAGACAAAAGAAGATCCATTCAGAAAACCAATTTTAGCAAAAACCGGGATTGAGACAGAAGATTAATATCGGGAGATGCATACAAATGCATGTGCACGGATTCAGAAACACACAAAAAACTATGTTTGGAATAATGTGAAGAGAAGAGAAGTTACATTCTCCAAACTCCATCATTTCAAGGACTTGTTGAGGGGAAGCGACAATTTCTTCTCGTAGTCCAGCAACAAATATTCCTTTCTACAATTGAAAGAATAAAACACATCAGAATCGCTAGAGACATTTGTTAAAATGGGATTCTAAGAAGACATATATGTACCTCCAGATTTTCATGAATCTGCAGTTTTCGGTGTTCAGGAGCCAACAGATCATTTATTTCTTCGTTATAGATCTCCAGGTACGACATACGCAACAGAAACTCTCTGCTTGCATCCTTGGGGAGGGTCAAAGAAAAAGGAAAAACCGTTGCTCCTCGAATCAAATAACTTTACACAAATAACACCTAATCTACAAACATTTAGACACACAAAGGGTAAGAAAAGTTTGGGACGAACTTGGTAGATAGTGTCAAACAAATCGTGAACAGCAAGAGGGATGACTCCAGGTTCAATAGGTGAGCCTCGCATTGTGTGCGTCTTGCCACTGTTAGTTTGCCCATAAGCAAACACGGTTCCTTCAATCGAAAAACAGATATGATTAGCCAAATCGAAAAGCTCAGCGCAGAATTGCCAGAAATCGAATAGCTGAGTCAATCAGCTAAACCCATCAGAGTAATCGACTATTTGCTGAGTTTACCGTTGAATCCACGAACGGCGGCACCCACAATCGCCTTCGTCCGTGCTTCATACACTTGGACGGTTTTACAATCTTCTTTAAAAATCCTATCTGTTGTTGCGAGAGATAAATTGGGCATGAAAATTCGAAGCAGAAGAAGGAGATGGAAAGAGAAAATGAGGAGAATGACAATTGAAGAAAAAGAGTACCAAATTCGAATGAGGGAGAAGGGTGATTGGGCATGAAAATTGAGTCCGAAGAGATCTTCCACGGACTCGTCTTCGCGTCCTCCGTCGAAAGTGGTCGCGCTCTGACTGAAACATGGATTCTCTCCATTCTCCGACTCCGGCTATCTTCTCCGGCGAACAAAGACCTAAAACTCGGGTGTTCGAAATTTTCCCTCCCTCTCACTAACCTGGTTGACCTTTAAATTTTTCGAATTTTGAAGACCGGATCGAACCGGTTGATTAATAAAATAAACCAGAAGAGAAATCGTTCCCGTTCACTGCGTTCGTTACTTTAATGCAAGTATTTTAAAATTTTAGCGCTCTTTGGATATTCAGTAAATTGTAATTATATCCTAAAAGGGTTAATTTGGATGTTATGTAGGTTTGGTTGGATAAATCGGTCGATGACATGCAGATAAATTATTTATTTTGATGGGTTTAAGACTTTAGGTTTATCTAAACGCTTATTTTTTTTCAGTTTGAGTAGAATAAGCAGATAAACTAAATTTAATCATTTTCAAAGACTAAAGAACTATTACATAACATACACACAATAGTGTTATTTGTTCATCAACAATGTACAATCGACAGATTTTAAGAACTATATATGATACATCGATGATACTACTAGAAAGTACTAACATTAAGCCATATGTCATTTGTTTTATATAGAGTTTTTGTACCAAATCACATATGTAGTTCTGATGAGTTCAAAATTCTATCAGTTTGGGTATTATTTGTCCAAGCGTTGCAGATGTATTTATTTTAACTTATTAATTAGTCTACTATCTGGCAGCAACATGTGTATCTATCATGTTCTGCCGTCTTTTACAAGCGTCTTTCAACATGGATAAATAGGAGACTCTTCACCACGAATTCTGTCTAAGAGATATGGCTGCTAGCTTCTTAGAGACTTGACAAATGAAAAAACACTTTCCAATTTCCATTTTCAACTACGCTTTTGACTACATCAACGAAAAAGGGTTTTTCAATTTCCAATTTACTATTTATATTATTAATTTATGTACCTTAATTTATTATATTTTAGCCTCGTCCCCAAGAAATTAGGGTGTTCTTTGTAAACGATGCAAAGCTGTTTTCGGATACGTACAGAAGATATATGGGAGAAGCAGCTACGCACTGATGCGACTCCTACTCGGTTTCTTTGGCGCAGCCGTAAAAGATCTGACAAAAATGGAGGAGGTTGGAGTTTTTTTAGCATAATTCTTTTTGAAGATTCTGCAGGTGGAGGAACAGTGAGGATGTGTCAGGTCTTACACGTGAGAGAAATCTCGCAACCAAGGGGACATGACATAATTAACGAGAGATGTAAATTTTTGTTTGATTGTGAGTAACAACAATGTATTGGAAAACAATCAATCACTATCAAAATATAGTTTGCTTCTCACTAGCGTCAATTCATTACTGTAATAAAAGGAAATATTAACAACTCATTACAAGTAATCAAAGAAAAAGGAAATTGTGAAAAAAAAAGCGAAAGAGAGAAGAAAAGCAAAGAAAAAGGAAACCGTAATAAAAAAAGAATATTAACATATTACTTTTGTTTAGAAACACGGTTATCTATATATAAATAGAGTATTAGGCTAAAGAGTTATACAAATTACAAAGAGAAGAAAGAAAGAGTCAGAGAAAGGTAGGTTTTAAAAGAGAAATACTTGAAAATCCGGGGCCAAAAGGTAAAAGAGAACCCATGAAGGAATCCTCTCTCAAGCGTAAGGCCGAGTCCGACCCGGCGGAGGAGACGGAAGAGAGCGGCGATGAGATGGATGACGTTGATAATAGGCCGCCGTGGTGGAACCCCCCTGAATGGGGTTATGACAGCTACGACGAGGCCGAGTATCATTCTGAAGAGAGGACTTTATTTGACGATCCAGAGCGTGAAAGAGAATGGTGCCGCTGTAAACACCAGCTCTTCGACAGTAAGGTTGGACTTTCAACTTATTGATTGAGAGTGATGCTAATATTACCTGGATAAAGATTAGAGTTAGTTAACTAGCTTGTTCTGTGTGTACTTTAGGGGTTTTACGTGGAGCCAGCGCTTATGCAAGTATGCAGAAACTCACGAGTCATACCAGTCACTGATTTTGAAGCCAAGGCAGGTCACGGTCAAACCAACCGCGAGTTATTTACAGATATGGTTAGCGTCTGCCTCCAGAGATACAACCAAGAGAAGGTTTGTACTTACCACATTCGTTTTCTCTTACTCTCTATATACATCTGTCTTTAACAAAATTGCTTTTTCTGTTTCTGAAGGGATTGAATGTGGAGTTTGTGGAAGTGGTGAGAGCTCTGTATTCAAGAGGACCTAGATGGCAGTCGTATATTACCTTTCAGGCACGGGAGAAACCTGATGGCCCTCTTGTCCCTTACCAGGCTAAGGTCTTGTCTGGCTTTTCTAAAGGCCAGCACTTTCCCATCCTATGTAGACCCGAAAAGCCGTGAGACAAGGTTATGTTTTTGGACCCAAGCTAAAATTTATGTCATATACATTATGGTATTCGGTCATCCTCTACAGATATAGAAATATCTCAACGAAAGTTGTTAGTGAGAGAATTCTTAATTCACACTACGGGGCTGATCCACCGAAGATCATATGATTCGAGAGTTAAATTGCTGAATTGTTTTTCTCTTTCTTCTCCTTTGTCAGGTCCTGTTGGTTTGGTGTATGCATGCAGGGGATGCATATGATGATGGAGTTTGTTAAAGTTCATCCAATCGTTCGTTAAATTATCTAGGGGCTGTGTAATAATCTAGAATACTCGGTCTCGGTTGTTTATGTTCTTTATATTTATAGACCTAATTAAGTGTTTGTGATCTATCTATCTGTCTCGGTTTTTAAGGATGATTTGATTGTTTTTCATCTCTATGCATGAGTAGAGAGGGCCATATATCATGAAAAATAACCACACAACAACTAAAATATCTTTGACTCGTAAGCCTACCTAAGATGATTATTAGAAAATAAATAGAGTGGTTAAAGCCGAGCTCATAGATAAAACAAATCCCTGAAGTAGATCATCGTCCTCCCAACACTGCCGAGAGAGTGAGCCTGTAAAAAAAAAAAGGTGTTGTGGACTCGGTAACTTCATCGTAGTAGAGTCTGAATTGGATCAGGGACATTTATTCCTTGTGGTTCATACATACCTGAATTTCATTAAGATGCAAATTCTGTCATACACTAGCATCAACTTCATGAAATATGGAACACGGATGTAATTGGTTATTTAAATGAATCTAATGGAGATCCGGTTTCCAAATATAGAATCTCTATTGCAGGTCTACAAGCATTAAGTTATACAAGCAGCTGCTGGTTTTGATGTTATATATTGAGCGGAATTTTATAAATAAAACTTGCAACAATTATACAAGGGAAATATCGAGCTTAATCATAGATTAAAATCCTATTTAAAAATATTTCCCTTATATATTTGTTGCAGGCTTTATTTCTCCTATTTATAGCTGCATGGTTGCTTTTCACCATCTACTGTATATAGCTCTAAAAATTGAGATGATAGTGAAAAGTTCATATAATATTGGTAATATAGAGATATAATATTATTGGGGAAACAATTGAATATTTTACACAACAGAATAAAGTATACAATAATTCTGTTTGAACGTAAACTTGCCGAACAACAAACAAATTATGTAGAAAAAGTTTTTTTTTTATAATATTATTCCAATATCTAAAAATATTTGTTTATTAACCTTTTTATATGACTAGTTTCCAAATATATATATATATATATATATTCACAATTACTCATGATTAATAAAATTCCGCTAACAAATGTTAGGATATCATAGTTGATAACTGTCATATGTTTGTAACTTGATTTTTACTGGTTCCATATGATTAAACCTGAAATCTCTATATATATCGAGTTTGTAAATTCTGTTATCCAAAAGATCCTTCAAACACGCAGCTAAAAGTAAACAAAAGAAAAAATCGCACGTATTCAAAAGTCATTCGCCTTTTTAATTATATACTGTGTTAAAGTTTACCAAGTAAATGATAAATTTTGAAAATAGAATTATTTAACTGTGAAACACGATAAAGCTCACTAGGAAACTTCCAGGAAGTTGCCAATGGGTAACTCACACTTCTTGACTGCCATTTAAACCCCTCCACTTTCTCTCCTTCCTTCTCCAATCAAATCTTATTTTCCGCAATGAAACTCGCCAAATTCAATCCAAAAGGTTTCTTCAGATCCAAGGATCGATCCACGGTATCCAAATCCAGTTCATCGTTTGGATCCGCCTCTTCTTCCTCGTCCGGCGCCGACTGTAAAAATTCCTCCGTCGTCACCGGCGGCTCCGTCACGCCGACTAGCATTCTCCCGGAGGTCTCCGGCAATCCCTCTCCCTACTCGTACGTCGAGATCCTCCAGGCTTTTCAGCTGATCGACAGAGACAACGATGGAGCCGTCTCGAGACACGATCTGGAGTCGCTGCTTAGCCGGCTCGGTCCTGATCCACCGACCAAGGAGGAGATCAGCGTCATGCTCAAGGAGGTGGATTGCGACGGAGACGGTACGATCCGCTTGGAAGAGTTGGCCAGCCGAGTCGTGTCCTCGGATCGTTCTCGCGACTCGACCGAGCTGAAGGAGACGTTCGAGTTCTTCGACGCGGATCGCGACGGTATGATCTCGGCCGAGGAGCTTCTCCGTGTTTTCTCAGCCATCGGAGACGAGCGGTGCACGTTAGACGATTGCAAGCGCATGATAGCAGCGGTTGACGACGACGGTAACGGATCCGTATGCTTCGCTGAGTTCTCTCGGATGATGGATCTTCAGCGATGATGATCTCCCTTAGCTCTTCTTCGTTTTGTTCCCGTTCTCTTTTTGTTCTTGTTCTTGTGTTTGTTGATGAGCCTCTTTTTGCCCTAATTTTAGGGTTATGAGTATCGTTTGTTTCTTGAGAATCAGGGTTCTTAGAGTTGATGTCTATAATCTGGCATTTTAACGAAGAAATGGTGCAAAATGAGACTGATCTTCTCCACTTACTTCTATTTGTGTTTACATTACTAATTTATTTATTTCAAGATTCTAACTTAAGTGTTTCCTAAGATGAATTAAAGTGATATTACCAAAAAAGAAAGATGAGTTAAAGTGAATTTTAAATTCTGAGAAAAAAAAAATCTATGTTTAAATTACAAGATCTTACCATTTCTTCAATTTTAAAAAGAAATATGCATTAGATTTGAGAATTGACAGAGTTTGCAGCTTTTTAGTTAATTGTCGTTTTTGGAAACAAGTGTTTTTAGTTAGTTAATTCATTTATTTACACCATTAATAGAAATTGAGAACATGTGAAGCATCAGAAGTTTTTAATACTATATGAAAAGAAAAACAGCGGTCCAATTTGTCAGATTCTTAAAGGCATGCTCTTTGGTTTGGCTGCTTTGATCATAAGATTCTTTTTCTTGTACCATCTTTGTCTACTGCCTTTATAAAATATAATACATTGTACTAAAAAAATTATCATACAAAAGAAAGAACATGGCTCACATTTACCCTCCTCTCTCTATCCATAATAATTACGCCTTTTACTTTAAAAAATAAATAAATAATTATCTCTGGTGTAAACAGTTAAATCTATTAGTTACTAGAGAAATAATACATTGTATAAGTCAAAGATGAATCTAGAGCAGATAGTCAAAAATGGTCTTAATATTAAAAAAAAAATGGTCTTATTATCGTTATTACTAAAACAAACGTAACTTTGCGTACGAATATAAATGAAAATGATCAAGAGCTGGGGGATGATGAAGAAGGAGAGTGATTAGGAGTGGTGGTGGGAGGAGCAGGAGGCCTGGTGGGAGCAGGAAGCTTTTTAGCGAAACAGCTACAATATCCGTTGTAACAAATCGGCATCTTCCCTGTGTTTTTACATCTTGGAATCCCAATGTCCACACAATCTTGGTCTGTTTTACATATATCTCCAACACTCGTTGTTACCATGCCTGTTACAGTATTTTTAATGTATGTAACACACAACAACAAAAATGATTAGATCATATAATATGATAAGAGTCGGTTGATATCCAAAAACTAAAAGTGTTTTCATAAATACTTACACGATGAGACGAGGAATAGAATGATGAAAAATGCTGACATTTTCTCCATTTTTTTTTTTTTTTGCTAATCTAATTTACTGTACTTAGAATTTTAAAATGTTTGATTGGAGATGATTTTGGGATTCATAGGTGTACCATGTATTTATACAACGTGATTGGTGGGCTGGTGTCGTCCAAGTCAATTATCTACATTTCCAATATAAATTGGTCAAAAATCTAAGCATTCCTTTACTGTTTTGTCAACAAATTATTATAATTCAACCTCTGTGATTATGTTTCCGAAATGTTAATGATTAGAATATTATTTAGAGATTACGTCCGAATTACTATGGCAACATAATCTATCCGGATAATAATAAAACCTATCTTGCTTTTTTAAATCGATCCTCCGTACCGATATAAAATCATCTTTGATAATAAAAAAGAAATAAATTAAATAAAATGAAAGTGTATTCGGATATGACAAAAAGACATACACGTGTGTGATGCATCCGATGTTCGAAACCGAAATTAAAATTTGGGGGAGTTTTTTTTTTTTTTTAAATTAGAAAGAGAAATCTGCTTACGATTTCATAGAAGCAAGAAGGTGAAAAATTCTCAGAGGTTGAGCTCTGCTTACAATTCATAGATTGTTGAATCCGAAAGTAAAGTATACTAACCGAATCCCGAGGAAGACGAAGGAAGAGCTAAAAGTAGAAGAAGGAAAGGAACTAAGAAGAATAAAGAGTAAGAGAAAACAATGGGAGTTTTGGGTGCAGCGAGATCGGGGAAGACGATAATGGTGGCTCTGGTTCTGATGGTTGGATCGTTTTACGCTGGCTCTCTCTTCGGTAACAACCAACTCATCTACGTCTCTCAAGCTTCTTCTCAATCTGGTCTGTTCTCTCTCTTCTTCATTATTCAAAATTTTCTCTGCATGCGTTTCGATTCATAATTGATCGATTCTCAAATCGAAGAACAGTAATATAATTTAACAAATTAAATGTGGGATTTTGCAGCTCCCTTCAAGTTTACAAACAAAATCGAGCTTACTCACCGAAGATTACCGCTAGTGATACCCGAAACTGGGATGAATGTGTGCCCATTGAAGTTCAACGAGCACATCCCTTGTCACAATCTCACTTATGTGCATCAGCTGCTTCCGAGCTTAAACGTCTCTAGAAGAGAAGAGCTCGAGATGCATTGCCCGCCACTTGAGCAGCGCCTGTTCTGTCTTGTGCCTCCACCAAATGATTACAAGTTACCTGTAAGATGGCCAACAAGTAGAGACTACGTGTGGCGAAGTAATGTGAACCATACGCATCTCGCTCAAGTTAAAGGTGGGCAAAACTGGGTCCATGAACATGGGGAGTTTTGGTGGTTCCCTGGTGGTGGTACTCATTTTAAGCATGGAGCTTCTGAATACATCCAGAGGTTTTTACTTTATATGCTTCTTCTTTTTTTTAATTTTTGTTAATGTTCCATTGATTTCATCTGTTGCATCTCCCTGAATCTTGCGTGTGTATGCTCAGGTTGGGTAACATGATGACTAATGAAACAGGAGACTTGCGTTCAGCTGGAGTTGTTCAAGTTCTTGATGTTGGCTGTGGAGTTGCCAGCTTTGCGGCTTATCTTCTTCCTTTAGGGATCCAGACGATGTCTTTTGCTCCCAAAGATGGTCATGAGAACCAGATTCAGTTTGCGTTGGAGAGAGGGATCGGTGCTATGATATCCGCTTTAGCCACTAAACAGTTGCCGTATCCTGCAGCCTCGTTTGAGATGGTTCATTGTTCGAGATGCCGTGTTGATTGGCATGAAAATGGTAATGTACTTCTTGTGTTGAATTTGGGCTAAAGAAGCTGACTTGATGCTTGCACTGATAATAGCTCTGTGTTGGGATTGGTTTCCACTTTTGTTTCTGCAGATGGCATATTACTTAAAGAAGTTCATCGTCTTCTCCGACCTAAAGGATACTTCGTGTATTCATCACCACCAGCTTACAGAAAGGATAAAGAGTATCCTATGATTTGGGATAAGTTGGTTAATCTAACTGCCGCAATGTGCTGGAAGCTCGTTTCTCGGCAGGTACAGACTGCGATATGGAATAAAGACGAGAACGAGGAGTGCCTTGCGAAGAATGCAGAGCTTAAGCTTATAAGTTTATGTGATGTGGAAGATGTTTCGGAACCATCATGGAAAGTTCCTCTCAGAGATTGTGTGCAAATCAGTGGACAAACACAAGAGAGACCCTCTTCTTTAGATGAACGTCTTTTCTCGTATCCAGCAACTCTAAGAAGAATAGGTACATTTATTTCCTCTGCTCTATTTTATTGTAGAGGCGGCGTTATGTTTTTTGTTGGATTCCCTAACCACTTAAAAGGCAAAACTTTCATCAGGAATCAGCGAAGACGAATACACATCAGACGCTGTGTTCTGGAAAGAGCAAGTTAATCATTACTGGCGGATAATGAATGTCAATGAGACTGAAGTGCGGAATGTGATGGACATGAACGCATTCATCGGTGGGTTTGCTTCCGCTATGAACTTGTACCCTGTTTGGGTAATGAACATCGTACCTGCCACCATGAATGATACCTTGTCTGGAGTTTTCGAGAGGGGCTTAAATGGTGCTTTCCATGATTGGTAAGCTTGTTCAAAACCCCCCTTTTATTATTTGTTTTTGTTTGCAGTGTCCTTGCCAAGCATCAACACCGCTTAAATAAGTAAGAAATGTCTTAGGTGTGAGCCGTTCTCAACGTATCCGCGCACGTACGATTTGCTGCATTCTGATCATGTCTTCTCTCATTACCAAAGCCATGGAGATGGTTGTTTGCTAGAGGATATCATGCTTGAGATGGACCGCATACTTCGCCCTCAGGTACGCCCTTTTGGTCTCTATCAGATCATCTTTTCTTGACCTGGTCAAGTGATAATGAGGGTTTTGGGATCTGGCAGGGGTTTGTCATTATAAGGGACGAGGAACCTATAATCTCAAGGATCCGAGAGTTGGCTCCTAAATTCCTTTGGGAAGTGGAAACTCATCAGTTGGAAAACAAATACAAGAAGACAGAAACTGTTCTGTTTTGCAGAAAGAGATTCTGGGCAATCATCTGAAAAGAACAGCTTATAGTTCCACATAGAAGCAAAACCGCAGCTTTGTTTGTTCTGTACTCTCTTGAGTGTAAAACAGAGAAGGTGGTGAAACGCTGCTTTTGTTCGTTTATTGATTTTAGGATGTCTCTCTGTACATATTTTTGCAGCAAAAGCTAACAATTTTTCCATATATCTCCTATCTTCATAATTCGTTAATTTGTTTCTGAACTAATCAACCTCGATAATTACATACATATATGATTTGGTACTGGTTCAATCCAAAATCAATCAAAACCAGATTGAAACTGAAATGCTTTTAGGATAACTTTATACAACAAACATAAACATTGAGGTCCTGGCTTAACAAATAGAAAATGTACTGTACTATGAGACCCATCTGTTCTCGTAACGGTTAAGCGAGAACGGTGAAGATTGAACCTCGGTTAACTGAAAAGGATCCGGTTCGATTCCATAGTCCGTTAACGGTCTATGCTCGAGCACATTGTCGTGGTTGTTCACAAAGTCGGGAATTTCCACCTCGCCTTTCTTTATCTCGTCCCAAAGGTACTGCAACCTGCTCACATACTTGATCTTCCAGTACAGTCTGCAATGTTGAAAGAGACATTATTTGATCAAAAAAACAAATCCAGAACCTGCAACTGTTTCAAGTTACTTTAACCGATAAGAGATTATTATATGTAGTGTTTAGATCACGAAAGTTTGGGTTCAATATCGATTATGTAACTTTGAGGTTACTTAATAATCTAGTGATGCGTTTTAAGAAAAAAAAAAGCTTTACCCTCCACTTAGAAGAAGGCGACCAAGAGTGGCAATGACGAGTCTTGAACGAAGACCAGGGTGGATGAAGTAAACAACTTGAAGTCTGTCTTTGATGTCTGAAGGAAGGTCCTCGTAAATCCATCTTAAGATGGTAATGCCCGGTGAGTTTTCATCTTTATGCACTGTGCTATGCATGTAAACCAAGCAGAAAGGTCCCTCGGGATATTCGTTGCTTATCTTCTGAAATATATACTTCTTCAGCCGCTCTGCACTCACAACACGAGCTGCGTTTCATACACACACACGCACACACACACAAAATCAATTAGAAAAGGAATCAAAATCAAAGCTTAATAGAGAAGGACGAACAAAGAAGACCAATAAGAGATTGAAACTGACATTACAACATTGTGATCATAAATGCACGAAAACGAGTTTACTGTGATTGTGAAACAGAAGCTGATAACATATAAACCGATAAACAAGATCAGACAAATGATATATCTGACTTGTTTTGATCAGCCAAATATTGTAACTCATAGAGCTTAAAAATCGGATATCTAAAGCCAGCAAGATCACCAAAAAGCAATTTAGCCTAAAACAATAGTTCATGTTCAGTGTTTCTCCGAATCGTAATTTAGTAATCGAACCAGCGAAATCAGAAAATATCCACAACCAGAAATCGGAAAAATCAAGTGTTCAAATCATCTGTATGAACTCGGAAAGATGAGAAACCATACAAGCATTTCCTTATAATATGAGAAACCATACAAGCATTTCCTTATAATCAAGTTAGCAACTTTGTCACGAAATACTTATGAATCACAATACTTTAAGACCCACTTCAACTAATATCATACCTACAATAAATCTCCACACACTCCACCATAGGAAGATAAAGTGTGAACAGGCGAATAGAGAGTCAGTGAAATTACCAGGAAAATACTTCCCGACGATGCGGAAAATCCGGTTACCGGACTTATCCAAGCCCTGGAGGGTGAAGAACTGAAGAAGATCGAGATCGGAGAAATCTTCGTCTCCGAGGTATTGAGCACAATCGTGCCAGTTCTCTTGCTCATCGACCTCATCGCTCCTCGTTAAGAACGGTCGCGCGTCAACTCCGAGATCGGAAGCTAATACAATCACCGAGAAATCTTCTGCCATCGCCGGAATTTCTCCTCCCTCTCACGATCCTTTTCTCGTTTTGGCTGGGGATTAAGGCATTAAAGGTTATACTAACCTGCGGAGGAGTACATGATAGTTTACGTGCGACGGCACACGTGGCAAAATCCAAACGAGTCTAACAGCTTTTAAAAGCCAAAAACTGCTTCTGTAGTCACTCTACACCTCCACACAAGACGCGGCCAAACGGCGTCGTTTAAGCCTTCCGGCTAGATTTGATTTGATTCCAGGAAATCAAACCATCTGCTCAAAATTCAGCTAGAAGAAGGTGATCGGGGTTAAGCGACTGAAGATCTAGAGGTGAAAACAATGGCGGCTTCGCGTTTACAGATGGAAGGAGATGACTCTGTACTTTTACGCGTTACTCACTCCAACCTCAAGAGCTTTGGTGCGGATGTTCGTTTCTCTCCGCAAGTGAGTCTCATTTTAAGACACAAACATCAGTACTGATTCGACTGTTTTCTTATATGTATTTGCTGTCTCTAAAACAAAAACTTTCTTTGGTTTTTGTTCTGAAGATGAATGTGGAAGCTGTGAAAGAAAAGCTATGGAAAAAATGTGGCACATCTGTTAGTGCCATGGCCTTAGAGCTGTATGATGAAAGTGGCTCAAAGGTTGCACTTCTCAGTGATGATACAAGACCCCTCGGCTTCTACTCCCCGTTCGATGAGTAAGTTCTGTTTTTTCTTTTTATGAATGGGATGAGATTTTCCAATTTCAGTACTTGACGGATTGTAAAGTTTTCTGATTTAGAGAATTTGGAGCCAATCTGACAAATGGATAAAATAGTTTTGACAAATGTTTTACCAGTTTATCTAATTGCTCTTTTGTGGTGCTTTCAATAAGGTATCGGTTACACATCATAGATCTTGATCCTTCGTCGGTCACCACTGGAGGCTGGCTTGAAGATACGTCACTGGTTGAGAAGTATACCATCTCAGAAGAGGATTATGCTAAACGAACTGGTATATTTTCTACTACCTAGGATCGGTTTTTTCTATAACCGGAGCACTTTTGCAACTTTCTCTGATGGTATGTTATTGTGTTCATATTCCAGACAGTTTTAGGAAATTCAAAGAAAAAAGAGTGTCTCAAAATCCGGCTGCTTCTGAGTCTAAGGTATGACAAAACGAATACTGTATTGATATAAGCCAAACTATAATTGCTTCTTGTCATTACTTTTGGCAAAAATGAAGCTTTTAGCATAGTCATTCAAGAATACAAAGGTTCTTATGATTTTGCTTCCAACTCAATCCTTTTCACAGACGAAGGAGAACTTCATGGAAGATCTCTGTGAAAATATTAAGGTCAGTCAGGTTCTTTTTTGTATATAGAGACTTGTCCTTGCCTCTCTGTATTATGCTTCTAATATGTTTTCTCTTGTTGTCAAATGTTTAGGTGGGAGATAGATGCCAAGTTGATCCAGGGGAGAAAAGAGGAGTGGTCAAATATGTTGGACAAGCAGAGTCGTTGGGTCCTGGCTATTGGGTTGGTATTCAGTATGATGAACCCCTTGGAAAACACGATGGCATGTATGTGAATTCTTTCTATATTATAGTCGCTAAGTTTGAACAACTCCTTCACAATTTAGAAGTAGAAGGCGTTTCTTGCTTTGTGAACCTTGATTTCATTTGCAGCTGATCTTTCTGTGCTAGTAAAACCTCTTTAAGGGTCTTCATCATGTGCTCAACATCATGATTTTCATATCAAACTTAAAACATGCCTAAGCTCGCTTGTCAGATCCACTTGTTTAACACTGGCTTATATATACAGGGTGAAAGGAACAAGATTCTTTGAGTGCCCTCTGCTTCATGGTGGTATGGTCCGGCCCGACAAAGTAAAGGTATTTTACTTTTTCTATTAGGTCTTAGCATCAAAGAGAAATGACATAGAATCGAACTTGTTAGTCGTTCTTATACATCATCCGTTCTATAGTAGAATTTGCTATTTGTTTTCCTTTCCAAGACTCACACTGGTTAGCTATAGACTATAGGACTAGCTAATGCCTTACAGGCCTAAGGGAATTTATCACTCTCAAGCTAGCTTTTGGACTTGGTTTGGCCCTAGAATGGACTAGGTTTCTTCTCACAGTTTGGTTGCGCAGATTGAATATGTAAACCACTCAATGAATTTGTATTGGCCTGCAGGTTGGTGATTATCCCGAAAGAGATCTTTTCGAGGAAGAAGATGAAATATAAGATTCACGGAAGGATCAAACAAGCTATGGGATAAGGAGAGGAAGGAGTTTTAAAGATTTGCTTTTTATTTTCACTCTCTATGTTATTACACTTGGCCTCTCTATTTGAATTTCACAAGAGTTGGGAAAAACACAATGCAACACTTAAGTATTTTATTTTATTGAAATAACTAGTAAAAATTTGACTTCACAAGAATTCAGCTTATTATGATCTGCGGTTTATACACAATTATCCAACAGCCTGCAGTTGCAGGGGCAGGGGCAAGGAACCAAGTAACAGATGTCCCATATATGTCTAAGTTCTGGTCCTTAGTCTCTATCTTGTACCAAATTGTTGATCATCTTAGCAAGAGGAACAGTTCCCTTTGTCATGATCTCCAACCTTGAGGTGTTCGAAGCATGCGAGAAGAGAGACAATCCGAAGAACAACAGGTCCGGGAGAAACAGCCTGGAAGACAAGAACCCATGCCAGTAATGCGGTTGCAGATCAAAGAATGCATCGAAGAACCTTCTAGTAGCATCTAAATCGAGCTTCAGCAAAATATCCATTCCAAAACAGAAGAATTCCCTCTGTCTGCGCCGTTCAATAGGCCACAAGTCTCTCCATACCTCAGCAGAGAGTTGATCTCCTCTCAGGCTGCTACTACTCGATGAACCGAGGTACCTCACAATGGCGTTTGCAACTATTGGTGCGGCTGCAAGAGTCCTAGCCACCATGTAACCGGTCGAAGGATGAACCATTCCCGCTGTACCGCCAATCCCAACAACCCTTTGAGGTAAAACCGGTAAAGGACCTCCCATCGGGATCACACAACGCTCGTCTTCCTCGATACGCTTCACATTGATCCCCAAATGTTTCAGCCTAGCAACCATTCTCTCTTGGATATCTTCCATTCGCAGACCGGGTCTAGCAACAAGAGACGTTTCCTCAAGAAATATTCGGTTGGAAGAAAAAGGCATCGCATACAAGAACGTCGGGATCTTGCTGTTCCGTTCTTTGAGCTCCGGATATGAGTCCAGATGTCTATCTCTCCAATCCATGAACACCATTTTGTCTACATCGAACGGGTGACCATCAACTTCAGCCACGATCCCATAAGCTACTTGATACCCGGGGTTATACGGTTTGTTATACTGAACCAAGCATCGGGAAAACCCGGTCGCATCAAGAACCACCGAAGCCTGAATCTTTACACCGTCGCTGCAAACCACAGTGGAGTTCGCCTCCTCGTGAACCACGTTAGTGACCTTAGACTGATGAAACTTAACGCCGTTGGTTATGCATTTCTGAAGCATTTTGGATTTGAGCTGTTTCCGGTTAACTCTCCCGTAAGGCCGGCCTAGATCCTTCTGGACACCTTCATCGATATAGACAACAGCACCGGACCAAGTTGTGTCGAGGCAATCGAGTAAGTCCATAGCCTCAAACTCATCAACCCAAACTCCATAGTTGTTAGGCCATATGAGCTTCGGAGAAGGATCAATGGAACAAACAGAGAGTCCAGCCTCAGAAACCTGCTGAGCCACGGCTAAACCAGCAGGACCACCACCAACAATAGCCAAATCAACAAGTTTATTCACGGAAGCATCGTATAAGGGAAGCTCAAAGTCAAGATTCTCCTTCTTAGTTTCAGGAACAAGATCCAAAAGTGCACTGCTACTACTAGAACCACCAATTTTGATTGCCCTTTTCTTCACACCAAGCTTAACCCTTGAAGGATTTGGATTATTACTGGTGAGTCTCTCAAACCCATGAAACGGAGGGATGAAAAAATCGAGCTTGTTTGGTGTTTTCAATAGAGTATCCATCGAAGCAGCCAAATCGAAGAAAAGACTATAACAGAGACAAGAAAAACCTTAACTTTCAGACAATTTTCAGTCACCGAGAGTTAACCGGAGACGGTTTCTGAGCAGAGAGATTGCGAGACCTACATGAATAGAGAGAAAATTGAGTTTTGAATCACTAGATGAAGCAAGAAGGATGAAGGAAGACCACAGAACTTACCCAGAAGCAGTAGCTTCATGGAGATTGGAGATGGAGACTATTATCTTCCCACAAAGAGAGAGAGAGAGAGAAAGTGTTTTCTAATTGAGTTTCTCTGTGTTTGTGGTTTGAGTCATCCAGTGGGGTCAGCTCATTATGGTTAAAATCTTACTCCTTCCGTTTAATAAGATTTTATTCTAATTGTTTTTAATTTTTATTCCATACAAAATATTTTTTTAAACTTTATATATATTTAATACTAATAGATTATTAAAACTTTACAAAAATATTAATTGAAAATTTGAACTTATTAAATTGCTGCTGATCTTGAGCGTTAAACTTTTTGAATATATGGTATTAAAAAATTGTTAAAAAATCTATTTTATAGGAACGTAGGAAATATTATCTATTTCTGACTTTGGTTTGCGTTTGTCAAACTGTCATTAGTTAGTCACGTTAGTCACACTACTACCAACCTTCATTTTTCAAATTTATTTTTCGCAGTTAAAATTACACTTTTGTAAAGTTGGTGGCTAGTTCAAAATTTCGATACACTATCTCTTTGTATCCGAGGTTGATTGCGACAAAAAAAAATTTTCTATTTACCAAATCGCAAGATAAAGACATGTAAGAAAACTCCATAGAATCATAACTTTAGCTTTCACCAAATTCCCAAAACATTAAAGTATTAATAAACAATTATAACAAGTATATAAAGAAACTAAAACACAAGAGAAAAGGAGGAGACAAAAAAAACCACACTGAAAATTACATCTGATCTTCTCAAACTTATTACTAACTTGAAGCTAAAAGTAATAATAATGCTAATGGAAATCCCTTTTTATACACCCCACCCAATAGTCTTTGCAAGGAAAAGATCAAAAGCCTGAATCTTTTTATACACAAACGTATCCTACGTTATGAGTGATAGAAGCAAAACCTGCACAGTTTTCAAAAAACCCAAAGATAATGATGATGATGATTTCAGATCTGTACACTCAGATCAGATGCAAATGCAATCAGCATTGTTCTTACCTTTTACCTAACTACTCGCTCCCGAGGTTTTCGTAACTGAAACCTTCAGATATGGTCTCCAATCTCTTGTTGTCTCCTGCAAAAAAACACCATTATTACTACCAATCCATTGGATTAGACACAACATATACTTTCTTCTTCATTCTTTCTTTCTTTTAACAAAGTCTCACAGTTCTCACCTTGATATTCTCCCCTATCGCACGAGTCCAGGAAATTTTCAGCTTCAGGCGCAAGGAAGGGTGATTTATCGTAGCTCTCCAGAATCTCTGAAATCAATAGGAAGCTTATTTATCCTATTAGCTGTTCGCTGGCTCTTGCACCAGCAAACCACCAGAAACTGTCTTGGTTCTACATGAATGCTAAGACGTATGAACAAGCAACGATACAGAAAGGAGTATATGAGATAGAGAAAGACCTGAGCTCTGTGAAAAATCAGCTGTCAGATCAGAGAGGCTGAAGTTTCGAGGAATTTGACCTAAGAACCCAAAAGTAGAAGCTTCTGCATCAAGAAGCGTGTCACCGAGGGGTGGGTTGTTGGGATCGTTAGTGAAGGATGGGATCAAAGTATCTCTAACTGTGGGATGTCCTTCGAGGGCATTCCGTTCACCACCATACATGAATGAAGCAGGGTTTGTAAAGGCAGACTCAGACTTGATCATTCCTCCATTTAATCCTTGCATCATAGGCATGTTTGTGGTCTGTGATGAGAGCATATTTGGAGTAGCATCAACTCTCCTAGCATGAGTTGATATGTTCACAGAGGAGGCCACATTTGTATTGAGTGTTGAAGAGCCATTGAGGTATGCATTAGACAGACTCGAAGCCATGGGATGATGTGCATCAGACTTCAAAGATTGATCAGTGTGCTCAGAGGCATAGCACAACTGTTTCGGATTCACTGTTGAGAGAATCGATGTCAGTTGCATAGATTAGCTATCTAAAAACTTTTATCAGTTTCCAACCAGTAGAACATTACTAACAAACATTGAACAGATGACAAAAAAAGACAGTAATTACGTATTACAGAGTTAAGATTTCATCCAAGAAGCAAAATTCATGAAGAGCTTGAAGATACATTTCTACATAGAAATCACAAAATCTCAAGAGTCAACAGGAAAAAGAAAACCGTGAAAAGAACAGAAAACGAGGCAAAGCATTACTACAACACATGACCAACATTTCTTCCGACAGATAGAGAAGAAAGAAACTCATACGACAAGCAATAAAAGAGACCCTAAAATACAAATGAAAATCAATTTTCGCTCCAAACGAATCTTACTTGATTGGATATGAGAACCATTTGTATTTTGGACGGAAGTAACTCCACTTGGATGCATCTGCTGCATGTGGTGAACCTGCTGCTCAAGTAGCTTGTTGAATTCCATAATCTGGTGTTTCACCATCAGCCTAAGATAGTAAGCCTTGAAAAATTCCCGATTCTCTTCTTCAAGCTTCTGCCAAACTGTAAACCAAAAAGGAAAACATTGTATCACTGAACTGAAATGATCCCCCATCTTTATTTTCTAATACGCATTAAAATACAATTCTCTCTCATATCTCATAAGATCCATTGTTATATAATTATGTCGCCAGCCTCTTTTTATGCTTCCTAGAAGTTTTCATTCTAAGCACTTCATTCAATTGCAAAACATTATTTTACACCATTTAATCAGAGAAATGGATCCAGAAAGTAAAACCAGCAATGAACAATGATTAAACAAACAGATGCAAAACTGATATGAAAAGCGAATAACTGCTATGGGCTACCTAGTTCTGTGAACCCAGGCTCGATTTTAGCCTGCTCCAGTAAAGTTTCCACGACTTCTTTCTGATTCATGTAAAGTTGAAGGCATCGTTCTATAAGGTTTTGAACCTGAAATCGATATGATAACTAGCAAAAGTAAGATTGTTGCTCAACGATGAACAGAGCAGTTGGAAGAGGTGAAGAGATATAAAGATTCAATTTTTTATGTTTTACATATTCACGCAATGAAGCTTAAGGCTTTTATAATCAAGTATGATGCTTTTGACATTAGAGGGTGTTTATGTATTTCTAGTTAGAAGAATATCTCGAGCTATTTATGACTATCAAACATATTCCTCCAATACACAACTTCATAAAGATTCTTTCTAAAGTATATGAATTAGGCAGCAATTGCAAAGAAGAAAAAAATGACTCTTTCTCAATAGCTGGCAAAAACAACTATCATTGCAATGGGAGATGAGCGAAATTTGCAGCATAAACCATGTGGAAATGCAAAAAAAAATCTATATGACATTCTACAGGAAAACATGAACCTACAAGGATAATAACAACCTCAATATATTGAGTGAGAAGGAAAATAAATATAACTTTAAGAAGTTGAGAGACAGTGGTTCACAAATTCAAAGGAAGATCACACAAGGCCCTTCCATTGTTTTAATTACCAGTTGTATATCTTGACGTGAGACCCTTCTCACAGTTCCACTAGACATTGTCTGATAATTTTGTAAAACAGATGTTGTTCCTGTCAGGTAAACAAACCATTAAACCAGACATAACACTGCAACAACTCAAAGTTAATTTCCCAGGAAACCATATCAAAATCAAAACTTTCTCAATCAAAAACAAATACAAATCGAGGAAGGTGACGTGTATTCGATTTCTCTGTATATCAACACGAACCAGCCAAACGATTTAAGAGGCGAAACGATTCGAGAATCCTCCAATTACCCCTCAACTAATCCCAACACTTTCAATCGATTCTATCTTCATATACAACCGGATCAAATCAATTTTCAATAAGGAAATTTATAAAAAGTAAAAGAAAACGAATTTTTTTTGTTTTTTTGAAAAGAACATGCGGCAAGCATAACATCAACACAATCATGGAACAAATTCGATAGAAGACACATGTTTAACAATATCAGTACCGAGATCAATCGTGGAGAGAAGAGAGAACGAAAGAGAGAGAGAGAGAAAGGAGAAGAACCTAACCTCACTTTGATCGTGGATCAATTCTTTACTCCTTCTTTCCATTTCCTTTCTTTTTTTCTTTTGATTTTACTAATTTATTTTTATTTCAATTTACACATTCCGGCTCTGGAGCTCAGGAAGCTGCCACGTGTAGAATGTGTGACTATGGTGGATCCCATACAGGGTTATCTCATCTTCTTCTTGCCGGTCCATTTTCTTTTGGTCAACCCATACGGAGGAGAGAAGTATAATAGTACAGTATTAACTATCTTTTATTAATCCATAAATAATCGTTTGATTCACGTAAAAGATTTGTCAAAAAAACGTAGAAGATATATAATTTTTTTATTACAATATATACTGTATCAGATGAAAACTTGAAAAGTTATAAAAAATAGAAAAGGTTATAGTTATAAATTTAAGATATTTTATAATCTTTGCAAATCTATATATTCCAAAATTTAGTATCTTAACATTATTTTTTCGATACTGAATATCATAAATAAAATATTCTAATATTTTTAAATTGATCACATATGTACATTTTTAGATGTCTAGTTAGGTAGCAAAATCATTTGGATATTCTGATCTTGACCAAATCAATTAAAAACATAATTTGGTTAATAATTTTAATTGTTTCTATAGACATCTAAAATTTTACATAAGTGATCGATTTTTCTACACAAAAATAAATTAAATGGTACATCTTCAAGCTTTAGATTAGAAATTCTATAATTACACCAGCCAAATTTTTGAAGTTAACATTATTAATTGAGCACTACGAATGACACTACACACATGATTGTTGGTTGCTTCAAGCAAGACTCTATTATATTACAACCACATACAAGTTTTGTAGCTTCTTTAGAAATTTGCAATCTCTTTCATACTCATTTTCATTCAATCGCAAAAGATTGGTGATCGTACTACATTTGCCACTACAAATCAAGGAGACACAATAGAGATTTGTTTATTTCGTTTTTGAGATTATTAAACAAGGAGACACAATGGAGTTTAGTTTGTAACAAAATTAAAAAAAAAGATTCAATATACATGAGTGTTCTCAAAACACTGAATCAGCAAACCATAATCCATTGTTCTAACAAGCAAGAAATAAAGAACGATAAGAAGTTGATTTAGTCATGCTTCTTCAACCCAAACTTTCCACTTGGGAATCGACTGAGAAAACCAGTATCAAGCTTCTTGTAGTGACTATGAAACTTCATGAGCAGAGAATCGACAAAACCATCGACTTCGTCTTCATATCTTTCATACAGAACCGGCATTGTGTGGGCCCCGACAAACCCTTTATACAGACAAACGATGCATCCCTTTAAAATGTCTTCTTATGTAAACTCAATTCCAAATCCTTGCACTAATAAGAAATACTCACCAATATACAAAACAGTTAGGAAATTGCAACAGCTCCCGATTATTGCGGCTGCCCACAGTCCAATCGCAGCCTGAAATTGATGTTTACGCAGTTTGATTACAGTTCTATGAACATTATCTAAGGACTGATTAACCCAAAGTGCTAATACATTATGCAGATGATTCTCTTGGGATCAATATGCGTCTCAAAGAGGCTAAAACGAGATTGCAGTGATCGAATGATTCTCTTGTCAATATGGAACAAGAAAATGCGGAAAATGAAATGGAAGCAAAAGGTTACGAACCATGAGGAACTGTTTCAAATTCCCTTTACAAGCCAAGTCCTGAAGAAACAACAAACCACGGTTAACCTCTGTTCCAATGGTCACACCCACGTCAGCGAAGAAATCCTTTGGAAGAACAAGGCGAGGCACTCTAGAGCGTGAGCTGTTTCAGGAGACATAAAATAGACTTTTGTTTAGATTGCAATCATCACAAGGAACCAATGAATACTGTAATAATAAACAACAACAAGTTCCAAAATTACCGGTTAAGAAACCCTGAGGCATTACACCAAACGAATTGTGCGATCATACCAAGCAAGAGGCCGTAACAAACGAGAGACAGAAAGTGGAAATTGATCCACTCGAAAAGCACCCAAATTGCAGTTGCTCCCATCAGAAAGCTTGCAGAGATCTTCTTGTTCCTCCATAACAGCACATCAGCAGCTGAAGAAACTCTCAGTTAGAACAAACACAAACCAATCTCAGATATCTATGCGTGTGTGTGTGTATATATATTTGGATTCTTACATTTGCCACCGCCTAGAACATGATGAATTGGCTTCTCACGACCAAACAAACGGTTGAAACGAGAAGAGACGGTATCTTCTTGTTCAAAGAAAGAAACGTTTTTTTTCTTCTGGACTGTCTCAGCGAAGTTATCAACAAAATCGCCGATAACGTCCTCTACAATATTCTTCTCATGCATGATTCTGAAACACAATCAGATCTGATATTCTCAATACTAAGAACAGGCTCGAGCAGAGTTATACCCAAGGATTTGAAAGTTGACTATAACAACAACAACAAAAATCGAATTTTCGATCGTTTCTTCAGACCAGTACGACCCACACGCTAAACCCAAAACTCGATTTTGCAACTAGTTCGTCGGCGATAATTACAATGATATGAAACCCAGATCTTATTATTTGGCGAGAAAGACAAGAACAAAAAACCCAGAAATTTGAAGAGCAGAAGGAGATAAAGTTGAAGATGAATATAAACCTGGAGGACTTGGAGAAGAAGAATCTGGTTCTGTGAACTTTCACACAACAACAAACAAAAAGTTGCTTTCTTTTTTGCTAGATTCTCAGAAAAGATGAATCACAAAGAAGAAAAGGAAGATGGAGGCTGATGATAGTGAAGGCAAGCGATGGGATTGGTTGGGTAGAATAATTGAATTGAAACTGAATGGTTTCTTTTTAAAAATGTGGTCAATTTGGAGTCTTGTGTATGAAATATGGATGGGACTCGATCTTCCCACGTGCTACCCGTGACAATCTCAATATTATTCTATTTATCTTTAAAAAAAAAAGATAATGAAAAATAGAAACTTCAACGCCTCTCACTCTCAATCACAAAGCCACACTATTAAAACATGAATGAAACACAAAACTCAACAATTTGAATCAACACGAGCAATGAGTTTGTCTCATACAATATATAAACACAAACACAAATCAAAGAACAATGTATACATTACCTTCTCATCCTTCTTCTAATCCTTAGTTTTAACTTGTTCCCATCCATTGGGATTATGATTTTTAAATAATACTTTTTAAGAAGCTCTGGTTTTTTTAATATGAGGATTTCTTAGTAGAGTTTTTCTTCTGTAAAAGTCAGTGATTTACGAAGTGCACCAAAGTAGACTATGTGAACAGTAGTTGTAGATTATCGAGAGTTTCATGTGACTTTAATTGATTTTGTTAGAACAGCTAGTGAGTATTTAATTTAAAAAGACAAAATACTTTTAAATTTTAAGATACTTGCTTGCATTTTTTTTAACGGCCAAACATTTTCACTTTCTTGATAGTTTTGTATTTTCTTTTGTCTATTACTACAGTAATACTAATTTTTATTTTGGGTTCAAATATTTAAAATTTTATATAAACTCTAAAGATGACAAATATAGAAAACATTATTCTAAATATTCTTATTTTATTTTCTATAATGGATTTCACTGATTTCGTGTATGGTTTTCAGCAATCCCAAATTGAATTAGATAGTAAAAATCAAACTCCATCAAATTCAACATCTTCATAGTCTCAATTAATATAATATTAAGTAGGGTTTTCAAAACTTGAAATACCAAAGTTTGTGATGTTTGAAAAGGCCCAACTAATATAATATCTTAGAGTTATATGCTTTATTAATAGAGAAATTTTTATTTATTTGTCTCAATGTCTCCATAATTAAGAATCACTAGTGTAATGAACGAAATTTAAGTTATTTACTTTAATTTTGTGTTGCAGCATTGCTGATTAGGACTTTATAAATTTATTTTTTGCACAAATTTTACTAATTATATGCGTCATAGTAACAAAATTGGCCAAATTCATGTGAATCTCTTTTATATTATATTATATTATTGACATTATTATTAAGTTTTCATTAAAAAAACATGATATTTTTTAAAAAAATTTAGGCGAACTATTTGTTTTTGAAAACTATTGGACTCCTTTATTATTAAATGTTTATTGCATGATATAACTGATGCTGATGCAATAAGTTTACTTTTTTTTACTTTAATAGGTTTATGGATCAAATGGATTGATGACATTAGTCAAATTGAAATTATTTTTATAAATTGGAATGGTTGATCTATTAAGGATCAATGATAAAATCATTAACATCATCTCAATTTACAAAACTTTCCTATAAAAATATGATTCTACTATTTCCGTCAAAAACATGATTTTTCGATATTTTTATTGAAAATATCATAATTTGGATAGATATATATTATATATATAATATTGAAAATATCATAATTAGGATAGATATATATTATATATATAATTTACAAAAATTATAATATAAAAATATGTAATAGTTTTTTTTCTTTGGTTGAAAAAAATATGTGATAGTTTGTGCTTGTATAATTTACCTCTTAAAATCCTTAAATAAATTAGGCTATCAAAGAAAATAAATAGTGACATGAACTGTAAATATTACCAAATTATATAGGTTTTATTAAATTTAAACTTGTGAGTTGTTATACAATTTTGATCGTTTTTTTTTTCTTTAAGGTAAATGTTTGATCACAGTTCCAACAGAGTACTAAATGGTTGTAATAAGTCCGAGGCATGAAAAAATGACAGAAGGCGATTTTTGGTGAAATGTAGACTATCGTCTGTATGTAAGACTTAAACATTCGTTTAGTCAAAGTCAAAGCTAAAGCTGGGTTTTGTATGTATCTATCACAAAGAGGCCTGTGAGCATATGGTTTAATCTTTAAAAAATAATACCATGTCTCTTCTCCTAACTTTATCAAAGCTATCATTTTGTATATATATAGCTGAAGCAATAGCCTGTGTTGTGTTATATGTCAAGATGCTCCATATTGATTCTAGTCGCAGAGCTCTTGATGAGTTCCTTACGGGCATCGACCTAAAACAGACACAGAGCATAACATTGCAGGATCTGAGTTTTCGTTAAATAATAATGAGAATGAAGCTCATCGCTGAGATAAACAAGTCTTGAATCTGTGGATTTATTGGCTTACCCGAGCACCCATAAGCGATGAGAAGACCATATTCGTTTCTGCTGCATCATCAACAACTAGTTGCTTCAATATCCTTGTATCTGGATTCATTGTTGTTTCCCATAACTGCTCAGGCATCATCTCACCCAAACCTGCAGATGCATGAAAAAGGTTACAACACATTCATGACGTGAGAAGCCATAAGACCACAAAACTGATGTTTCTCTTCGGCATTACCTTTGAACCTCTGAATATTGTAGGATGCGTTTCCAGGGAACGAAGCGATAACTTTTTTAAGAGCTGCATCATCATAGCAATAGTGCGCCTGTTTCCCCCTCTCAACCTGATTGTTTTCAAAGAAACTCAGCTTCAGAATAAAACTTTCTGTAAATCTGAAGGAGAATTATTGCAGAAGATCATAAATACTAAGAACAAACCTTGAACAGAGGTGGAACACCAACATATATGCAACCTGCATCAAACAACGCTCTCTGTACAAAAGAAATTTCATTAGCTTCGCATAAGTCTACCAACAAAAATATTTATCCAACTAAATCTAATACCTGATATCTGAAGAAAAAGGTCAACAAAAGTGTCCGGATATGTGCACCATCAACATCTGCATCTGTTAAGATGATAATTTTGTGGTAACGCAAACTCTCCTTGTTAAAATCTTCTCCCTGAAATAGATTATATGCCACGTTGAGTTTGCCAAAATTACCGGAAAGAAAGAGAAGAACAAGTAGGATATGAAAAAGGATAAATCACCTTCACTCCAAGACCAAGGCCAAGAATAAGATTTTGTATTTCTTCGTTCTTATACATGGCTGCTTCATCCTTTCTCTCAATATTCAAAATTTTACCTCTTAACGGAAGAATCGCCTGCATAGATCCGAACTACTGAGTTACGCACCAACAAAATAGAAGCAGAACCCACAGTTTCCCCAGTCCTATATGTTTATAACTTTCATCAGCAAGATAATGACAAAACCCATATCATACTATACTATGTTGACTTGTGAATGATTCTCCAATCTCGCATACGACTCACTCAGATCCTTAGACAGCCTAATTCATCTATAGTTTGGTTTGTACCCTTACTCTCATCTTGTTGACATCAAAGAATGCTGATACAACTCAGAGACCCAGTCAAAGTCTTTTTGAAAGTAAAGAGAGAGGACTCTTAGACTCTCGAGTATCTGCATAGTCAAAAGAAGCCAACTAGAATTTATTAACATTAAAATTTGCATGTATTAGCCATTCGAAGCTGCAACGGCTCAACTTAGTCATGGTGAAATATTAACTATCCTTTCTACCCCTCCCTGATTCTTGTCTAGTGACACAATGAGAAGAATGATTTAGTACCTGGAAACGCCTGTCACGACCCTGTTTTGCGCTGCCACCAGCAGAATCTCCTTCGACTATGAAAATCTCTGGTAGCATATGAAAAAGATGTCAACAATTGATCAATTTTGACAGCTTACAAGTGTTAAAAGATTTGACCAGTATATAATGACAGCCTCTTATTTCCTTTCCTATCGTCTCACTTAAGATCAAAATTTTGACAATTTTAACGCTTTTATAGTCATATATACTCCACAGTTTGAAATTCATCACCTTAAAATCATGTTCTGATTTTCTAAGAAAAATGCACTTCCATGCTGGCTTAAATAAAATGCATACCAGATTCTTCAGGATCTGTAGATGAGCAATCTGCCAGTTTCCCAGGAAGTGAGGATGACTTCAAAATGCTTTTCGATCTGACCAACTCCCTAGCCCTCTTGGCAGCCAGAGCAGCCTATAAAGAAAAAGAGTCAAAATGAGAAAATTCATGGTCACTTGGTTAAAATTAGTAACTAGATGCACAATCACAGAATATGCTAACCACATAAACCAGAGAAATGATTCTCAAGGGATAGAGCAAAAACATTTGTGTGTTTGAGTGCATATGTGTAGTTGAAGATGTGAAAGTATGAGCAGGTATATCAATGCCATACCTTGTACGCATTCAAGGATTTGGAAATAATGCTTTCAAGTACATCTGGATGCAATTCCAAGTACTCCGTGAGGTACTCCTGGACTGATTGGTCAACAATTTTTCTCACCTCTGGATTTCCTAGTCTTGTCTTTGGGAGGTTACAGGACGCAAAAATATTAATACGAGCAACAGTATACAAGAAAACGTTATGACCTGCTGACCACAGATCATTGCCAAAAAAAAGAGGGTCAACAAATAGTTATGTTCTCGAATACCTTTGTTTGGCCTTCAAACTCTGGATCAGGAACTTTAACTGAAACAATGCAGGTCAGTCCCTCCCTAACGTGTTCCCCACTTAAGCTAATATCCTTCTCCTGAAAACATAACCAACGACAACAAATTATACCTTAATAAGCAAACCCTTTAAGAAATGCCTTTGTAAAAAATGGTCAAAATAAATACTTAAATGCTGCAAAAGTAAACAATATAAGTAACTGGCATATTTCACAGTCCAATCATGGCTAAGTACATTGTTCATTGTCCGAAAAGCATGCAGAAGTGAGAACGTATTGTAGCAGAGCCTATTAACTGGAGATGTACGAGAATTCAAATTCAGTCTCAGTCCATGGAAAGGATAATACTTCTTGGCCTACACTATATCTCGAAACACTCTTTCAATCACGACAATGACCAACTAACTACAATTATCCTGGGCAGTTTTATGAAAAAAGATGGATGGAAAAGGGATACAAAGGCTCTAAACCTCTAAGAGTAGACATATAAAGAATGGAAAACACAGTTGGTTACGGATGTCACACCTTGATAACCTTTAACTTTTTTGCAAGGGTATTTAGAGTTCTTGTTAATGAAGCCTTCACACCATCTATATGTGTCCCACCATCGATGGTGCGAATACTATTTGCGTATCCCAGCATCGTATCCGAATATGCATCTGAGCACCTGGTACAATAACGAGACTATATAGATTTAGATCATACCATGATATACGCATTCTTGTTCAGAATAACTGCCATACGGTACAGCAATTGATGTCCAGTTTACGGATAGAGTGAACCATAAAATCAGTCAGCCTAAATGTTCAAGTATGCAGATTATATCTGTTCATCATATAATCAGAGTTAAATCTAAGAAGACGTATACAGAAGGAAAAGTAACATACCACTGAAGTGCTACGTCAACGGTGGTGCCATTTGTTTCTTTCCGGAAACCCAGCACATCATGGAGCGGTTTCTGAACAAAGGAGCCGATAATTAATCTTTTCAGGGTGACAAATAGTAATTAGGATGACCTAAATGCATAAGAGCTAACTTAAAAGAGATTGAGTTGACACAAATCTCATACTCATGCAAAGACAGAGCCCTAAAGAAAAATGAACTAACAGGGAGGAATGTGATCGCATAATTTAAATTCTAGCATCACTGATAGACAAGTAGTTGAGAGACTTTATACAACTTTAGAAAGGGATCCACAGTGCAAGGCTCACCTTATCAGTATTGAGCCAGCTAACATATTCAGTTAATCCTCCAGCGTAAAAGTATTCACTGTACAGGTCCCTTTCTGGATCACTATCCTCTTTTTTCAGAGAGATCGTAACCTGCATTCATTTATATGTACCAACATTAGCTTGTGCCAAATGGGAACTGATTAAAACGGGCAGATTAGGAATGCTCCATGAAGATGAAGCAAACAATTCAGATATTGACGATTTAACTAGAAAGAGGTTAGCGTAGCTGCCTGGTTTTAAGTGATAAGCGTATACCTTTGGATTTAGAAAAGCAAGTTCCCTAATTCGTCCAGCAATAGTGTTATGGTCAAACTGAATTGCAGTTGTGAATACTGAAAATTCAGTTTGTGGCAGACAAGAAAAGTTAGTCATCATCACATCCTGTCTTTGGGAAGGTAAAATATGTAAATATGGAAAACAGGCAAAACCTTCTTTGTCAGGCCAAAACCTGATGCATGTCCCTTGAGTCCCCCTTGACTCTGCTGGGAGGACATGACATGTAAGTGTTGTTATGGGCTTTCCGCGAGAATACTTATGCTGAAACTCCATCCCATCTCTGCGAACAATAACCTCCAATGCCTGTGAATAGTGGAGCTCTTTCATTAGTTGTATGAGTATCCTAAAAACCTCCTGATGTCTTGCCAAGTATAACAGTTGCTTATAGTGGAAAGTATTTGAAACAATAACCCCAGCACTCAGTAAGGAACCATTTCAGGATCTTTCTCATATGATATGAGGTTTGGTTATTAGATCACATTCCACACAAAATAAAGGAGTTGAAATAACCTAACCTTACTATAAGATCCAAAATTTAACTAGTCTATCACAGAAATACTTCAGAAACCAATAAAATAGGCAGATAGAGCGTTTTCACTTTAGCTGAAGGGAAAAGGAAACAATGTACCAACGGTTAGAACAAACCTCTGACAAAGCATTCACAACCGATAAACCGACACCATGCAACCCACCAGACACGCTGTACCCACTACTCTTGCCTCCAAACTTACCCCCTGCGTGTAAGACCTGCACAAACAAAAAGCACGACTGATCAATTGCATGACCAACGATCAAGCTAACATTAAGACCAACATATACAGCTTCCCTAGACAACTGAACTTTCAAATCATTGATGATGTGTGGTAATCAAAATAAAAGATTTCAAGTAGCAATACCGTAAGGACAGTCTCCAAAGCAGATTTTCTCGTCGCGGGATGCAAATCTGTAGGTATCTGCAAGAAAGCTGTATAATATGAATAAAAATGACCCAAACAAAGTGTTTTGAAATTAGCTGGATCGCAAATGGAACAAAGCACATACCCCACGTCCATTGTCAGCAATGCTGACTGAATCATCAGCATGTAAAACAACGTCGATCTTTGAAGCAAAACCAGCTTGGGCCTCGTCAATTGCGTTGTCGAGTATCTCATAAACCTAAGTAAACAAACATGTATTTAAAAGAATAAAGTCATATAACAAGCTGACAGGAACCAGTACGGACCAAGAGTGTTTGAAGAGACAGAAGAAATGGCAATTACCAGATGATGCAAACCACGAGATCCGGTGCTACCGATATACATTCCTGGTCTTTTCCTGACAGGGTCTAAGCCTTCCAACACCTAAATGCATCATAGAGAATTTAACACACACAACTAATAAGAAAGCAAGAAGGAGAAACAGATCATTATTATAGGAATTTACTTGAATGTGCTCGGAACTGTAATCCTTAGAGGTGGAGCTCTCTTGGAGAGCGTCAGTGTCCATCGTCGATGACATAAACGACCTTGGTGATACGGCATTTCTTATTACAAGTCTTTGACTCAAAACCGTGTCTAACCGAAACTTTATCCTGAAAAAAACAAAGGATAATTTATTTAGATACCCAAGTGAAGAATGGTTCTACACAATCAAGTGTTGCTCTACACTATGAAAGAGAATCACAGAGCCGAATTGGAACCGAGAAAGCATAGATAAACTAGGACGATGAGTTTCTGAGCAACCAGAGCTAAACGTAACACTAAAAGCAACGCTGAAGAAAGCAATTGGCATCACTTTGAAAGAGTTATAACAGCAATTCTCAATTTCGATTGCTTGGGAACTTTCAGTAATCGCTAAAAGGCATGATTTTTAATCATCGGACGAAAATTGTTATGCTGCTCCAATTCATTTGCCGCCAATTTTCCCCCGGAGACCAAAGCAGGAAAGAGGTAAAAGAGGAGAAAGAGCTCAAACCTGGAAGTTGAGGAGGAGAGAGATGAGGAGTGACGGTGAAGTGAAAGACACAGAGAGTGAGAGAAGAGACGAGAACGAGAAGCCATGAGGCGAGAATAGAGGTGAAGATAAGAGGCGGGTCTCTGAAGAAGAGCCATTGACGACAAGTGATGGAGACAGGAGATGTCTTTCTTCTTCTGCTTCAAACCAAAAAATTGGTTTCCGGGTCTACCCGAATCGGACCCGGCTCAAAGTTTTTGCCTTTTTGGATTCGTTTAACGATCGTTCAACATTTTTGCTAGAAATGTGTATGTCTTTGACAACAATTTCTCATTATGAAGTATATGATTTATGTTTATAAATTTTTGTATATTCAATTTAGATTTTATCAAAATTTTGTTCACATTTGAAATTTTTGGAGAAATGCAACTTAAACCGAAATCAACTGGATCCCTTTTGGTTCCCTTGAAGCTAGTGAACACAAAGTGACAAGCGAAAGTAAGTGTCTTTAAACACAACAATGGTCAATGTCAGAAAAAAAAAAACTCATAGTTTAAATATGAGTAATACATAGTATCTGTATAAGTTAGGTACAAAAATGATTAAGAGAAAATCTCAATCTCTAAAAGTTATATATAATGTCATAGTTTGATCAGTTCCTAAGTAATTTAGAGCCATTAGATAGGAAGTAAAGCAAACATAAGGAGTCTTTAAGCTCATCTAAACCTGCGTTTAGTCTCTCCATAAGCAACAACCCCGAGCACCGTTATACTGTAACCTCCAATTCCCATAACCGTGACTGGGTTTCGGAAAAGCAGAATCGAGATCACAACCGCAACCGCACCTTTAGCGTTTCCAAGAACCTGTGTTACAGTTGAACATAGACACGTTTGATTCAATAAGTCTGTAAGTTCAAATAACAAATTGTGAAAAAAAAAGTTTCAGTTTTTCACCTGGAGGGTAAGCGCGCTGGTGTGCTTGGTAACGAGAAAGTTTAACAAGTTGGCAGAATAAGCCATTACAGAGTTAAGCAGGAGAAGTAACCACATGTACTTATGTTGTCTTCCGAGCGACAGAGTCACACTCATCACATCTGGTTCCATAACAATTGTGACGGGAAGAAGAGCTAGAACTGCTATCGGAGACATGTAGAGCATCAAATTCATGGAATTCAACTTTTCTCTGCAATGGAAGTTGAAAGACAGGTCAAAACTCTAACATGAGCATTACTCATCAAGTAACAAAAGTTCATCGTGCTTCATTGAGTAAATAATGTAAAAGCAAAGCAAAACAATGATCTTATTAACGGAATTACCCTTCGGAAGAAAGCAAGATGCCTTGAAGAACAGATTTAAAAGCTCTTGCTGCAGTCGCACTAATGCACATAATGAATCCGAACCAGTGAAAACCTGGCTCACCCTGTGACCCAGATCATTGATCATTCATTGAAGTTAGTTCACAAATCACAGAATCAACAAACAACATGACAAAACCAAACATTTGATGAGAAAGGCCTTGCACGAGAAACAAAAAATAATTCACAGCACAATGTTAATTGTAAGAAAATGGTAGTAGTTACAAGAAGAAAGTCTGAAACTTTAGATAACACAGAACTCGAATAACACAGAGACCAGTAAAGGATGAATCTTTAGAACTCAAAAAATTGTGCTATACGTAATCACATTCATGAAACAAAGCAACTACACACGTGGTGGAACATAAACAATCATCTTTAATGCTCCAAACAAACAATGGATCCAGACATCACAATCTACAGAGAGAACAGATTTCTTCCGAAGCTTTTCAGCATCACGATTCATTAACAGCAGAAATTAACCCAATTTCACCAAAAAAAATCTCGTACTCAAAAACCGTCAAAATCAAAATCAGCATCCAAAAACGTTTTCATCACGAGAAATAAAAAGGCGTACCCCACTGGCGATTACGACACCGGTAACGACGGGGACGAGAGCACCATAAGTGACCCAAGCTTCTCTCTTGAAGGTCATGAGATAAGCGAAGACTGCGGTGAAAAACGGCGTCGTGGCACCAACGGCTTGATTGAACGAGACGGGGAGATAACGGAGGGAGACGTTGCCGCCGACGACGGATGCACAGAAGACGATGCTGAGAGTCGCGACTTTCATGAACTGAGAACGAGACTTGATGTATTGGAGAGGGACGAGCTTGAGGAAGACGATGGAGACGTAGCTGAGGATGGCGCACGCGGACATGTGACACATTGTGAGGAAAATCGGGAATTTGAAACCGTAATTGGAGAGGAGGAATTTGTTGAGGAGAAGAACGCCGATGTTGGAGGTGTACCAGAGGATGATAAGGGATGATATGAAGAGGGTTTGTTTCTTCGGAGAAGACGAAGAAGAAGACGACATTTCTGATTTCTGATCTGGGTTCTTCTTGTTCATCCTCGCACTCGCCGAGATCGGTCAGATTTGGCTGGTGTTTTGATGGGAGAAGAAACGAGAGAAATGAGGAGCAGCATGGGGCTACAGAGAAGAAGCCTCTTTAGGTAATAAGCCGCAGGAGCAGTGAAATAATTATTATATATATTAACATTTTTACCAAAAAAATAAAAATTAATATATATATATGATTAAATTAATTTTTAAAATTATTTAATATGATATAATTGATTTTATATAAGTTTCATATAACAGTTTACAATAACATACTTAATTACCATACAAATTAATTTAAAGATTAAATATAATATATTACATGGTTTATGATTTGTTTGAATAAAAATATAAAATCGCTATTTAAATATTTTATATCTCGTAATTAATAATATGATTTAGTGTTTTCACAAATATCCAAAACTTTGATATACTATATCTCTTAATTTATAAAAAAATTAGAATCTTATTATAAAAGTGGATAACTAAATTTAAAATCATAAATATTTGAATATATATACGCTAAAAATAATTAAATTAAAAAATATATAGAACACAATAAAATTAGAAAAACAACAACTATAACCATTAACTAATGTAAATAATTAGCTTTGTTATATAAAAAAAATAACTAAAACAAAAATCAATCAAAAATATTTTTAAAATAGAAAAGTATTTTAATAAATAAATTCGCATTTAAAAGCATAGATTTCCCCTTAAAGACCGTGACCGAAAGATTATCTACTTATAAAATGCAATATATAAATATAAATTACCAAAAAAATCTAACTTTTAAAGAAAACTTATGTAAATATATGGTTCCATTAAAATTTCATAAATTAATAATTATCATAAAATAATTTTATATAAATTTATAACTATGATAATTTAGTAAAATATGAATATATAATACTTTGTTTTTATTAAAATTAGAATAATATTATGGTTTATCTACAATTTAAATGTGAAATATGCTTCAAGATATCATTAAATTTTTCTAATAATTTTTATTATTATTAATAAATAATTTATTTAATTATACACTTTATATTAATATTTTTATAAATTAATAAAATATTGAAGTTCCAATATTATTAAGTTATAGAATTTTAATTGTAATTATATTGATTGATTTAAAGACAACAAATTTCTGTTTTTTTGGTAATCTATTTAAAAAATTAACAAATTGTAATCTAACCACTAAGAAAATCAAAAGAAACATAGATAAATCCCGTAGAGAACTTGGTATATGATATATCAAAAATTGATTCAAAAAGTTAAGTAAGCAATAATAACAAATGACATTTTCGTCACCTAAAAACCATATATAAAGTAAGCAATAGTGTCGTATGTCATATTTACTTATATAGTAAATCCAAAAAATAATAATATATATCATAATAATTTTAAAAATTCGATATTATAATTTTTTCTAATTGATGTTTGATGAAAATAGCATAGATTTTGAATAATATATTTATATATATGTATATATTATAAATTGTTAAAAGATATAGATTAAAAATATTTATCCTAAAGTACTATATATGTTATTACAATTATTTTCGTCCAGGCTATAAGTACAACAATATGTGAATAAAATCATTATAACTTTCCTTTGTTTGTTTTGATTGAATTTTGAAAAAAATAAAATATATTTTTAATTATAATATTGTATTTATAAGAATATTTTTAATGAACAATTAATAAACATATTTTTGATAAAAGTAGTAAACATTAGTAAAGTATGATATATTTTATTAAAGAAAATAATATTTTTAATTTTTTGTTGTATTTATAAGAATATTTTTATGAATAATTAATAAACATATTTTTGAAAATATAGTAAACATTAAAATGTATTATATATTTTGTTATGAATGATAAATGTAGTAAACATTAAAAACTTTTATATATTTTATTTTAAATTTGTAGTAAAATATCTATAGGTAATATATAAAAACTATTATATGATAAATTATTTTTGTATATATTATAATTAACATTGACAAATTTATTCAATTAAATTATTAATTATAATATTATTGCATTTTAATTCATTTAAAAATAAAATATAATATATGTGTGGACCTAAAATATATAATGATATGTCATGTAATTAATTTAGTAGTCTAAGTTTTTTAAAAAAAATTAGCTGAACATAAATATGTGGTTGACACATTAATATAATAATATCATTGTAAGTACTAAAATGAAGTTACTCTTTAAAAATACATACTTTAAGGGATAATAAAATGTTGAATTGGAATTGGCTGAATAGGTGTTGTGAAAATCTGGTTCACTATTCGGTTAGCTAATTAAAAGCCAGGTTTGGTATGTTGACCAAAGGTGGGCCAGGCGATGAGTGGGCTAAATGGCTGGGCTAAGTGGTTGGGCTTAGAGGAATTGCTGAAAGGCCCAAATCCATTTGTTGTCATGTGTTTAAAGCGTGAGCAGGAGTAATTTTTTCCATTATCGATTTAATCTTCTTATAGTTTCATTCTTTCTCCATTGTCATCTCTAAACTACAAATCATGCTATCGTAGAGAAGAATCGCTCGAGTCCAAGCCATGTTTGCCTTGCTTGTGCTCAAGGCCAGCACTGACCAGACTACCCAAGTGGAGGTAGTGGTTATGCACAATTTGATATGGTATTAATTTTGTGACCAGAATGAATACTTTGTAGTTTATGATCTGCCCGAAGTTAAAGAGTATTTTGAACATGTAACTGGTGATGTCGGTGCATGTTTGGTACTAAATGTTTTGGAGGATTTTGTTGTCATTTTATAGTTTTTTTGTTAACAAAACTATAGTTGTGAAAGATTTCAATATTTCTCAGTTGTGAAAGATTTTGTTGAGAATTCATAAAAAGAATATTACTAAATGATTTGAGATAAACAAAAAAAACTAAATCTCCTTTTATTGATTCTATTATTTAAAAAAATTATTCAAAATCTAAAAAATTTGAATTAGTCATTTATATATTAAAATCTTGTTAATTATAGAGTAATCAATAAAATTTTATAATATTTATTATATACATATGTAAAATATTTGGTGTAATTCGAAGTAAGCATCAACTTATGTCGTTGTGATTTTTTTTAATCACTAAGTGAAATTATTTAAATTTTGAATGAATATTTTATAAATAAAAGAATTCAACTCCAAAATAGGTAAAGTGAATTTATTTATAATTTGAATGATTACTTTATAAATAAACTACAATCTCTAAAATTAAGTAAAAATGTATTTGTTCCATATTTTAAGGAAAATTGACATTACCCCTATTTTAAGGAATTCTGATTTCGACACACAAAATCGATCATGGCATCACCATTCATGTTATTTATCTGTCCTCAGGCTGTTTTGGTTTGTAGAGTTTTGAATCAGCTTATTAGTCCTAATTTGCATTTGAGATCGTTTTATTTTATCATCGGGATCAAATGACACCGTTTTGATCTTTATAAAAGTTCATGTGGTCAGAATTTTTGGTAGGTACGGAGTGATCAATACATTTTAGATCCAACAATTGGAGCTAGCTATTCTTAAAAATCAAGATCGAACTGGTCAACAATCTAGTAAAAATGGTAATAATTTTAACGATTACATTCACAAAAGGAAATGGAATTATGTTTCTACGTCATTATCTTCATATTTTTCTGAAATACATCAAAGAGTCAACCTTTTAAATATTCTGATTTTAAAAATACTACCAAGAGATGATGGCCTAGTAAATAATACAATATATTTCATCTTCTACATGAAATAATTGTCGTTGTGGTTATCATTTTTCCGAAAATGTATTAACTTTTCGGCTCATGCATAAATAATTTTTTATATGTCGAATACATTTAGATGGCAAAAAACTATAGTATATTTTTAGAAACATTACTTTACTTTTTTAATGAAAGTTTACGTGTCAAAAGATCACCACAGTATTTTAGTCTTTTATAATTTATACAACATCAAGTTATGATTTCATTCAAAAGTTTCACATTAATATGTTCGGATTCGAACCAATTTTTGTTCATTAACAAAATTGGACCGGGCCCGCCAGGAAAAGCTGATCTACCAAATGTATTCAATATACATCAGCTCCAAAAATTGACGCGTCACGCGTGTGTGAACCGTATCTCACAAATTACGACTACACCCTCCACGCGTGCAAAACCATTTGGTTCCAATCTAATGGTCGTTTCGTAAATAGCTCAACATCTAACCCCAATGATCTTTTATATATACACATCTATCCAAAATATCATAAATATCTCAACATCCATAGTTCCTCAAATTTTCACAAAACCATTCTCCACTTCTTTGATCTCTTAAAGCTTTTGCGCCATGTCTGGTTACCCTCCATCGAGCCAAGGTTACGGTTACGGCGGAAATCCACCACCGCCTCAACCTTACGGATCCTCCGGCACCAATCCTCCGCCGTACGGATCCTCAACTTCATCTCCGTACGCTGCTCCGTACGGAGCGCAGCCTCCACCTTCCTCCGCACCATACGGCGCACCACCGTCCTCCGCGCCATACGGTGCACCACCGTCCGCCCCGTACGCGTCTCCTCCAGGAGATCACAAGCCGCACAAAGACAAACCTCACGGCGCTTACGGATCTCCCGGTGGTTACGGTGCTCATCAATCACCTGGACATTCCGATTACGGTGGTTACGGAGCTCAGTCGGGACATGGAGGGTACGGAGCTCCTCCTCCTCCGCAGGCTTCTTATGGAAGCCCGTTTGCGTCCCTGGTCCCGTCGGCGTTTCCTCCGGGAACGGATCCGAACATCGTGGCTTGCTTCCAGGCCGCGGATCGGGACAATAGCGGCTTCATCGACGACAAGGAGCTTCAGGGGGCTCTCTCTTCGTATCATCAGAGTTTCAGCTTAAGAACTGTTCATCTCCTTATGTATCTCTTCACCAACAGCAACGTCAGGAAGATCGGTGAGTTTCTCTTTAGCCTTGGGTTTTCGCTGGATCTTGGTCATAGTGAAGTTTTGCGTTCTAGAAGGTTCTTAATTTCACAATCTAGGTTTGAGTTTTTTTTTGTTGGCACATTGAAAGATGCAACATTGACAACAACTCTTAGAATTTTCCTCTGCAAATTGTGGGGTTTGACTTTGATTGATCATTGGTACCAAGTCCTCGAGTTATAATATATTAATTTAACTTGTTGCTATAAAAACAATCATCTTTTAATTATTCTTCCTGCTAGCCTGGTTTTGAGTATATATATACTGATTTAAGAATTCCACATTGCAGGACCAAAAGAGTTTACTTCGCTTTTCTTTAGTCTACAGAGTTGGAGGGTAAGTTTATAATGGTTTTGGTGAGAAATTGTTGGTTGATTAACATATCAAGAATCTTTGGAGTTAACACGTGTGGGATTTGGTTTTCAGACCATCTTTGAGAGGTTTGATAAAGACAGAAGCGGCAGGATCGATACAAACGAGCTGAGAGATGCACTCTTGAGCCTCGGGTTCTCGGTGTCTCCTGTGGTTTTGGATCTCCTGGTTTCAAAGTTCGACAAAAGCGGAGGCAGGAACAGGGCTATTGAATACGACAATTTCATCGAGTATGTTTCATTCCATTCCAACACTCATCACTTTATATCTTTCCTCTGTAAAACGTAAAATCTCATCTCTAATTCTGGGTTTTCCATTGACGCAGGTGCTGTTTGACTGTAAAGGTATGCTAATTTCATTCGCTTGAATCACATTCAAAACCAAGTTCTTGTACAATGTAGAGTGTGCGTGTGTTTGTTATATTGATGTTTTGATGAAATGTTTGCAGGGGCTGACTGAGAAGTTTAAGGAAAAGGATGTGGCGTTATCAGGATCAGCTACATTCAACTACGAGACGTTCATGCTCACTGTTCTACCATTCCTCGTCGCTTAAGTGCGTCTGCCTCAGGCTCGCCGTTCTTTTCCTTGTTATTGCCATATGAGCTTTTGGATTTTTTGTTGTTGAATAATTTCATTTTACGTTTCTCGTCGTTGCTTTTGTAAGATTTGGAAGTTGGAATCTTATGGAATATAAGTTTGACTATTTGAAATTGACTACCCATCCGAGATTTCTCTAATCATCATCAAACGACAACAGCTTTCGGGCCCTCAATAAAGCGAAACAAAATATTGTTAAGTGCCCATGAAATAGTTTTTTGAACGGCCTCTGTAACCCAATTTTCTTTTAAGTACCACGGCCCAATCATAGAAACGACAGCGTTCAGGCGTTTCAAGAAGCAAAAACCGGTTTACTCCATCTTCAAATATGTTAATCGTATGTTTTCGACTTTCAAATGGATAACGGCTCTAGTAATCAGTAAAGCCAAAAATAATAATTTTAGTTAACAGATACATTTGTAGAAATAAGACAAAATGAAATAATCTGGAAATAAACCCCTACATTTGTAAAAATGATAGGTAATCCCCCAAAAGAAAAAATTTACTACTTTTGTCTCGAAAAATTCTACAAATAGAGGAATTTGAATGTGTTATGAAAATCGTGATGATTAAATAAATTTGATATTAACTCCCAAAAATGGTCATAATAACTTAGCAGATCAGACCTAACAAAATCTGAACCTAATTCAATTATTAAAAAAATATTAAACTGCTTTACCTTACCATCTTCGAGAAACTAGAGGCCGTTGACACATATGCCAATCGGACGGATATGATTAGTCCACCAGATATTTGAATTCAAACAAAGTAAAAGAGTTAACGTTACAATATTTTCGCTCAGGTTTAGATCCGTGTCAGTCTAAATATCCCGTTCAAGAGGCACAAAATCAAAAGACGACGACTTAGGTTTAATCTGGCGATTGCAATTCCACTCCATTTTCTTCAGATCTTCAAGGGCTTTGATCTGTGCCCAGAAGGAAAGAAGCAAAGTTTATAATTGGTAAATCTGATTTCTTTCGATTTTTTTTTTTTGGATTTTCCTTTTTTGTTATAATGTGAATTGATTTTGACCGGTGAAATCAAATCTTTTTTTCCAGGAAGATAAGAGGATAAATTTGATTCTAATGACAAGCGTGAGACCTGGGTTGCATGAGTTTAATTTGGCTTCAAGAAGAGCCGAAGAAGCAGGTTCGTAAAAAAATCCATCTCTTGGATTCGGAATCAAAGAATGGAGAAAAGTACCGTTTCTGATTCGCGATTGGCTGATATGTTTCTGTTTGCAGCGGCGAGGCGATTTCAAGCCGTGGAATGGCTTCAGTCTGTAGTGGGTCAACTCGGTATTCCGAGTCAGCCATCGGAGAAGGAGTTCATTTCTTGCTTGAGAAACGGTATGATACTGTGCAATGCAATCAACAAGATTCACCCAGGAGCCGTTTCCAAGGTACCCTTTTGCTCGATTCAATCGATTGTTCGAATTCCTCACGAATCATTTATCAAGGATTTGATTAGGGTTTTGTTTCTTAACCTAAGGTTGTGGAGAACTACTCGCATCTGCAGTCATTTAACCGAGAGTATCAACCTCCTCAAGCTTATCAATATTTCGAGAATGTACGGAACTTTCTTGTGGCTCTAGAACAACTGAGGCTTCCAGGATTTGAAGCTTCTGATCTCGAAAAGGTAGGATTTTTTGTTTTCTTATGTTTGATGGTTTGAATATGTTATAAGCTATTACAGTATCTTGAATCACTGAATATGAGGTGTAATGTCACAGGATAATCTGGAGTCTGGATCAGTGAGCAAAGTTGTGGATTGCGTTTTAGGACTTAAAGCATACCATGAGTGCAAGATAACGAGCAGTGGCAATGGGTTCTACAAGCACATCAAAACGCCAACGTTTCAGCTCTCTGCAACTAAGATTCATCCACTTAGTGCTTCCAAGGCGTCTAGGCATTTGGACAGAAACGACCTCGCAGATGGTGAATCTGATCAGCTCAAAGGTCTGATACATGCTTCTTATCGACCCTTCAATTTTTTTCATTTCAGCCAACATCATGATAGAACTATAATATAACAATCTAGTTGATTTATCTAGAATGTCAAATTTTCTACTATACTCTTACACGGATTTGGATACTTGCAGTGATAGCCAAGTTGTTTGCGGATCACATTTTCAACTCCAAGGAAAATATTGATGAGAATCTTAGTTCACTTGAGAATGGCAGCGAGGTAAGTTTGAGTGATCTGCCTCATTTTCTATTCATTTGTATTCAACTATTTACATTGTAACAGTCAGACCAACTTGGTTCAATTGCTTGACTTCTTTGTATTGCAGAACTCTAGAGCAAATTTCCAGAAAATCATCTCAAGATTCCCAGAGGTGAGTGTTCAGGTTGTGATTTTGAATTGTGTAGTAGTGGTGAATGGCATTTGATAACTTGCTAAATACCATAAATGGCGCTACCTGTATTCAGTATCTTAGTGGCCAATGTATTGCTTTCCTCACTACTATCATACTTCCATTACTGACAAATCTGTGCCTCGTATTCATGAACAGCTTCAATCAGTCTTCCAGAAATTCCTAAACGAAGGCACCCCAAAACCATCAGACTTAAAATCGATGCCCCTGGAGGAGTCGGCTGTCAATGAAGAAGACCAGGTATGTAACACGAACGAAGGCACTCTGAAACACTCTTGTTATGCATTCACAATCTCTTTCTGGTTTCCACTGCTGTTTCTTAGACACATCTCTTTACTCAATGACTGTTACAAAATGTTTCATATCTAAGTTTACACTAACAAACTGTTGGGTATATTTTTCTCAGTCCAGCAGAAGTCTCCTACACCAAAAAAAATGCAACCATAAGCGTTTACTGAAAACACAAGAAAAGGAGCTTGCGGTACGTTTGGATATCATATGTCGTAATGAAGTTCTATAACTCGTTTGGAAAAGAGATACTTATTTTGGCATGCCTGTAAATAAGCTTTAGCAAAATATCTTAACTTCCATTTCTTATTTGTCTTGGTTCAGTTGCTCAAGACTTTGTTTATAAAAACGAAGCAGGATTTTAAGGAATTTCAGGTTCATTTGCAAAGAGACCTGATGGAACTAGGTTAGTTAGTTTTCTGAAATCTCCTTTTCTATATCTTCTCTGAAGAACACTCAGTATTTCATCTATGATTACAATCTCATTTTCTGTCATATGCTTCTAATGCACAGGGAATCAGATGCAAGAGATGTCATCAGCAGCTCAAGGATATTACAAAGTGGTGGAAGAGAACCGAAAGTTATATAACATGGTGCAAGATCTTAAAGGTAGAAAACAGTTAACAGATGTTTTGCTCTTTTCATAAATGTCTTAATGCCATATCTAAAAATACTGCAGGGAATATACGAGTGTACTGCAGAGTTCGACCGATCTTCAATGGTGAAATGAAAGGAGTAATAGATTACATCGGAAAAGATGGCTGTTTGTTTGTCGTGGATCCATCAAAGCCTCTAAAAGATGCAAGAAAAACGTTTCAGTTTAATCAAGTCTTTGGTCCAACAGCAACTCAAGGTAACTTTACAATTACTCAGTGGATGTAATACACTTACTTGGAACTAGGTCCAACATAATATCTTTTAAACCTGTGTATGTGTACAGGTGATGTATTCAGAGAAACACAACCATTAATCAGATCAGTGATGGATGGCTACAATGTCTGCATTTTCGCTTATGGCCAGACAGGATCAGGGAAGACATACACAATGGTAAGTTGTTCTACCGACGAGAGCATCTTCTTGTCTTTCTACATAGATAGTTACTCATCATATTTTATTTTTGATGCAGAGTGGTCCCCCAGGCAGATCAGCTACTGAAATGGGAATAAACTATCTAGCTCTCAGTGATCTCTTTCTGATATGTGATAAAAGAAAGGACATGATGACGTATGAGATATATGTCCAAATGGTCGAAATCTACAACGAGCAAGTCCGAGACCTTCTTGCGGAAAATTCCTCCTGCACCAAATATCCTTTCATGGCTGCTGATACTTCCACTTAAATCACAATGAATATTTTGCTTTATCTATTTCACAATGAATCGGCCTAGTGTTCTTCTTGACTATGTGCACATTAGATATTCGGACTTGTTCCAGCGAGGATGATGGCTTGAGTCTTCCTGATGCTACAATGCATTCTGTGAATTCTACAAAGGATGTCCTTCAGTTGATGGAGGCTGGTGAGGTGAATCGCGCTGTTAGCTCCACATCCATGAACAATCGAAGTAGTCGGTCTCACAGGTGCAGAGCTCAAAACTAGACTTTCAGAATTACAGAACTATTGCTTTGTGATCTAAACTAGATATGTCTTTGTAGTATTTTTATGGTGCACGTACGTGGAAAAGACACATCTGGGGGAACCCTCCGGAGTTGCTTGCATCTGGTGGATCTTGCTGGGAGTGAGAGAGTAGATAAATCAGAGGTTACTGGAGACAGACTCAAGGAAGCACAGTATATAAACAAATCTCTTTCTTGCCTCGGAGATGTGATATCTGCATTGGCTCAGAAGAATTCTCACATCCCATACCGAAACAGCAAGCTGACGCTTCTACTTCAAGACTCATTAGGTACTTAATATCGTAGCCAAGAATCCTTCCTTCACTCTTTTGCAAACATTTATTCGTTTCCAGATGATTATGGATTTATCAACATCTGTCGTGTCTTCATTTCAGGAGGGCAAGCCAAAACATTGATGTTTGCTCATCTGAGTCCTGAGGAAGACTCCTTTGGGGAAACAATCAGTACCTTGAAGTTCGCACAAAGAGCTTCGACAGTCGAACTTGGCGCTGCTCGTGCACAAAAAGAGACTAGAGAGGTTATGCATCTCAAGGAGCAGGTTTGTAGACAGTAAACAAAATTCGTTTCCAGTTGATTATAGATTTTGTGAGCCAACAAACAAACATTTTGGTATTCTTCTTTCAGATTGAAAACCTGAAGAAGGCTTTGGGTACTACAGAATGGAACAATGTTTCTTACAGTGGAGCAAAGGAGGTAAAATCTCCTTTAAGCAGGCCGATGGCAACAACAGAGAGAACTCCTCCACGTCTCAGAAGATTAAGCATCGAAAACTGTAGCAACACAAAGGCCAACCTTGATGACAGAAAAGGTATCAAATCGCCTCTGGCCTCTCGCCGTGCAAAAAGATTGAGTTTGGAGGGTCCAAAGTCCTGTAAAAACGAAGGACAGGGTAAAGGAGATATCACCATTGAAGTGAACCAGCTCAAGAATCCACGGAGTCCTCTGAGCACTTACCAAAACAGAGCAGTGAAAGGAGATCCCACCATGGAAGTGAACCAGCTAAAGAATCCACGGAGTCCTCTGAGCGCTTACCAAAACAGAGCAGTGAAAGTAGATGGCAGAACAACAAGCATTCCTCAATTCAGAAGATTAAGCATCGAAAACTGTAGCAACACAAAGGAAAACCTTGAAGACAGAAAAGGTATCAAGTCACCTCTGGCCACTCGCCGTGCAAAAAGACTGAGTTTGGAGGGTAAAAGTGATCCCACCATGGAAGTGAACCAGCTCAAGAATCAACGGAGTCCTCTAAGCTCTTACCAAAACAGAGCAGTGAGAGGAGATGGGAGAACAAGCATTCCTCAACTCCAAGTATTGCAAACACCTGATAAAGGAGCTTCCAGAAATGAGATACAGTTCATTTCTGTGGATTCTAGGACAAGTGGTAAAGGTTCAAATATTCGCAAGTCCCTGAGGACAATCGGAAAGCTGATCAATGGCAGGGGCGGCTCTGAACCGGTGGTGCTACCGGAGCCAATGCCACGGCCCAATATTTTCTGAGAAATTTTTAGGGTCCGTACTTGTTTCCGTTTTTAGTATCAGTTTTTGTATATTTCCTTATTAGTTGAAGTATCTTTCTGATATATTGGATTGCACAACTGGTGCTAGATTTTTCAAATAGAAATCTTTTCTGTTGACTTGAAAGTGGATACAACAGGATCGTTTGGTACAATTGAGACCGATTTGGTAAACATTGAGTCCATCTATGTCACAGTTTCATTTAAACAATCTTTACAAAGAACTTTGTATTATCTGTAGTTTGTTTCCTCTATACAGTTTTCAACAACAACTTTTAAAACCCATTACATGTCAGCTAATCGATTTTGCATAAGCATCAATCAAAATCTTCTTGAACCTCCGGAGATCTAACCTCACTTGCTGGTTGGTTAGGTATACTTCCTTTGTGAATTGCCATCCTTTTTGAGTGATGCTGTTTGGATCTCTTAGAACAGGATCGTTTTTGTTATATTTGTCATACAATGAGCTCTCTCTTGGATGAATCTTGTAACCAATGTAGTCTAGACCGAGCTTCTTTGCCGGTTCTCCATAATATGTCTCTGATGCCCAATCTGTCCCCAGTGGAATGATTTGAACAAAGATACTTCCAGGTTTCATGAAGAGAAAATGGGTCATGGCTGCTCCATGTACCCCAACCATGACATTGCTTGAGTTCAGCACTCTGTAAATCTTTGCCAGTTCCGTTGTTCTGTCGGGTCTCAGAACCTCGACCTGAAACCCGATTCTTTGAGCCAGTTTCACCATCAGATCCTCGTTTGTTATCGCTCGAGACCCGGTTCTTGAAAACAATGCTAGTTTGGGTCTCTTAGCCATTCCTCTCTTTGCTGCTTTTGAGTGGAACCGATGCTCCTCCAGTCTGTTGATTCGGGGTCTATAAGCTCGATCAAGTAGATTCCTGAACTCATTGATGGTTACTCTATCATCTTGCATCTGTGAAGGATCCACTGTTAACTCGCCGTGGATTTTAAGACCAACAATGGCTTCCTTGAAGCAGTGAGTTCTCTTGTCTTTGGTGAAATCAACAGGAGGATAATCAGAGAGCTGAGAGAGGACATCTGCATACTTCATCTCCCACCACTTGTGATACTCCGCAATCACAAAGACAACTTTTTTGTTGAAACGTTTAGATGTTATATACAAAGGGATAAGCCCGTCGTTGAACTCATGATACAGGTTTCCGGTGTACCCTCCGGTAGAGAATAACACGGCGGGTACTTCATGGATGACGTGGCAGCTACGCTTACCGCCTAAAAGCTTCACGTCTTTTGTCACAAGCTTCAGCTCCGGGATGGTTTCCATTATACTAGTTTCCCATTTTCTGGTGTACGGTTTGATTTGTTGTTCTTGCAAGACATGATTGGCGGTGAGATCATTCGAGGTGTAGAGGAAGATGGAGGAAGAAGGAGAATGTGTTCTGATGTCGCCTTTCATGAAACAGATGTCTGAACGATAACCGGCTCTGTCACATAATATGCTCTCGTCTGCAAAACCACCAGAGAAGAAAACAGTGAGAACCCGGTCTTGCTTGATGTTTCAAGAAAAGTAAGAAACAGAGGATTAGGCACTAACCGTTTTTCAACGGTTTGGGAGGTTCTGTATTGTTCTGGGAAACCCGGTCTTCAATCTCTTTGACTGAAGAATCTGCAAAAACACACAACTGAAAGTAGTTTAGGATAACAAGAACAAAAAAAAAGATAGAAGTGATTTACTTGTAGTACAAGATAGAAAGAATCGTACCGATGAGACACAGAGCAGAAGGGTAAGGGAAATAAAAGAGGTGAGGAGCAAAGACGAAGCAACTTGAGATAAGAGAGAAGAGAAGAAGATAGATAATCTTAGGCTTCGATCTCTTTGTGCTATTCCCAGAAGAATTATTCAACCCGAAGACACAAGGAAACAACTTCATAGATTCGTCTCCTTTGATCTGTTCTATTTTTTTCTGATTCTGCCGCGCCATCTACTTGTTGATCAAGTTACTATAGATGAAAAAACATATAGAGGAGAGACAGAGACGTGTGCTGTGCAGAGGAGTTTATGAGCTGATCATTTCTGTCTATCTCTAGCTCCTCGTCCTCGGATACGTACAGAGGGAGAGAAAGTAGAGGAGAGAGATCAAGTAGATGAGAGACACAGAAAGAGAGAGAGAGACGTTTTCTGAGTATTGTCGTAAGGTAGGTTTTTTTCAATAATATATTACTGATAGAGATATACATAGTGATTGCTAACATTATTAATAATGTAAACTTTCCTAATTCAAATTTAACAAAAAGATGTAATATAGTAATAATAGAAATATGCTAGAAATAACTTTTTGTTCTGCAAAATTTTCCATTTAGTTTTTATGGATTTTAAAGATTTTATAATCTTATTACTAATAGTTTTTCTTTTAAAACAGAGTGTATATTTTGAAGACAGAGAGGGACGTTTCTTGGTATTGTATAGGGGAGAGAGAGAGAAGCAAACTAAGTCTTAAGGTGTCTTCTCTATTCTTTGAAATAGAGAAATAGAAATGTAGGAGACGTGTGGGAGAACGAGAAAGGGACTTTGGCCAAACCCATCATTCATCTTTGAGTTGCGGTTTATATGTTGCTTGCATCATAAGATTCCTTTTCCTTAAATCATGTTTGGTAAAATACCTAAATAAGCATTAATATATACATATTCGTCTTGGTTGAAATCATCCCATCAATGACATATTAATCCTCCTAAATATGGAATTTATGTCTTAATCAACAACTAAAAAGAAACAAAGTTGATCTCGTGATTAGACACAAATGTTTCTCTGCTCGTGTGTTCTATCTGGCATGCAGCAATGTTGTGATCTGAGTTCCAGCTAATTGTCATCTTAATTGTAGTTACAATTTCTGTGGATTAATTGAGCCGAAAATATATAGTATTTTCTTTATTGATAAAAGACTGCATGACCCGGAACCAGTTTATGGTTCAAACTTCAACTCAAAAAAGTCCAAAAAAGAAGTTGTCATATCACATAATGCCATCGGAACTATAGAGAAGTTTTTTTATGAATTAAATTATAATGAGACCAATCTACTCATAGGGGGGGATCACTGATTAAGAATAAAGAATGTCAAATTGTTGGACATTATTATATTATGAAAAAAATGGAGAATGTCATGTCAATGAAAGAAATGATCAAATAGCCAATGGAGGCGTTCTTAACGGTCAAATACATACAAAAAGTCATATTCCAATAAGTACCAAAAACACAGATGTTTTTAATATTGGCTAAAGAACAGAAAATTATATATGTGTAGCTTGCTTCTGTTGCACTAATATATTAGGTATAATCCGTTTTCTTGAAAAATATAATCCCAAGGAATTTATATATGGATAGTTATACTTCCCTAATAACAAAAATTAAGGAGTTGATCTTAAACAAAAAAGTTGGTAGGCGAAGAAAACAGCTAAGTAAACATTTTAGGAAAAAAAAAAGTTGGTGGGCGAAAATTCTAGAAAAAGAATGAAAAATGTACAACAGCTTGAAATATATTTGATAAAATCATTTGTAGTTTAAGTTATATGCAGAAATTGCTAACGTCAAACTAAAGTATTGCGATCCACTTTTCAGACCAAAATGGAAGTGATGTAAAGGTCCAAGATCTAAAAAATAGCAAGAGGGGTCTGATTAAAAAGGATGCATGTGTGTGTATAAAACGGAATGAGAAACAACACTATTAGCGTGTATATTTGATTGCCCTCGTATGATTTTTAGCTTTATGTTCAAACAACTCATAAATTAACAAATATTTTTTTCATAAATTAACAAATATTTTTTTAAAAAAAATCTTTGTTGACATAAAAGAATAGATTCACTGAAGTACTGCAGTATAAGTACGCAAAGAGGATCATTGAAGACCGGAATTTTGCTTTATTGGGATTTGTGAAGTTAAGCCATATCCACTTTTAGACGAACGATTCATGAGCAGGTCATATAACCATTCAGATGACCATGAAAATTTATTTTAGCTTAATTTTTCTTTTGTTATGCATATATACCTGTTGATGAACAAAAAAAAAAGTATATATACTTAAAAAAGAGAACTAGGTAGAGGAGAGATCCTCCATCGGTATCGACCAAAATCAAAATAGTGTTTACATAAATTCATATTAAAATACTTGTCCTAATCATTTGCTTACATGTGTTAGTTCATATGTCTATTTTGAGTTTGCTGGATAACTAAATATGATTTTAAACTATATATGACATAATTAATAACTATTATATCGTACTTATGATTTTGTTGTTCGTAATCTCGTAAGAAAAACAAAACTCGTGAATTTTTAGGTTATAGTTTAGGATATATAGTTTCATAAAAAGTCAAATTATCTTATTATATATACACTTACAAATTGTGAGGGTGTGGAGAGACTTAATCAATAGATAAATGTACGAGTAAGCCAAGAGTACAAATATTAAAGTTACCCGCTTAGATAGTTAGATAATAACTAAAACTTAATCAAAAAAATTATACAAAATTCAAAATGTCCCAATTAACATCTCATGATGACTCGTCCGTTTTAAAAAAAAACATCTCATGCAGGGACATTCGTATATCATACACAGAAAAAAAAGAAGTAGAGAGTGGCAGACCAAAAAACAGTTTAGGGCTTGAAAATGTTGGGCCAGGTTTGTTAAAAAGCCTAATATCCATGTGTGTCCGACCAAACTCACAAAAACATATTTGGGGTTGTCCAATCCACGAAACGGATCATCAGCCGTTGGATCATCATCACACGACATCCTGAGCCGACCACATGGCATTTCTACTGACGTTTGGAAAGAAAGAGAAACTGTTGAAGAAGAAAGCTCAGAGGCGCGACGAGGAAGAAAGAAAGTGGGGTTATTCACTTATTCCTCGTAATTACAGTCGCAATCGAGTCCACATTAATCAGCTGAAAAGGGGGGGTTTCAGGGTTTTTCAAGAGAAGAGAGAAGAAAGCAATGAGTGACGCATTTTGCTCAGACTGTAAGAAGCAGACGGAGGTTGTGTTCGACCATTCCGCCGGAGATACAGTCTGCTCCGAGTGTGGGCTTGTGCTCGAATCTCACTCTATCGATGAAACCTCCGAGTGGCGTACCTTCGCGAACGAGTCCGGTGATAACGACCCCGTTCGTGTCGGTGGTCCGACGAACCCTCTTCTTGCCGACGGTGGTCTCACCACCGTAATCTCGAAACCTAATGGTTCCTCTGGAGATTTCCTCTCATCCTCCCTTGGTCGCTGGCAGAACCGTGGATCTAACCCCGATCGTGGCCTCATTGTCGCGTTTAAGACAATCGCCACCATGGCTGATAGGTAAGTTTTGCGACTCTATGTTAGCTCAAGCTCAATTTCAAACAGATTCGCGTCGCAATTCAATCTTTTTGCTTGTGGTTAGAAAAAGTTGTGAATTTAGTTTTTAGAAGCTCCGATATGTAAATGAATCTTATAATGTCACTGAAAATCAAAGCTGCACCTTTTTTTTCCTATTTATGGAAATGAAAAAAAAAACAAAACTTGGTTTTGGTCATAAATGTTAAAAATACACACTTTGGCATAATAGGATATTCGATTCGGTTTAATGCCTTCTGGAAATGTTATCACCGTCATTGCTTGACAAAGGCAGTTTAACAAATTTGATGAACATTGTGTGTTCTCCAGGTTGGGCCTTGTGGCGACCATCAAGGTATTCTCTTTCTCTTACCGATCTCTTTATGGCTTCTGCTTGAGGAATGTTTTCAGTTTTGTTAAAGTTGCTGATGGTTTTGTGGAATCTATCTTCTTGACACTTTCTGTAGATTTATTTCCTTATATAGTTACTGCCCTTTGATTGAAGGACCGAGCCAACGAGATATATAAAAGGGTAGAGGATCAGAAGTCAAGCAGAGGCAGAAATCAGGATGCTCTTTTGGCTGCTTGTTTATACATTGCTTGTCGGCAAGAGGACAAGCCACGAACAGTCAAGGGTACCAAACAGTTTCTACAACATTTGCTCTTTAATCATCTGCCATTACCATTTTCTTAACCCTCTTAAGAATTGTGTAGAAATATGTTCTGTTGCCAATGGAGCTACTAAGAAGGAGATCGGTCGTGCGAAGGAATATATAGTCAAACAGTTGGGGCTTGAAACCGGAAAATCGGTTGAAATGGGGACGATCCATGCCGGAGATTTTATGGTGATTTTCTTCTTACACCAGTGCTTTTTAAGGTTCTTCTTATCCGCAGTTTTCATTAACTTAATTGGTATAATCTCTCCAGAGACGTTTTTGCTCCAATCTTGGTATGACCAACCAAACCGTAAAAGCGGCTCAAGAATCTGTACAGAAGTCAGAGGAGTTCGATATAAGGTTGACATCTTTAACCATTATTGTCTTCTCGTTTCTGGTATAAGACCGGGCCGTTCACACACGGAGCTTTTAAACCTTTGTAGGAGGAGTCCCATATCAATTGCAGCAGCGGTTATATACATCATAACACAGCTCTCTGATGAGAAGAGGCCTCTTCGAGGTCTGTTGCGTTCACATTTTGTGAATGGAAATAATCTAAACATCAGGTTTTCGCTTGATAAACAATCTTTGATATTGAAACTTGCAGATATATCCGTGGCAACTGGAGTCGCAGAAGGAACTATAAGAAACTCTTACAGAGATCTCTACCCTCACCGTCCCAAGATCATACCAGCTTGGTACGCTAAAGAAGAGGATCTCAAGAACCTTCAAAGCCCTTGAGTTGCTCATCTTCTTTTCTCTTACTCGTTACCTCTAATATATCAAGTCAAGTTTCGATTGGAATCTTGGGTTATAGAGTGATTTGTTCCAGAAGTGCGACTCGAGCCACGCTTGAACAAGAGTTTTCGAGTAGATTTTTGTATCCAGGAAAAAAAAATCTTTATAATTATAACAAAAAGAGCTTGTTCTTATACTATAACTGTGAGATGGTATTTTTACATCATTTAACCATTAACTACATCTTAATCATTGGAGACAATGGATGCTTGTTCAAATATGTGAATGTGTAGGTAACCCACCTGTGTTCTCTACTTATGTTCCAAAGTTTAGTGCAAGTACAAATCGATCAATGGGGCGAAGGAAAAGAGCCGAGAGTCGAGAGCTTGCCATCCAAGGAATCGTGTATTGGTTAAGAGGGTGGGTCCAGAATAAAAGAAAACCGGATCTATAATCCTCGGTTAAGATAGATAAGAATCCCCCGAACCGGGCGCAATGTAACCAATACACGTTCCAGTCCATATTGACCTTTGGTCGGAAGGAAAAATAAAAAAGAGAAAAACCCTAACGACTACATTTTTCTTTTGTTTACTACTATGAAAATTTTAAATTTTGAATTGTTCAGACTTTGGATTCTGTTAAATTATCCAAAAGGATCAAAAATTAAAACTCATTAGGGACAGAGAAAGAGAGTGGGATTGAATGGTTGTTGCACACACTATATATGAACTAATCTATTTGCATATATCAAACTATTTCCTAATGTATATATATATATCAAAAAAAGAAAAATTTCTGCATGGAAGACTCGGAAGTGGAACAACAACAGATCCGGTGACACAAGGAATACAAATTAATTACAGCAAATTATTGATATAATACTAATAGCTAAATCAATTCGCAATTTCCCAAGCATTCAAACTCTAACTTTGAAGCAGTGCAAGATAATATCGAGGAGCTAAAGATTTATATATTTGTGGTTCCAAATTACACCAATTTTCTTACATGTTTGCTTTCTACAGTAGAATTATGTTTAGGAGTATTTTGCATAGAAAGTAACAATAAAGACTTATAGTAATATATATCGGCGACAGAAAGAAAAACGAAGACAACTCTTTGCTCATCATTGGTTTACGTTTTACCTACCACAAAGGATAAAATGGAAATCTACAATCTTATCCAAGTGGCTGCAGAAATTGTACCAACGTCACTTCATCCTCTCTATTCGAAGTCATCAAATCTTCATACCCTGGAAGAATTTTCCCATCACATTGATGTATTTCAGATTTAGAAGTATATATGTAGGTATTGACTATAAATGTGGGAAGCCTTTAAGACGTATGTTATCTATTTAAAAGCATACAAAGATATACAATACCAAAATAACTACTTAATTTAACCAAATCAACTGAATCAAACCACATCTAGACGAAAAGGTATATATACTCTTTACAGTTTTACTTCAATTTTCCGCAAGAATGTACAAAAGAAGAAAATAAAACCACATGTGGTGTACATGAGTTGGTTTAGAAGCTACCTTAATGCAAAAAAAAAACGTCATTTTAAACATGCCAATTTGTCTATAATGTGCTCTCTGTCATATATATACTCCATTTGGATCGTAAAACCATTGTTAAAAAACTCATAAACTACTCAAGACATATACATTTTAAACTTGCAAAGTTCTTACACAGAGTATCAAACCGTTATCACTGTGTAGTTTATGAGGGATTGGTTTAGATATATCTTGCTTTTTTTAAGAGATGAATACACTAATTATATATAATTTATCATAATTTCCATGACTTATATAATAATAGTAATAACAAATTTACAAGCCCTACCATAAGATTGGTGAGAGGTATGCCTATGGTTGGTGAAGAGGAGAAACAGAAAAGGCTTTTCCTAAATCTCACCAACTCTATCCAGTATCAAATTCTTTAATATTTATCTCCTTGCAATCAGTTTATGTGTTTGGTAAGCTTTTCGCCATTCCATTCCCATAAAATCAATAAAGTTTTTCTATTTGTATTTCGTTCTTTATTCTTCCGTGTTTGAATCGTCGATTATGTAAGAATCATATATTAGTTACAAGCCTAAAAGACTTATAATATACACTATAGGACGAGCCTAAAAGCCTCGCAACAAACACAAATACATTGAGACCATGCATGAAACCCTTCGGCGGAAATAGTGGTCACGTCACGTGATTCAACAATGAACAGTTAATAGTTTCTCTGTGTTGTTTCGTTTATTTTGGTTTTAAGTTTTTTTTTTTTTTGCTGAAAATTTGGTTTTAAGTTGCCTCTGATTTTGATTTATCCAAATAGTTTACAATATAAACTTTAAACCAGTCACATTTTTTATATAACTAAGGGACTAATTTTGGACCCTGTGAAAAACCATGTCTATTTTATTAAAAGAAGTACTTCAGCTACATCCCCTCAACTAATCAAATTTGTTTTTTTTTTTAAAAATTTAATTTAGTTCCAATGTTCTTAGAAGTTTAAAATTTGAAGAATCTCAGCTCCGGTTTCAAACAAAAATCTTCAACATTTATAGTCAGCATTTAAGTTGAACTTCACCAGTAATTCACTTAATAAAGCATATAACTTATATTTTTTGCTAAAAAAGCATATAACATATATAAAAATCACTATTGTATTGAACCAATTGTTTCACGTTTTTATATTTGCATTGATATTTATACAAGTCGTAGTGTCCGAATTTTGTTGGAGGATCAGATTCTCTCACGATAAAGATAAAACATAAATATTTTTTTTTTGGACATTAAAAACATAAATCTTTCAGAATTGGGATTATGTTTGGGGCAATAAAATTTGAATCTAAGAGTATCACACATTTTTTGGGGGAAAATTCGTTAAATGTGACCAACATTATACCAGATTTTATTTGGCCATTTTGTCCCCTATATACTATAGACAGTCACATGGGAATAAATGACGTTCAATAAAACATACGATCTAGATAACATTTGGTATACATATGAGCTAATAATGGAATTACTCTTTATTTGAAGTAACATTTTAGCAGCATTCCATGCAAGTTCACAAAAATTATAAATAAATTTGTATGATTATGAAAAAAAAAATGAAAATTATTGAAATTGGATTTGTGGTCTTCCTCAAATTCACACCAAACATCGTGTCCCCATCTCTGGCAATACCTAATACCTGACGCTCGAGCATGACAAGTAAGACGACTCATCTAACATGGAAGCCACGTGGCCAACACACATCCGTCCAGATTGCAATGGATATCCGACGGTTGTAGATTCATTTCAACTAACTCGTCCGGTTCTTACCAACCCTTTGCCTCTATTTAAAACCCCCAATGTTGCTCCTCTTTCTCTCAGGAAATTTATTTGCAATCAAATAAAAATTTCCTTTTAAATCTTTGTATAAATCAGAAAAAGAAAATCAAATACTTTTGTCAGCGCAACGTGTAAGTAGATACACACACATAGAGAAAAAGAGATCAAGACCACATTGCATTAACCGGATCGGATAAAAGAACCCGATTTCTTAATCCGAGTCACCAAAAGGTCGGCGTTAATTATGGAGTTGTGCAAACAAAACAACAACCACATCACCGCCGTATCCGGCGATCCGTTGAACTGGAACGCGGCGGCGGAAGCTTTGAAAGGGAGCCATTTGGAGGAGGTGAAACGTATGGTGGAAGATTACCGGAAAGGGGCGGTGCGGTTAGGAGGAGAGACGCTGACGATTGGTCAAGTCGCCGCCGTGGCTAGTGGAGGAGTGACGGTAGAGCTGGCGGAGGAAGCTCGTGCCGGAGTGAAAGCGAGTAGCGAGTGGGTTATGGAGAGCATGAACCGTGGAACCGACAGTTATGGAGTCACCACAGGGTTTGGTGCAACTTCCCATAGACGAACCAAACAAGGTGGTGCACTTCAAAAGGAGCTTATTAGGTAATATTTGCTTTCTCGATACCTTATTAGGTTATTTCAATACTATTTTCTCACATTTTTGTTACGTTTTAAACTTAAGTGTGTCGAATGTGTTTGAATAAATAAATTTTAGAATCTCGATAGGTACCCATAAAGCCTCTAAGAAGTAAATAAGTTATAAAAAATTATAATAGTGATATTTTTTAGATTATGTATTTATTGTTAATCGAAATTAATGCGTTCAAAAATTGTTGAAAACTAGTGAGGAAAATTTTAGACCCATAAAGCTATTAAGTAGGAGAAAGGAAAAAACTGATTCGGGTTTAAAAATGGTGAGACAAGTAAAAAGTATCTGATCTTGGTGATCTCTCTTTCGCCTAATTTTATTTCATTTTTTGGGTGATTGGTTCACCTAATATTTTTGTCGCAATATTAATTAGCTGAGTTAATTTGGTGTTTGGCAGATAATAAAATATCTGAAACTACACATAATTATTTGTGGACCCTATTATTTACACTCATTTTCATACTACGAACTTCTGATTTATCCATTTTGCTACAAGTTTTTAAATTTTTTTTTTTTTTTTTGTTACAAGTTGGAATGAAAATGAAGGAAAGTATTTTTTTGGTTGTCCTTGATAATTTATCTAGTCACGGACGAAATTGACGAGAACATGCAATTTATGACCCGCGCAGGTTCCTGAACGCCGGAATATTCGGCGCCAGCGCCGGAGACACATCACACACGTTGCCTAAGCCGGCGACAAGAGCGGCAATGCTCGTCCGTGTCAACACTCTCCTCCAAGGCTACTCCGGGATACGCTTTGAAATTCTTGAAGCCATTGCAAAGCTTCTTAACAACGAAATCACTCCGTGCCTTCCTCTCCGTGGCACCATCACGGCCTCCGGAGACCTTGTTCCGCTCTCTTACATCGCCGGACTCCTTACCGGTCGTCCCAATTCAAAAGCCGTGGGTCCCTCCGGTGAGACTCTCAATGCCTCCGATGCCTTTAAGCTGGCCGGAGTATCGTCCTTTTTCGAGCTGCAACCTAAGGAAGGACTAGCGCTTGTGAACGGGACAGCGGTTGGATCGGGTTTGGCCTCGACGGTTCTATTTGAGGCCAATGTTTTGGCGTTATTGTCTGAAGTCATGTCTGCGATGTTCGCAGAGGTAATGCAAGGGAAACCGGAGTTTACCGATCATCTTACGCATAAACTCAAGCACCATCCCGGTCAGATTGAAGCCGCCGCGATAATGGAGCATATATTAGACGGAAGCTCTTACGTTAAAGAAGCTCAACATCTCCACGAAATGGATCCTCTGCAGAAACCTAAACAAGATCGGTAATTTCTTGATCCTCAAGTAAACTGTAATGTTGTTGAAGTTTTTTGTGTTGGTTATATAGCTGACTGGCGTTTTCCTTTTAAGTTGCAGGTACGCTTTACGAACATCGCCGCAATGGCTTGGCCCGCAGATCGAAGTGATCAGAGCAGCGACTAAAATGATCGAGCGTGAGATCAACTCTGTTAACGATAACCCTTTGATCGATGTGTCTAGGAACAAGGCTTTGCACGGTGGAAATTTCCAAGGGACACCGATCGGTGTGGCCATGGATAACTCCCGTCTAGCCATCGCATCCATCGGGAAACTCATGTTTGCGCAGTTCTCTGAGCTCGTGAACGACTTCTACAACAACGGTTTGCCTTCAAATCTATCCGGTGGGAGAAACCCTAGTCTTGATTACGGGTTTAAAGGCGCGGAAATAGCCATGGCTTCTTATTGCTCTGAGCTTCAGTTCTTGGCTAATCCCGTGACCAACCACGTCCAAAGCGCCGAGCAGCATAACCAGGACGTTAATTCCCTAGGGCTTATCTCCAGCCGGAAAACCGCAGAAGCAGTCGACATCCTCAAACTAATGTCCACGACTTACTTAGTCGCGCTGTGCCAAGCCGTTGATCTAAGACATCTCGAAGAGAATCTGAAGAAAGCGGTTAAAGCTGCGGTGAGCCAGGTGGCGAAACGGGTGTTAACCGTTGGTGCTAACGGTGAGCTACATCCGTCGAGGTTCAGTGAACGCGATGTCCTCCAAGTGGTTGACCGAGAGTACGTGTTCTCCTACGCAGACGATCCTTGCAGCCTCACTTACCCGCTGATGCAGAAACTTAGACACATTCTTGTAGACCACGCTTTAGCGGATCCAGAACGTGAGGCTAATTTCGCGACATCGGTTTTCCAGAAGATCGGGGCGTTTGAGTCAGAGCTGAAATTACTTCTCCCAAAAGAAGTGGAACGTGTCCGGGCTGAGTACGATGAAGGATCCTCGGTTATAGCTAACCGGATTAAGGAATGTCGGTCGTATCCATTGTACCGGTTCGTCCGTGATGAGCTGGAGACTGAACTGCTCACTGGAGAGAATGTTAGGTCGCCCGGAGAAGAGTTTGATAAAGTGTTCGCGGCGATTTCTGATGGCAAACTTATTGATCCTTTGCTGGAATGTCTCGAGGAATGGAACGGAGCTCCGATTCCGATCTGTTAAACACTCTTAATAAGATTCTTACGAACTTTTTCTCTTTTTTTTTAAGAGACTTATGTTTTTATTTTTCTTGATTTCCACGACATTGAATATTCTCAAGATATGTTCTTTGTGTGATAAATGCTCTGTTTTTATTTGGGTAAAAAAAAATGCTCTGTTTATGTATTGAATCACATATTCACATCACATGCAACTACTGATTGGCCTGGTGAACCGGATGAACCGAACCGGTTAAGTATTGTACCAAAGCAAAACAAAGATGGACAATAATGTGAAATGGTGAACATGTTAGGAAAGACTTTTATGATTGATGTGAAGTTGTAAGCAAAGAAAAGAGAAGCAGAGTCTGATTTTTATAATAAATATTGGCTTTCGAAAAGGAGTTTATGTGCCAAAGGAGTAGCAGGAAATCCAAAATTGAAGCTCAGTGATAGGAGCAATGAAAGATTGCCCCAAAACTATAACAAAGCTTTTGTGAGTCTGTTCAAAGGGACGGAGGAAGAAGAGCTTTGCAGATTCATATGTTATTGTGTTGGGTTTACATTTAAAGAGCATATTTTTATCTTAAAAATCATAGAATAAGTCATAGTGAAAAAAGCAAAAAAAAAAAAACCGAATTTCGAGACTTATGTCTTAATATTGTGTGTTCGCAGCAAAAACACGATAAATCGTTTCTCGGCGCCGTTTCTGGGTGTGTTAACAAGTGAAGAAGGAGAATAGATAAGCAGACGCAAAAATGGCGACTCTTTCTTCCTCTCTGTTATCGTCTTCTCCGATATGCAAATCCCGATTCTCGCCAACAAATCTCGTCTCGGGAATTGATTTCATCTCTTTCTCGCCTCGAACAACTCTCTCCGTTGTCTCGCCGGCGATTCTTTCTATCTCCGTCAAGCAGCAGAATCGCCAGAGAAACTCGCTCCAAGGTTCGAATTTTCCGAATTTTCCTGATTGAGACATGGAATTAAGTGTTGGAGGGATTGAACAGCTGTCTTTTGATTTGTGGGTTCAGTGAAATCAGTGGCTAGCCCAACGGAGACGGCGTCGGAATTCGATGAGATGGTCTCCGGCACGAAACGGAAGTATTACATGCTCGGAGGGAAAGGGGGAGTGGGCAAAACCAGTTGTGCTGCTTCTTTAGCTGTGAGATTCGCCAACAACGGACACCCAACTCTTGTCGTGTCCACAGATCCAGCACATTCTTTGAGCGATTCTTTTGCTCAGGTAAACGAGTAAATTCTGCAAAAAAAAAGTGAATCTTTTGTCTTTGTTTGATGAAAAATATATACAGTAGATGATTGGTGTGTCTCTGTTGTTTTTGTTGATTTATAGGACTTGACTGGAGGAATGCTTGTGCCTGTTGAAGGACCTGAGTCTCCTTTATTTGCTCTAGAAGTATGTAGAAAACCGATGTTCTGTTTTTTAGTTATGTTTGGGGGCATTTTATGGTTTCTGTGGTGTTGATCCTTTTATAGCTACGCAACAGATAAACCCAGAGAAGGCTAGGGAAGAGTTTCGCAGTGCCTCGCAGATGAATGGAGGAAGTGGGATGAAAGATTTTATGGATGGTATGGGACTTGGAATGCTTGTAGAACAGGTATGTTGTAGCTTCGTTTGAAATGAAAAATCAATCATAATGCAATAATGTATTCCTCTGTGGTAGCTGGTGTGAGCTTTAATGTTTCTGATACTAGTCTAGGTGTGACTCAAATACCTCTTACTGTTATGCTTATGGCTTATGATACTGAGTCGTTTTTGGTTTTGGTTGATGAAGTTGGGGGAACTTAAACTTGGAGAGTTGCTCGACACACCGCCTCCTGGATTGGATGAAGCCATTGCCATTTCTAAGGTAATTCTATCTCTGATCCTTTGTGTCTTTTCGTCTTGATTTTGTCTCTTGCTGCTGATAGTCAAGGGTGTTTCATAGGTCATTCAATTTTTGGAGTCGCCCGAGTATAACATGTTCACCAGAATCGTGTTTGATACCGCACCAACGGTGAGCAACCTTTACTGAAATCTTTGCCTCTTCTTTACTTTAATAGCAAAAGTTACTGTTAAAAGACAAAATTTGGTTGCTACTTGCAGGGTCATACGCTAAGGCTACTCTCCTTACCTGACTTCCTTGACGCGTCCATAGGTAAAATCTTGAAGGTGGGACATTGTCGATTTTACGTTTGTTTACTAAAAAGTGGCTATCACTTTGTGAGACTTTGTATTGTTAAACCCATGTCTCTTTCTGCGTCTCCAGCTAAGGCAGAAAATAACGTCGGCTACTTCAGCAATCAAATCAGTCTTTGGGAAAGAAGATAACCGGCCTGATGCTGTAAGTCTTTGTGTATATGGTATCCTGATGCTGAGGTCTCTGTGTTTCTGTTTCATTCCTTTTAATTTTGTTTTGTGTGGATGTGAAAGGCCGACAAATTGGAACGACTAAGAGAAAGGATGGTTAAAGTTCGCGAGCTATTTCGTGACACAGAGTCGACAGAGTTCGTCATTGTCACTATCCCTACGGTAATTCCTTAGAGTTCCTCCTATCTTCAAAAAAAATGCATTGGAAGTTTCATTCAAAGTTACTCTAAAGTTAGCATCTCACGGCTCTTAATGTTTGTTGATATTCGAAAAGGTAATGGCTGTAAGCGAGTCTTCTAGATTGAGTGCTTCACTGAAGAAGGAAAGTGTCCCCGTTAAAAGACTTGTTGTTAATCAGATTCTCCCGCCGTCCTCCTCAGACTGCAAATTTTGTTCCATTAAGAGAAAGGTATTGTTTTACACACACACACACAAACTTCTCATATTGGTCTTGTCTACTCCACAACCAAAGAATCGAATGCCCATTAATGTTTTGGTGTGGTGAAATGCATCTAAAACGTGATAAACGAACGTGCAGGACCAAATGCGTGCTCTTGATATGATCCGGGAGGATTCCGAACTCTCTGGTTTGACATTGATGGAGGCTCCGCTGGTTGATATGGAGATCAGAGGTGTCCCTGCTCTGCGCTTCTTGGGCGATATCGTTTGGAAATAAGATACGTCACACATTGTTGATAAACAATGAAGAAGAAGCAGGTTCACTTGTATGAGATAGTGTTGGGTTAAATACATTACATAGTTTTTGGTACAGATGTTGGAATTGTTCTTGGATGAACCAAGCCCTCTGTCTCAGTTAGAGACTTTGATGGGTTTGGTCTTCCTATAAAACTGAAAATTGACGAGCTCATCACATTCTTAGCAGGTTCTGTATTTTCAAGGCTTATAGAGGAAGAATATAGAAAGACAATTTTAAGGATCTTTGATATTTGGTAGACTTGTTTTCAAACTGTTGAACTGATTCAGTATTAAGTTAACACTATTCTTGATGGGTGGAAAAAATCTTCACTTTTAAAACTTTGGTGCTTTAAACAAGAAATATTGCAATTCTTGCGGAGCAAAGGCGCAAGATATTTACATAGTGTTTGTAGAATAAGACCTAAAGAAAGCCATTGCTTTATACAATAAAAACAGCAAGGCTTCACCTTTTACACAACCAAAAGGAGATTTTAACTTAAGCCAGTGTAAATCCAAGATACATTTATTTACTGACTTAAATTTAAAACCCTCTATTTTATTTACAATTTATTTGCAAAATATATATAACATGATGATGAACCATCCTTGAGGTGCTTCGCTTAGTTAGGCTGTACATATAGCTCTCTGTTCATCAAATTGTCCCTCTTTCACTGGTTGTGTTATAAGTTAAGAAGAAGCTTGAGGTTTACTTACTCAGATGGCTAAGAAGTAGCATTTGCGGCTAGAGATGACGCGAGTCCAATTCTTCTCTCTGCAGGAAAACAAAGAGAACAATGATTCATGTTCGTGAATCGTGATAATGGCCTGTGATTTTGTCTTACCGGAGTTTATACAGAGAGAGAGAAAAAATGTTACCTCCAGTGGTGATAAGTTTCTCAACGCGGGCAACGATGTGTTTCCCATATGTGAACCTCTTCAAGGCATTCAAGTGGACTTTGATGCGAGAAAGAATGAGTGCAAGACTTTGATCATCGCATGTTTCTAGAACCTTTTGCACTACGTAGTTCCCGAATGGATCCTTCATCATCGCCTGCAAATTGTTTTCGGCTTTAGTGGGGACTTTTTTTTGAGACATTGCAAAAAGACATGAAGGGAGAAAAAAAGAATTTCGTAGCAGACCTGAAGAGGCTCGTTTTCATCAGTATAACCAAGCATCTCATTCACTAGAACCTGACGTTCCTCTGGACCGCCAAATGTTAAGCACTTTTCAACAACGTTAGAAGCAAACTTCTGTTGACTCATCTTCACAATCTGCCCAGCAAGCTTATTGATAATTTCTGACCGTTCGTGTGGTTTACCGTGTTGTATGATATGCTACAGCCGGAAGCAGGATCAATCATTATCAGGGACAGGGTTCATTTTCATGCAGCAACAATGTATCTCAAGCAATCAGAAACTTACCTGAATAACATAATTTCCGTACTGATCTTGAGCTAGAGTGCAGACTGAATGCATGATTTCTTCCATAATGATCCGTTGGGTTTCTATGTCATCAATATGCTCCAGTACCCTCTGACGTGATTCCAAATAAGTACATCACAAGTATTGTTAACAGGGAGGAAAGAAACTGGAAATTTGATTTTATCACCAATAAACCATAAAGTGTGATGTATATGTCGAACCTGGATTACACGACATCCATAAGGGTGTGTTGAAAGTGCCAAGACTTTCCCGTAAAATGAGGAAATAATGAACTGTATATAATCCTGAGGAAGACGCTCTATACACTTCTGGATCACATGATTACCGTTCTGATCATGAACGCATTTCATGACGGCCCCATCAAGCTCTCGCACCATTCGAGCTTGCTGCTCCAAATCAACAACCTCTAACGCCTGTATCAATATCACAGAAACAAGATAAGGACACTCTCCGAAAATTCAAAAGCCTATCTTTATAAAACCCATACCACTAAATAATAGGAAGTAGTGTCAAATCATTGTCTTTATATTGAAGTACCTTTTGGATAACCCTGCAGCCATACATTTGTAGTGAGAGAGTCAGAACGTGGCCCGTAACTTGTTCAGCGAGCTCTTTTCTCTGTCTGTTTGTACCATGCTCAAAAAACTAAAACAAAACCAGAACAACATATAATTAAACTGACACATCTAGCCATGCGCATTGAAATGACATGAATGCTACAGCTCGTACCTTTTGAATGACATAATTTCCAAAGACATCTGTCATCAAAGTGCGACCATAAGGATGTATCTCAGGGAATATTGCATTCTTTTCCTCATCCGTTGCAGTCTCAAGTTTTTGCTGAATGAAACGACTTCCGTACTGATCCATGCTGCAGGTGGTGTGAAATGCAAATAAAAGTGAACTAGTATATCCTTAGATGAAGTATATCAGATAAGGCAAGGTAAAATACCTGAACTCAATCACATGACCAACTATTTCCGAAAGCTCCAAAGACCTTGTCTTGTTGTTCTTGAACCCCTCTAGTAAGGATGCTTCTGTTGTGCTGCCAATATCTACATGGGATGATCCCTGTAATCCTCCAAAAGGAACTTTCATCATTGAGGCAGATTGTGACATTCGCATGTTCTGGAGATTTCTTGAATTCTTGGAAGGAGAAGGCAGGTGGTTTCCTAGATACATGCTGCCAAGATCATATGAAGGATTCTCAAATAATCTAGAATTTGCAGCACCGAGGTTACCCAGCTGTTGCCTGTTTTGAGCAAGTAACATCGCGAGGTATTCATTATCCGTTTCTCCGTTTGAAGCCCCGAAATTGTTTCTAAGAAGAGAATGATCACTTGGTGCACCCGTATACTGGCTGTAATGGGGATCCATAACTGGAGAGTGAAGCTCAGAAGCAACTTGGTTTATCAATCTGTTCAAGCTTTGTCTATCCCCTTCCCGAGTCAAATGTGAGCCTGTAACAAAAGAAATAAATTTAACCAAATTGATCAATTCAAGGCAATACGTTTTTTTGTTTGTGTACATATGGACGTAAAAGAGAGAGGGAGAGAGTGAGGGACCTTCAGCGGAATAGTGCTCAGCTAATGAATTCAACTTGTTATTCACCAAATAACCACCAGCTGTGGAGAAGTCCGTTCCATTGATATTTGCATTCTGAATACTGACATCAGACAAGCCCAGGCTTCCTAACCTAGAGCGGTCTGAAGTTGAGTAGAGACTCGCTGAAGAGGAGGTTCGTTTAGGAATGTTGACCTGACCGTGGGAACCCACCGTAGAAGCACCAAGGCTTGTTCCATATCCACTCATAACTCCACCATAGTTTCCGGAAAATAAGTGATCGCTTGGCTCTGCCGTAGCAACATTTTGTTGACGCAAAGCCTTCTCATGACCGTTGGGTATGTGACGCATGACATCAGATTGATTCTCCAATTCCACCTGAAGCTGCGACTGCATAAGGTTATCTCTTACTTGACTCATCTCTGACATGTTCAACCTCGAAAGAGTGTCAGCAAGATCAGCAGCACTGTAAGATTCGCAGTTTTGGATTGCTGCGCCAAACGTATTCTTCTTCTCGACAGGACCGACTCTGGTGCCAATAGGTGGCAAACCAGAGGCTGAAGATCGCCCTACTAGATGTGAATCGGGAGTTCTGTTCCTTGGCACTGGAGAACTCGTGGTGGATCCAAGCATAGTATTTGGACTGGTTTGAGCAGCAGAATGTAACGAGTCATGAAATGCTAATGGGGTGTCGAATCCACCCGCACTGAAGTTGGACAAAACAGCAGGATCGTTCATGTCACGGAAAGTGTTGCAACTTGCAGGCCGAGAGAGTTGGCTGCGTATGGCTGCATCCCGTTCAAGTCCTTCCTGAAGTATATCAGCGAAACTCTTCCTTCTCGGTCCAAGCCCGGGATACCCAATCAACTCATCTCTTCCTTGATCTAGCCGCCGCACGGCCGTCTTCTGAGAGCGTCCCTGAGCTACAGCGTTCCTCAGCTCCATCAGATCGTTCTCTGCCTGCTCAACTGGAACCCCAGGCTGAACCGAGAATAGAGACGAGGAGTTGTCCACTTTCTTCCTCCATTCCCCGACGGGATCGAACACAGACTCACTGTTGCGAAACCTCTGAGCAACCCTCCAGTCCTCTCTAGACAGCAACGGAGGGGGAAGCCTCGGGTTCGAGTGTTCATTCGAGTAGTAGTAGGAGAGATACGCAGGGTGCCAACGTAACTCGTCGTCTGACAAAAGCTCGACGCCATTGCTAGTGCTGCTGCTGCTAACGTTCCCAGAATCTCTGTAGTCAGAGTTGTTGTTCAAGTACTGATTATCCATGGCCCTCAACAAACCTTCCACCGTCGGTGGCGCGCTTCCGCTTCTGTGCACATCCACGTCTCGTTCTCGTTCCTGGCCAGATGTTTGCCGGTTACGATGCTGCTGCAGCAGAGATTCGAGCTCCCTCTGGAACCGATCCTCGAGATCCACATTGGATCCTCGATTCACACTTGCTAAATTTGATCTCGTGTCCATGTAAACTATCAGTAGCTATCTCGCCCCTTCATCTGAATCTGTAGATGAGACCTAATCAACAACCCCTGCAAAATTAGAAGAAAAGAAACCAATTTTGGGTATTTCCAAAATTTACGGAATCTGAGAATTCATGAATTTATATATAAGGGACGATCAGAACCCGATCGCGATCAAAGTAATCGCCTCTCTCGATTTCAATGCCAACGAAGACCGTTTGATAGACGAACGATGTAAATGCTGTATCGTTCACGGAAACACAAAACGCAGAGGAGACAGATAGATGTTGAGGAGAGAATCAAATGACGACCATTGTTGGGGAAACTCAGAGAGCGAGTGAGAGAAATGAAAAGGGGAAGAAATCTAGTGAGGATGAGAAATTGGGAAGGGATCGAAGAAAGGGAGACGGTAAAGACAAAAAAGGCGAAGCATGGAAGTCTGAGATCGCCTTCATCCTCTCGTCATTCTTCTAAACTGTCACTTCTATTAAATTCGATTTATCTCTTCTCTTTTTTTTTTAATGTCTTTTTTTACTCAAATTGTGGTGATAGAATAAGCGATTATTACGATACCGGACAAATACATACTCTTAAGGATAACTCTCTAACATCATTAAATAATGATTGAAGTTCTTATTGAACTCAAGAATCTCTTGTATGACATTAAAACACAAACAATCTCTTTAAGTATTATTATTAACCAGGAAAAAAAAATTCGCTTAATTTCCATCTTTTTTTGGGTAAACCAAAATGTTCGGAGCAAACATATCGATAATTTTTCTTAAGAGTATTAACTTTTCATTACAAGTGATGATTGATCTCGAGTTGCAAAGCACAACCGACATTTGTAGGTAAGCAAACTCTACCACTAATTCCAAAAAAAAAAAAGAATAGAGAAAACAAAAGAGTGTGTTTTTGGAATAATATAATTGGCTCAGGAGAAGACTCCTGGTATTGTCTCCTGGCTAGTGGGGTAAATGTTGAGATTAATCAACTCTTTTTTGTACTATTTTATATGAACCGATCATCAATCACTTGTAAGAAATCTAAATAAATTGTTAGTAACAGTAAAACCGTCAGCTCAAATCATTTCTAAAAGGTCACAAATAAATAAGTTTAACAGGCTATTAAAAACTGAACGGCCTGTAAAAAGAAAGTCAATAAACTCTTACAGCCCACTAAAAGTTTCCTTGGAACTCGGAACCCACTCTTAGTAAATGACGAAAACAGCCCTACTCCACTTCTGCGCACGGTGAGCTGAGGAGGTAAAACTGTAATTTAATGAGAAAGTTGCCATTACAGTGGATGATTCCCATTCCATTTCTGGCTTATTCCATTCACAAACATTTTCTTCTTTCTCTTCTTCTTCCCATGATCATCGCTTCGCTTCCCAACGCAATCCTCTTCACCCAATTCTGAAAATCCCCCTATCTCTCTCCACGATCTTCCATGTCAGTCGCTTCCATTCGCCGTTTAGCCGCCGGGGCCGCCGTAATTGCCGCTGCTTCCGGTGGCGCTGTCTACCTCGCCCCGTCTGTTGCCTCTAGTGACAGAGGCGGTGGTCCGATTGTAGATTCATTGAGGCGTAGGATTGGTGATCCCACCGCTCCTGTTCCGTCCCGATCTGCTCAAGAGTCTGTTCTGATTGGAGCCAGCTCTTCTAATCCGCTCGATGTCCTCGTCATTGGCGGTGGAGCCACCGGTTCTGGAGTCGCTCTCGACGCTGCTACACGTGGTCTCCGTGTTGGTCTGGTAGAGCGAGAGGATTTCTCCTCCGGGACTTCTTCTCGTTCAACGAAGCTAATCCATGGAGGTAATCATACTTTTTGAATTTTTTGTATGTGGCGTTGGGTATTCGAAATTACGATAAGAAGTGATCAGTGGAATTAGATTGAATCTCACATTTATCAATTTGTTAACGACAATGTTTGGATTTCCAGAGGAACAACTGCAGAATTTTTATGGCTTGTTCGACCTATCGTCGTTGTGTAATTGTTTGTTAGTTCAATAATTGATGGAATATAATGTTAGTGCTCGTTTACACTGATGATGCTGATGATGATTAGGGGTTCGCTACTTGGAGAAAGCTGTTTTCAACCTTGATTATGGACAGCTGAAGCTCGTGTTTCACGCGCTTGAGGAGCGTAAACAGCTCATTGAGAATGCGCCACATCTCTGCCATGCCCTGCCTTGCATGACACCTTGTTTTGACTGGTTCGAAGTAATCTACTTCTGGATGGGGTTGAAGATGTATGACTTGGTCGCAGGACCACGCTTGTTGCATCTCTCCAGATATTACTCTGCACAAGAGTCTTCTGAGCTCTTCCCAACTCTTGCAAGGAAAGGCAAAGACAAGAATTTGAAGGGCACTGTTGTGTATTATGACGGGCAAATGAATGATTCACGTGTGAATGTGGGTTTGGCTTGTACTGCCGCTTTAGCTGGTGCTGCAGTGCTCAACCATGCAGAGGTCGTATCGCTTATCACAGACGATGCTACTAAGAGAATCGTTGGTGCCAGGGTTCGTAACAATCTCACAGGTACGGTAATGACTAGCAACTTCTTGAATTTTAGTGTATACCTCTCTGCTCTGCCATGGTTTTTGCAGTTATTAATGAGATGTTTCATTTCGACAGGCCAAGAATTTGATAGCTATGCGAAAGTAGTTGTTAATGCGGCTGGACCGTTCTGCGATTCCATTAGGAAGATGGTTGATGAAGATACAAAGCCGATGATATGTCCAAGCAGCGGTGTACACATCGTGCTCCCTGACTACTATTCTCCAGAAGGGATGGGCTTGATAGTCCCTAAGACTAAGGATGGTCGCGTTGTGTTTATGTTACCGTGGTTGGGAAGAACAGTAGCAGGCACTACAGACTCCAACACGTCAATCACTGCGCTTCCAGAACCTCATGAAGATGAGATTCAATTTATACTGGACGCAATCAGCGACTATCTTAACATCAAGGTATGTCCAGATTCAGCTTAGAGATGAATAATCAATTTAATTCGACAGAGTTCAGTTGATGATATATCATCCATGATAAAATTTCACTAGGTTCGACGCACTGATGTTCTTTCGGCTTGGAGTGGTATCCGTCCATTGGCCATGGATCCAACAGCCAAGAGCACAGAGAGTATCTCCAGAGACCACGTTGTCATCGAGGAATGTCCTGGTCTGGTGACAATCACAGGTGGAAAATGGACAACTTACCGAAGGTGAGGGAGTTGTAGAAAATAGCAGAACGTTTTTAAAGTTGTGTTGTTATTGCTCATCCGTAAATTCGATTCAGCATGGCGGAAGATGCGGTTGATGCAGCAATCAAATCGGGAAAGCTGAATCCAACCAATGAATGTGTTACACAGAAACTACAGCTTATGGGTTCTTACGGATGGGATCCATCTTCCTTCACAGCTCTTGCGCAGCAATACGTGCGCATGAAAAAGACCTATGGTGGTAAAGTGGTTCCTGGAGCAATGGACACAGCTGCTGCTAAGCATTTGTCTCATGCCTATGGTTCAATGGCTAACCGAGTCGCCACCATAGCTCAGGTTCGGTTCTATATCAGACTCTTCCATCTTTATAACATTTGGGGACGACTATATCCGGTTTATGATCTGGTTTTCGGTTCTTTGATTTCAGGAGGAGGGTTTGGGGAAACGGCTAGCACACGGGCATCCGTTTCTGGAAGCAGAGGTTGCGTACTGTGCAAGGTACGAGTACTGCGAATCAGCGGTGGATTTCATAGCGAGGAGGTGTAGAATCGCGTTCTTGGACACGGACGCAGCGGCAAGAGCGTTGCAGCGTGTGGTGGAGATTCTAGCAAGTGAACACAAGTGGGACAAGTCGAGGGAGACGCAGGAGTTGCAGAAAGCTAAAGAGTTTCTTCAAACTTTCAAGTCTTCCAAAAACGCACAGTTTCACGACGGCAAACACAACTAAAACGCGGCGGCCACTGAGAGATTTTAAACTACTTTATTGAATTTATTATTTTCTATTATCGGATTTTGGGGTTAGCGACTTAGCGATAAGGAATAAAAATACTGTACGGGTGGAATAATACTGCGACTACGGCAAATGTAACTTTGGATTACACAATTTGTTTTTTTTTTTCTCTTCTAAATGGGATGAGCAGTGTCTTCAAGATACGGAGGCAAAAATCGTTGTTTTTACATTTTTCTCAAATTGTTATGTAGAGAGAGAGAGCTACAACTCCAATAGATTCTTATAATATTTCTACGATCGCTATTCATTTCACTCTGTATCCAGTACGATCAAGAGTGAGTAATATTACACCATGCTGAGGTCAGGGTGCTATTCACAGAAGATTATGTATGTGTACGTTGCTTCCTTCCAAATTCATAAACACCGTTTAATGTTGATAGTACCAAAACAATCATAAAATGTGGTTAAAGATAAAAGCTCCGAGCAACGTTAAACACACACACACACACAAAGAAATAAAGGAGGCACACTTTAATATAGTACGAACCAACCATGAAGTCAACAAGTTCCACCATCTCTTAACATGGTTATTGGTCTTCCCGTGACTTTGGCGATGGTGATCATATCTGTCCCGGGCTTGTCTGAGAGATTAATTCCGAAAGTAAAAAAAAATGTCAGAAAAGAAGAAGAGATAGGTTTTACAATATAGAACAAAGACGTAGACAGAATATTTACCCCGTTGGTCTGCCTTATCCGTGCCTTCTCCTGCCTCACCTTGGTCAAACCACACCCTATCTCGAAGTGAAACATAGTCAGTTCGTGGTAAACCATACCGTCGAGCTCTTCACCAATCATTCTCCTGTAAAAGAAAGAAATCCCCAAATATGAAAAAGACAAACAATACACTTTGGAGAGCAAAAAATTAAAAAGGGAAAAAAAAGGTTCACATACTGGTTCCAAAGCCATAATCTCTCCTTCTCGCGCTTCAAAGACTCGATGACAGACATCTGCAAGGGGAAGACAAACGCAATGTTGAGTCAGGAACATAGACAGGACAAAGGGGCTGATGAATATGCGCATACGCACCACAAGGTTGTTAAAACAAATTCCAAACATAATCAAATAATGTGTGTGACAGGATTTGAAAAAACACCTTTTCTATTTCCCCCGACACACTGGCCATCCCCTGCAGTAACAAACTCTCAAGTTCCTGCAGCTCGGTGTAGCTCAGACCGCAGAGATCATCACCATTCAATTTCCTGTAAAATAATGGTTTCAGTAAGTTTTAAGAAAGAACCAAAACGGGAAAATAGATGATAAAAAAAAAAAAAAAAAAATTGGCTTAATTAGGAAGGAGTCGTACTCGTTCTAAATCTGTAACAACTTGATTTCTTCCTGCTGCAAGAACACAGAGGAACACACGCAAACAAGGTTGTAAGAATAAAAACAAAGTTTCAATTTTTAACATGGTTGAAAAGAAAAGAGTGCATGTGTACATACCAATTTTTTGAGCCTTTGTTGTTTTTTAGATCTGTAGAAGAACAAATAAGTCAGGCTACAAAGAGGAGATCATATTCAGATTCTAGGATCCAAACCCAACAATAGATCTAATTCAGATTCTAGGGTAAAAACTGCTCTAATCAGATTTGTAACGAAACCAAACCCTAAGCTAGAGAAACATAGCAATCCCTTTTCACATTAATATTTCTTTGAGAGTACCCGGATTTGGAAATCTTTCTCGCCTTCTTCATCTTACGCTTCCGTTTCCAAATCCTATTCTTCACGATCCCCTTTCACTTTCGCGTACAATGCCCTAACAATTTTTCAAAACCTAATTTTATACCGAGCTTTGAAATATATCCATGGTTTTTGCGCCATTAAAGACAGTATCGGCTTCAAACATTCTTTGGGCCTATAACTCTCGTTGGGCTCACACTTCCTATTGGGCTTTCTTGAATTGTACACACACACCATGTTGAGGATATTCATTGTCGTGGAACGACCATCTAAATGGTAGTCCCTATTGGATTTTTTCATGTCTTGAGAATATTCAATGTCGTGGAAATCAAGAAAAATAGAAAGAGAAAAAGTCCGTAAGAATCTTCGATCAAGGTCTACTATAAGAGTTTAGCAGATGGGAATCTTGAGACATTCCAACGAAAAGTCAATAAGTTTTCCATCAGAAATCGCCTCGAACACTTTATCAAACTCTTAATTTAGCGAGAAGAAACCATAAAAATCACAACAAGTAGATAGTCACAACAAGAGCCTCTTATAAAACGGATTCGATGATCTCTTAACATGCTCTTCCCCTTCCAAGAACCTGCCAAGATTGATTGACCTAATATATATAAGGATTCTATGGAAAAGGCTAAAAAGCGTGTAAGAATAAAGAGAAGCGATGGCTGCTACCTAGTAATACGAGTCGAAGGTTGGCCACGGTGGTAATGGGTGACAGAATGATGATTCCTTGGTGACAGAAGAAAAATGTCAGAGAAGGAGTTCATAATGAGAGAGTTTTACAATATCATGCACACGTACATACGTTGATAAAAAATATTTACCCCGTTGGCATGCTTTGTCACTTGTATGACATAGTCCTCGTTCCTACGAATCTTGTTTCGCACGTTTCCCAAACCACGCTGTATATCAAGTGAAAATACCCGCAGTTCGTGGCAACCCATACCGTCGATCTCTTTACCAATCATTCTCCTATAATGAGAGCATATATAAAAGAAAGCCCCCAAAATATGAAAAGACAGACACAATGAAAAGACAAAAGGGAAAATGGTTCACGTACTGGTTCCAAAGACGTAGTCTCTCCTTCTCGCTCTTCAAAGAATCAATGACTTCCTTCTGCAATTACAAGGCAATGTGAGGCAAGAACATAGACACGACTAGGGGGTGAATATATACACATACGCACCCGAATATCAGGGTCACGGCTATGCTCCTGTGGGCTGTCGCCAGCGCTGCATCCATCACAATACCCACACAAGGTGATGATTTCAGTCAGGTTACTACAACAAAGAGGATATGATTCGAGAATGATGATCATAGCAGCAACGTTTTACCTGAGCCGGAGTTCTCTAGCCTTGAGCCTCAAAGCTCTTCTTCTCTTTCCCAGACCCCAATGATATCCGAAATCCTCCTCCTCGGTTTTGCTAACCCATTCGTTCCCCATAAGGTCGCACTCTGTTGCCTTCATTGCGGAACAAACGAGTATCTAAGAGGTCAAAATCGATATATACAAAGAGGGTTGAACTATCAACTTATGTAATAATTTATCATCGCATCTTTTACCTGCGCGACTCTTAATTCGTCTAGTGCCTGAAACACACACACACACACACAGGGCTATTAAACAAATTAATTGTTTTAAGAATTCAAGATAATATAATCAAATACCTTTTCATGTAGCTCCTCCACACTGCAGAACCCCTGCCGTAACAAACTTTCAAGTTCCAACAGCTCGGTGTAGCTCACACCGCAGTAATCGTCGTCACCATTCAATTTCCTGGAATAATGGTTTCAATAAGTTCAAGAAAGAACCAAAATGGGAAAAGAGAAGAATAAATTGGCTTCAGGAAGGAGTCCTACTCGTTGTAAATCTGTAACAACGTGATTTCTTCCTGCTGCAAGAATACACATACACACACAGACAACGTTGTAAGAATAAAAACAAAGTTTTTTTCTTTCTCAATTTTAACATGGTTGTAAAGAAAAGAGTACATGTGTACATACCAATTCTTCGATGACTTGTATATCTTGGAGCCTTTGTTGTTGTTGTTTAGATGATCTGTACAAGAACAAATAAATGAAGGAGTTCATATTGAGATTCTAGGATACAAACCCCTACAACAATTCATATTCTAGGGTAAAAGTTGCTCTAATGAGATTTACAGCGACACCTGATGACAAGTAAAACCAAACCCTAAGCTAGAGAAATATCAATCCCCTTTTTTACATAATATATTTCTCTGAGATTACCTGGAGCACTCGTACTCGTACTCGTACTCGCACTCGCACTCGCACTCGCAGGATTTGGACATCTCTCTCGCCTTGTTCGTCTTGCGCTTCCGTTTCCGAATCCTAACAATTTCTCAAACCCTATTTTCATTTCCATGGTTTTTGCGCCATTATCGGCTTCAAACATACTCTGGGCCTCTAACTCTCGTTGGGAGTATCGGCTTCAAACATACTCTGGGCCTATAACTCTTGTTGGGCTCACACTTCCTATTGGGCTTTCTTGAATGGTATACACGTTGGGAGTATCGGCTTCAAACATACTTTGGGCCTATAACTCTCGTTGGGCTTACACTTCCTATTGGGCTTTCTTGAATGGTATACACCATGCTGAGGTCCGGGCGCTACTCTCGGGGTAAAAGCCACCAAGTGAAAAGTAATTTCTTGGTCATGTTCGTTTAAATCAGAGGGTATAAATGACTGTTGAACCAAAAACTCGGAAGAAAACTACAGATTTCCACTTGACGATTATGATTTTGAAAAGGGAACGTCTTTAAAATCCAGATATTTAGTGGTTTTCTCTCTCTGTTTTTGTTTTCACTTGGAAGAAAAATGATCTCACCTAGGCAAGTTTTTATACAACAAAATCTCTACCAAAGAATATAAAGAAAACAAAGCCCTCTCTTGATTCCGAACACCACAAAACAAGATACTCACGAAACTAGACAAGGAATTTTTTTTACTGAAACCGGATTAGTATCGCAGCACAAGCACAAGCATGAAGATGATATACATTTTAATGTATCTTGCTTCTCCTTTGGGATTTCACCATTATGATTTTTCTGCAGCTTATGAAATCAATGAAACGCTGCTGGAGGAGTTTTCTTTATTCACGGTAATCCGTGAATGGCTCGAGGAGTTGATATTAGGCAGAAAGAATCTCCGAAAGGCGGGATTGAGCATCTGGAGGAGTCTCTCTTCCAGGAACATTGACCTTTAGAAGATTCGAATACCTGCAAAGCCAAACAACAATGATTCAAATTGGTCATGAAACCGTATTTAGCCTCAATCTTGTGTTTAGGGTTAAAAGGAAATTCAAGTTTGAGAAGCAGACTCTGTGGGTGTAAACATTTGGTCATGTTCCGCTATGAATGCAAGCAACGCCTGCAGAAAATCAGGTAAACATTTGAGCCTAAGAGTACTTGAGAAACCCAAAGGAGATACAAATATCTTTTTGCTAACCTCGAATGGCATGTTTAGTAGTTCAAAATAAGTACGGACACGATCTAGGTTCTGTTGTACGGTTTCACCATCGATATATGGAATAGCTGCCATGGCCTGTTACGTAGAATACACGCAAATGTAGACAGTGAATGCTATTGGATATTATTAAAAGTAGTGAACTCGACACCTAAAACATGACTGATCTTTACCTGTTCCAATGCAATAGTGTTCCGACAAATTTGTTGAACTCCAAAAAGGTTGATTGATCTCATGTCAGCCAAAGCCTAGAAAAACACGTAATAAGAGACTGTTACGGTTTAGAAGATGATGATCAAATGCTATACATAGTATGGTGATATGGTATATATATTGTCATTTGAACTAGACGTACCAAAAACAAATTTCAGTACATAAAAACCGGTTTCAAAGATAAGTAGAAGAGGTTTACCTTAATGGACGCATTTGCTGCAATTCCACAAATACCACCGAACACATAATTGCGCTTCTCACCAGAGATGAAAGGCGCCATTCCCTCGTCCCTACGTGTTATCTGTTGAAAAGAGCAAGTGTAAAAAACTTGGTATAGAAATATAGGGTTGAAAAGATAATCATCTCGCAAAACCAATTCAAAAACTAGATTGCACACTAAACAAGAATGTAATTCACCGCAATAAATGAAGATGACTTCATCATTTGGCTTGCTAGATTCTCTTAGCAGAAGAGAGTGATACGAATATTTGATGACTATGAAACTAAGCAAGGCTCATTAAAGTGATATGACTAACCTGTGAAGTAAGAGAAATCACAAAGTCGTCTGGCTCTTCAGCATCCTCATCCTCCAAGTATTCCCGATTTGTCATTTCCTTTCCAACACCACAGAATATCGTAAGTTTTACAGGCCACAGATGGAATTTCCCATAGACATACAACCTTCCTAGCAAAGGTCACATCCATCACATACCTGAAGATGAAAGACTGTTTCCAGTTGCATCTCAACCCGAAGAACCTTAAGGCAATCAGTCGCAAGTTTTCTGTACTCTTCAGCAAACGATGCCAGATTCCTAGGAGAAGTAGCTTGATTCCTGCTATTACCTTCAGCTTGACTTGCCGCACGAGGAACTGCTTGTCCAAGCCTAAAGATTTTGGGAAATCAAAACTTCAGAAGTGTTTTCAGTTGCTTGCTACTTGGGGAAGGAAGAGAGGACTAAAGGAAGGCCCATCAAACCATGCAAGTTTTTCTTTTACATTGAACGTAAAGGTTTCTCAGTTTCTTTAAAATTGAGCTGGAAAAGACAGCAATCAATCTAGTCTAGTCTCTTAACTACCCTTTTTTTTACTACACATGTCTTTTTTTCCTCCTCTTTTATAAAATCATAGAACTTTTCATTTTACCTTGTGTCCTGATAAAATCTAAAGATGTACTGAGTGATGAAGAAGAACAAGACATGACAGGAAGATGCATGCATAAAGAATCTGATCCAAAGAACTGACCTCTCAATAGAGTCTGCCACGTATTCAAGGGAGTCACTAAGAGAGGCTAACAAAATCAGTTTGTTGTCATCACGAATTAGATTATCCTGTAAGAAATGCAATTGCTTGAATAATCTTCACCAAATGGAATTCTTACTAAAATAAGTTTCAGTCAACACATGAAATTCACCTGCTTGATAGGCCGCAATCTCAAGAATAGTTCACTGAGTTCTACTTCAGTGCCAACATCCTCAGAGTGGGAAACAGCATGGCCAAGCGGAGATGGCAAACAAGCACTCGCCGCATCAAGTCGCATCAATTTCTCAATATCATGCCTCCCAATGAGCCTGTAACTGAGCTTCTCTAGAACAGCCTGATATGTTATTAATAATGAAACTTATGCTCAGAAAAGTTTGCACATTGGAAGAAATACATCGCTTTACATTTAGGGACACTTGATGCATAGCTTTGGTAAGAAAATTGTGAACGGAAATGCAGATTTTGTCCAATATGGGAAAAAAAAAGCGCATATAGGATTAGCTACTCCATATCCTCCAAGTTCCACCTCTCTTTTAGAATCAAGCTTTCTCAGGATTAGTGCTTCTAAGCATTTAATGCCAAGTTCTGCTACATGACTTCTCAGAAGCTGGTAAACAATCTACACTTACACTGTAGGCTATGCAAGACAATGCCAAAAGCCTTAAACAGATTACTATTGCTACTTAATTTAAGTAGGTCAGTTTTCACGTAGCTGCTCAAAATAATCTCTAGCTAGCTTCACGATGTTCAAGATATTGTAGAATTTAAATCCACGTTCATATCATCTAACTCATAAACGTCCAACTGAATTTCTAAAACCATATCACGCTGACAACTACGTTTTAGTGTATATGTGCTATGCCAAACATATAAATAGATTAGAAGAGTCAAAGGAAGAGAACAACAGATGAGAAACGAGGAAGATCCATACCTCCATGTATGATGTTCGACATCTCTCAAATGTTCTCTCAAGAAATGTCTGAACATACTTCACAAGGTCGGTAGCAAATTTAGGCATGGCTTGAGCCCAACCAAGAACCTAGAAAAAAGTGAAGAGCAAGGAAGTTCATCAAAACAGAATATCAAGAAACTGAGAACATGAAAAAGGGGATTAAGTGGTGAATTGGAAGTAACTGATAAAGTAATCCATCCTTTTTAAGGCAGATCAAAAATGTGAAAAGCAACAAAGTTTAGCTTCCAGTTTAAAAGCATAGAGAACTTGCCTCTTTTGCAAGGAGATCTATTGCCAAAAGACCTTGCAAGATAGGTCGGCCCTTTTCTACGGTTGGGGTGTAATTAGTTGTTGTATGTGCACGGGGCCTAAATGCAGCGGCACCTGCAGAATGATTTTGAGAACCATGGGTTATCATCTTTGAGTCTATGCAGATATACACACTTGACACTACTGGAACTTCATTTCATAAATTACTTAAGTGCAACTTTTCGTATAAAATCTTTCTTGCGAGGGAATCTTTGAAAATAGATGCAACAGCTCTCAAACACGATTTTAAATTTTATAAAACTGCCATTCTCTATATTGATAGATCAGTTTTGCTAGTTTTGCAAGCAATTGCTTCTATTACCACCTAGTGATGGTAAAACTCCAAGTCTCTGGAACCAAATTCATAGCTCCCTTTCAAGATGTAAATCTATATAAACCTTTAGAGAAGAATTACCCTAAAGTATCAACAAAAAACTCTATGATCACATCTCTTAAGTACAGAACTAACTTGATATAGCTTGCTGTACGCCCTTCCTATAGTCCACAAACATTGTCGGTAACAGGTGGTCCTTCACAAAGTTCTCAGTGAATGTGAGCAATCCATCATTCCTGCATAAAGTATTAAAAACTCAGAGTGGTGAATACTGGCAACTAGGAGGACAACCTGCAAAGGCAGGCGGAAATTTTGAACTTACACAAGCTGGGAATGCTTTTTGGGCAACATTGAACTGATTTTATCTGTAAACTGCAAGACACAAAACATCATAAGTCTACTGAAAAACAGTTGACATTGAATGAAGAAGCTTAGATGAACCAGAATCAAAACCTGAAGGACAGGCCGGTAAATAGATGCAGCTAGATATATTCCTTGTTCAGGCAAAACGGCTGCAGATCCATAACCTTCTTGTGATGCATTTGGGGCCCTCTTTCCCCAGCCTTGACGAATAAGATCAGCTCCTGGCAGCAGTACATATCGTCATTAAGTTCACCAAAGGCATTATAACTAAAGAAAGGTCAGGATGACTGATATATACCCTGATTAGAAATCGATACAGTTGCATCTGTAAACCGAAAGGTGAATGTTAGCCCATCTTCAGGTGCATCCCTGCAGTCCACCATCATCAATCAAGCATCAATACTACTAACTAAACTGCAGAGTTTTACATGCATATCTTACATATAACCTTGCAGATCACTATCAGAGAATGCAACATGTTTTTATGTTAAACAACATATGAACTATTTACTGGACAGGCTAAAGATCCCACAACCAAGAACTTCAAATTTTTGTTATACTCTTCAGTGCTCCACTCTACTAGCGCGCTGAGAAATACCTAAATGACAGATTTCCAGACTAAGGTTTCGCAAAACCTCCTTATTATCATATGACAATACCAGATGATTCACAGCCCAGTAACAACATTCTTGTACATGAAAATGAGGCCTATAATAACAAAATCTTAAAGTCTAATTCTCGGGACATGTTTCGTTGTCTATGTATCTACATGATAATGAGAAAACCATCTCAGTAAATGTATGAACTACCAATGCTTGGGAGTCACTTGCCTTTTGTCTTTCTTCGGAGCCTTCTTTGCAAGTTTAGCGGTTTGTGCAGCAGCATCTGCTGAAGCAGCTTCTGGAGTTGCTCGTAGAATCTCACATATGAGTTGTTGGCATTCACTCTTCACCATTAACACATAGAATTTCAATAAGCTTACGTATGAGAACCCAGTAGTTTAGAGCAGATTCGTAAACATTTAGTTTCAAGACGAATTTGATATTTTGAAATCAATAGGCGGACCTGTAAGACTGTCAAGGGAAAACTGATAGTGTAGCCTCCAGTGGCTTGGGATGCTTCAGAATCGGTGTTCCAATTCACATCAGTAGGCAATGACTTTGGTGTGTTAATGTCATGTTGCGAAGCCTTCAACTCCAAAAGCTCTCCAATTACAACATGATTTTCTATAAAAGTTACAGTAATAGAAAGTTTGAGCTTTCACTATACTACTATAGAAAATGAAATATTGAGATGAGTTTAAGAATTAAAACGCTCACCAAATATCTTGACAATAGTATCCAAAATTGAGTCAAGAAGGTCTTTTGCTGCAGTTTGCGCTATGCCTCCTGGACCCATAAGAGGCGACACAGGGCTCACAGCCAGGTGTGTTCCTGAATTTGATATCCCATTTTGAGGTTTCTCTTTTGATAACCTATAGGCTTCCGACTGTCCTTTGATAAAATGCAATCCCGGGGCTACCGGTCGATCACCCTGACCACAGGCGGACTTTGACAAATTTGTAGTCTCCATATGGGCTTTAACCTTGGATATTATGATCTCATGAATTGTGGGTCGAAGTTTTTGGCTGCAAGAGAACCCAAAAACATTCCTAAGAAAATTTGACAATTTCTGTAACGGAATGTACTTATTTCATCCTGTAACAATTTTGAATCGAAAACTAGCAATATCTGAGCTGCATCGATTATCCTTTCATATTTAACTTCAGGAATGGTAAACGTTAAATGCTCCCAAAAATTAAACATATACATCTGATAAAGATATCTAGTGATAACATCGGTGACAAGTTAACTAACAAATTGAGCCCCCTGCTAGCGATCTAAACTAATAGATATTAAAGGAGTGAATTTTCTATAGCAGTAGCCAGATGTAAAACAGAAATCGAAGCTTTTTTAAAATTATTTAGAAAAATGAAAAATATTAGAAAGCCAACCATATTATAGCACCAGCAGCTGCAACTTTTCCAAGCATGCAGAGACACTGAACAAGGGTCTGTAGATACTTCACATGCAATGGATCATCACTCTTCCTTATTGCTTCCTGAAACAGGAGAAAAATCAATGTCACAACCCTGAAAAATGGGCAGAAAATATGTTATGGAACCGTGTCACAAGCACGTACAATAAACTCGTCAGGAGTGGAATCAGAAAGCCAGGGCGGAAGTTGGTAAGAAAGCAATTTACTATCAATGCCATTCCTGACAGTATGCCCATCTGCGGTGGCTTCATCATGTTCTACAGAGTCCTCCTCATCATGTCCATCAAATGATGAACTAAGAAACACAATGCGATTAAAGAAACACACATTAGCGAAGCCAAGGAATGGCTAAACAAGCAAAGTATTTTCATAAAAACAGAACAAAGGTAGCACACAACCTTAGGTTGACAAAGCAACTTCTGCCGTAATCAATTTACAGCATACTCAAGATTTTTTAATGAAGGAAATTGCAAGAAGAACCTCCACACAGGGATTAGAGAAATGATGCAAGTATGGTAATCTAACCACTAGCAATAAAGCCGCGAGAGCCTCTATGGAGAACCGTAACTTAACAGACAGTTACTAAACAATGATCACTCAGAATAAATTTAATCTTTATAGACGAAAAAATGTTCCTAATATTTCATGAAAAATCAACTGATGGGAAAGGTTGCTATCATACCCTTCATCCATAGAAGCTGTTCTATGTGAACCATTTGTGAGCCCTCTAACACCAAACTGACTATCACCTTTCAGTGTCCTTGTTCTACGAGACAGTGGTTGTGAACTCATTCGACTAGCTGCAACAGCTGTTGTTGTTGGTACTTCATCGTCTCTTTCATATATGCTTGACGCAACTGAACTGAAGCATAAACAAGGTCAAGACAGAAGATTGTGCAGTGATAGAAGTTATGAGGCACACTATCAAGAAAGCAGGCCACCTGAACGAAGGATTAAAAGCAGCACGCTTCTGCAATTCATCTATAGAAGCTGAAAAGAAACATACCTGTATTCACCTCTATTGTACAGGTGTGCATGCAAATCGTCTAAAATTTTGAAGAAAAGGGCTCCCCGCAGCTTAGATAGCTCAGATCTTACATCTTGAAGAGCACCAACCTAGGTGAACGTACCAGAATATCAATGAGTACAACATCCAAGTGAACAGTAGATGTCTTGAACAGAAACAATCGGAAAGTCCCAATGGAAATTAGATGATACTAGATCCCCTTCAAAGGATTAATAACAAAACAGTCCTAGAGATCAATTTGACAAATGATTGGGAATACCCGAAAAGTTCTCATGAGATTGCTTTTCCAGCATTTGTTAACATTGGCAGTTAGGAAATTACCGTTTGAAGCCCCTCACGCTCAAGCATTAGAGACGACTGGAGATACACTTGAATAGCAGCGTAAAACTGCTTATCTGCAATAAGCTTCTCAATACGAGATGGAACCTGTTTAATGTTTCAGGAGGCAGAACCACCAATTTCACATCAGAAAAGCAGTTTCTTTATATAGCACAAAATAAAAGAAAGTAAGTATAACTATTGGAAACATATCAACAAAAGTATCATCAGAAACACAGAGTGCTATCATAAATGAAGGATATAACTTCAGATCAGCGGAAATACATAGCAAGAGCTGTCCACAAAAAATCAACTAAGAAATGTTACGGCTAATCCGACCAACCTTAGCAATGCCCTCAATTTGATCCAAAAGTGAGATGATGTGCCGCAATGTTACAGAACGGTACCACAACTGATGTAATTGTTTATTGCGTGCACCCAAGCTCTTCTTTGCTTCTGCCAAATCGTGCTTCAAGTCACCTATTTTTTCAGTGGACTCACTGAATAGCCGCAAAATCTGATGAGGAATACATTGAAGGCAGAGCAAAAGAAGAGAGAATTAAAATCAAGGTACTTAACGAATGAAATTATTTGTTGACTAGTATTATTTTAAAAGAAAATCCAAATTTAGTATGGATGGTAGATTGTAAATCGAATGAGCAATTTAAATGTCAAATTATCAATAAGCGGTAACAGAAGTTTATGGGAAGTATTTGGTTGCTGCTTAAGAAAAAAAAAGACAAGCACTATCCAACAAAAAGGAAGAGCCAACAGATAGTAGAAACCTGGGAGTAGTTTTGAATGGCCTTGTTGAAACCACCATGATAAGCATGCACTACTTCATCCACAACCTCCTCGACAACATCACTTTGTTCCTTTAATATGTGAATATCAGCTTCACGGTCCTTTGACGTAAGGATATGGACCACATGTGGCAAAGAGTCAAAGCGTGCAGCAGCCCAGCTCTCATCTATTCGTGCTAGCTCCTCCCTAAGGTACTGCAATAACCATCATCACTCAGGCGCGCACACACACACACACGTACTCCAAAAACGAAAACTGAGAGCAGTGATAATTCCAGTCGATTTCCTATCTAGCACTTGTATCACTTCTTCCAGTAAATTCTAACCCCATTGATAAGAGAATTAATAAAACGTCCGACATACTTTATGATCCTATAAAGTACTAAGGGGGGTGAAAGAACACCGTTGAAGCAAACGATTCCTCCCTTAAGGCCGACCTTATGGTTCTTTTACTTAGCTAGGAGTAAAGAAAGTGGACTAAGACTTACAGTTTTATCCGAGGGAACAGGCAAACCATTGAAAATTCCCATGCTGGCGAACTTGTTTCGTTTGGCTTGTTCGAGCCCAAATGAATATTCCTCAGCACATTCCAATCAAGCTCTCTGTAGCTGAAAGCAAAAAGTTCAAAACCCAAAACGAGTTAAACACATACATGAGCTAGAGACCACGCTGCTACAGCATCCCTACGTTGAATCGCAGTTCAATACCAACAAAAATTACGAAGAAGCTAGTGTACCGGGACCGAGGACAACGAATTCAAGTCAGGAGTATTGAATTTCCGATAAGAAATTACATTGCAAGCATTTACAATCATCAATCCTTCAGCGAAAGATCTAACCGATAAGCAGAGAACGATAATCCAATTACATGACAATTACAACTGACGGCGAGACTATTGGCGCATAAAGAAATCGAAAATACTCGAAGTAGATCTAGAGAGGAAAACAGAAAAACGAAATGAGAATTCAGCTGCGAATCTTACCTGAGATAATCGAATCTGATCAGTGCGTCTCCGATCACGAAGAAAAAACTAAATCGCCAGAAAATGGAGAAGTATGAAGGGAAAATTCTATACGCGTTGTTCTCGTTTGAAGTTCTTCTAATTTTCCAGACTTTTCGTCTCTCTAATTGTATTTCTGTTCCCTGTTTTTGTTTTTCCCCAATTTGTTTACAATATTAATTTAATTGTTTGGAAAATACAAAAAAAAAACCAACTTACAGTATTTATTTACAATAATAATCAGAGAGATACAGCAATAACTTCAAGGAAAAGATCCGTAATAGTGATAAAGGAGAATGATGATTTTATACATTGAAACGTAATCCCAAAAAAATGTATAAAATCAAAAATTTGGGTGGCTTGGAGATACATCGTAAGTAAACAGATTTTAGATATGGTAAATACTTATTAACTAACATATACATATTTAATGTTAAAAAAAACTAACATATACAGATTTTAGATATGGTATATGCTTATTAACTAACATATACATATTTAATGTTAAAAAAAAAAACTAACATATACATATTTTATGGAAGTTGCTTCTACGTGTGTACTGTTATTAGCGATAAATCTATGATTTTAATGATCCTCCGTCTTTGGATTAATCGAATAACCAAACAATAAGAGCTGAACAAATTTGTTATTGATTTTCCGTCTATTTTCACACGAACAGAAAATAATATGATTTTTTTCCAATCATCTCCCACTTGGGCTTCGCCATTAATTTAAGAAATATGCATTGCCTACTGGGCTTTATAACAGAAAATGGGCCATGGGCATCTTTGTAATTTTCTTTTCCCATGCTAGAACACAAAAAAGAAACAGACGATCTTTTTCTTCCTCCTCCGTCTATTTTAATTCCTCCTCGTCTGACGACCACTCTCCTGCAATTCGACGGCGGCGTAAAGATGAATCCACCGGACAAGAACCAAGATAATGCCCCCTCTGTATCTCACCCTCAGTTTTCTACTCTTCCTCCACAATCTATCTCGAATCCTAATCCAGACCCAAGTTTGAATCCATTTCCGAGCTCGATCTCCAACTCAATCTCTAGCCCTAGTTTTGAGCAGATGGTCTCCTTCTCCGCGCCAAAGAAACGAAGAAGAGGCCGCTCTCAGCGCTCAGCGTCGTCGTTTCACATCCTTCCCGTCCCAAACCTCGGCGTTAACAGTAATTTCGTCTCATCTTCAGCCTCTTCTTCCGGTAGAGTGAACATTGAGGTCAATGGATCGAACCAGGCTCTACAAAATTATCCCGGGATAGGCGATGAGATCATCACGATCAACAAGGAGGCTACCACCGAGGCATTGCTTGCTCTCACAGCTGGGTTTCCCGCCGACTCGCTCACCGAGGAAGAGATTGATTTCGGCGTGGTCCCTGTGGTTGGAGGCATCGAACAAGTGAATTACATTTTGATTAGGAACCACATCATATCGAAATGGCGAGAAAATGTATCTAGTTGGGTCACAAAGGAGATGTTTCTCGACTCAATTCCTAAACACTGCACTAGTCTCTTGGATTCGGCTTATAATTACTTGGTTCTACATGGTTACATCAATTTCGGTATAGCACAGGCAATCAAAGACAAGATCCCTGCTCAATCGAGCAAGCCTAGTGTGGTTATAGTGGGTGCTGGATTAGCTGGGTTAGCTGCGGCAAGGCAGCTGCTGAGGTTCGGGTTCAAAGTCACGGTCTTGGAAGGTAGGAAACGACCCGGTGGACGAGTTTATACCAAGAAGATGGAAGGTAACAGAGTAGGCGCTGCAGCGGATTTAGGAGGAAGTGTTTTGACTGGAACATTAGGGAACCCTCTAGGGATTATAGCGAGGCAGCTAGGTTCTTCTCTTTATAAGGTGCGAGATAAGTGTCCTCTCTATAGAGTCGATGGTAAACCGGTTGATCAAGATCTGGATATGAAGGTCGAGGCAGCTTTCAACGGGCTTCTAGACAAGGCGAGTAAACTTAGGCAGTTGATGGGTGATGCCTCCATGGATGTCTCCCTTGGGGCAGCACTCGAGACGTTCAGGCAGGTCTATGGGGACGCGGACGCTGTAGCCACTGAGGAGATGAGTCTGTTTAATTGGCATCTTGCGAACTTGGAATATGCAAATGCGGGTTTAGTGTCGAAGCTCTCTCTTGCGTTCTGGGATCAAGATGATCCATACGATATGGGTGGAGATCACTGCTTTCTGCCTGGAGGTAATGGAAGGCTGGTTCATGCTTTGGCTGAGAATGTACCAATCTTGTATGAGAAGACCGTTCAAACAATTAGATATGGTGCAGATGGTGTAAAGGTTACTGCTGGAAATCAAGTCTATGAGGGTGATATGGTGCTGTGTACAGTTCCCCTTGGTGTCCTGAAGAACGGATCCATCAAATTTGTGCCCGAGTTGCCTCAGAGGAAGCTTGATTGTATAAAGAGATTAGGTTTTGGGTTATTGAATAAGGTTGCGATGCTCTTTCCGTATGTATTTTGGAGCACAGATCTCGATACATTTGGTCATCTTACCGAGGATCCGAACTATCGAGGTGAATTCTTTCTGTTCTACAGCTATGCCCCTGTTGCAGGTGGTCCTCTATTGATCGCGTTGGTTGCGGGAGAAGCTGCTCATAAGTTTGAGACAATGCCACCCACTGACGCAGTGACTCGTGTTCTTCAGATTCTTAGGGGTAATAAATTTTCTATATTTGGAGACCGAATCTCCATTAAATTCATTTACAATCTCAACCCTGATACGTAGGTCCAGCATTATCTGTGTTCCATATTTGATGAAGTTGATGCTGATGTAAGACAGAATTTGCATCTTAATGAATTTTCAGGTATGTATGAACCACAAGGAATAAATGTCCCTGATCCAATTCAAACGGTCTGCACCAGATGGGGCGGGGATCCATTCAGCTTAGGGTCTTACTCTAATGTTGCAGTGGGAGCCTCAGGTGATGATTACGACATATTAGCAGAAAGTGTGGGAGATGGAAGGCTCTTCTTTGCCGGGGAAGCCACGACAAGGCGGTACCCTGCAACCATGCATGGAGCTTTCGTCACTGGTCTGCGAGAAGCTGCAAACATGGCTCAATCTGCCAAATCCCGAGGCATAAGGAAGAGAATCGATAGGAACCCTTCAAAGAATCCCCATTCTTGTGCCACCCTTCTTGCAGATTTGTTCAGGGACCCTGATCTGGAGTTTGGGGGTTTTTCCATAATCTTTAGTCGAAGGAATCCGGACCCAAAGTCTCCTGCAATTCTTAGGGTAACGCTAAGCGAGCCTCGAAAGAGGAACGAAGACCCAGTAGCAGATCGGCACTCAAACAAGATACTGTTTCAGCAGCTTCAGTCTCATTTCAACCAGCAGCAACAGATTCAGGTGTATACGTTATTGACTAGACAACAGGCTCTTGACCTGAGAGAAGTCAGAGGTGGTGATGAAAAGAGACTTTACTATCTATGCGAGACACTTGGAGTGAAGCTGGTGGGAAGAAAAGGTCTAGGAATTGGAGCTGATTCCGTCATCGCTTCTATTAAAGCCGAGCGAACCGGCCGCAAACCAGCATCATCATTATCTCCGGGCTCAAAATCTGGTTAGGCTCTATAATTCCGGATTTGATTACTATCCATACTTTATTGTGTAGAATCAGTAATGACATCTTTTACTTTTCTCTCTATTGAGAAGGTATATTAAAAGGGAAATCCGGTGCACTGAAGCGGAAGCTGATCAGGTTAAACCACAAGGTCTTATGTGTCGTAGTCTCTCTCACTTATCAATATACACATATCTAAGTACTTTTGTTGTTGCACAGAAGGATTAAAGGACCGGTGCCGCCGAATCAAAATAATAATGGGGTCTCAGAGACTATGAAACATGAGTCTATAGGGAATGGCAAAGCCTCTGAGGAAGCTACAGTAGTAGAGGCGATAGGAAGCAGCAGCGTGCAAGAGGAAAGCAAGTGGTTGGGTACAGGAGTTGCATCGAGTTCTGGTATTCATTCTTTTTTAATTTGTGTCAGTTACTCTTGGGAGTATTGTTCCTTTTGAAATTTTGATCAATTTTTACCTCGATAGGTGGTTCCTTACATGGGGAGACGATGAAAAGATGACAGAGTGAATAAACGAATAAACAAAAACCCCCACTCGAAGCAATGATTGAAGAATTCGAGGTTTGATGAAGACAAGAACAAATGTAGTTCTGGTCTCAGCTCCGACCAAACCAAGCCACTGGAGGGCAGATATGGCCATCGAGTGCAAAGTTCACTTCACGATGATGAATGATTGAACTGTGAGACTCGTGAGAGTTTCAAAATGTCACCCCACTTCTCTCCATTCTTTTACAGATGGAGTCTCATCTTTTCTTCTCATTGTAATCTTATGCTATTAATCAAAATACTCACTGTTTGTTTATCCAAGTAAGTAATGTTTTGTAATGCACACGAAGATTAATAAAATCACTGTATTATCTCTGTTTTATTACTAGTGTTAAAACCATAAATATTTATTTGCTAAGTTATCTTCTTAGAAAAATTAAAAAAATAAAGGAGTATAAATACTCCCTTTAAAAAGCGGAACAAACACAGTAAGAAACAATTGTGGAAGTAAGAGTAAATGGTGCAGACGAAGAAGAAGAAGAGTCATCATAGCGACGATGAAGAGGACGACATATTCTACTACCGCTACTCTTCCATCGCTGCACCACCGTTACCTCCTTCGAACCTTAGACAAGCTTCTTCTTCCGCCAAATCCTCGGCTCCCGGTGGATCAGGCGGCTTAGCCCCTTCCAAATCGACGCTCTATGTCTCCAATCTCGATTTCTCCCTCACCAATTCCGACATCCACACGCTCTTCTCCACCTTCGGCAAGGTCGCGCGAGTCACCGTTCTCAAGGATCGCCAGACTCGCCGCTCCCGTGGCGTCGCCTTCGTGCTCTACGTCTCTCGCAAAGACGCGGCTAAAGCGGCGCGTTCCATGGAAGGGAAGATCCTTAATGGCCGGAAATTGACGGTTTCGATCGCCGCCGATAACGGAAGGGCGTCGGAGTTTATTAAGAAGAGAGTGTACAAGGATAAATCCAGGTGTTACGAGTGTGGAGACGAAGGGCATCTTTCGTACGAGTGCCCTAGAAATCAATTGGGTCCAAGGGAGAGACCTCCGCCGCCGAAGAAAAGGGGGCGGCGGACGGAGGATGAAGGAGAGGCTGAGGAGACGAGGGATTGGTCGGCGCCGTCGTCGGCTTTGACGGAGGGAGTCGAGGAGGAGAATTGGGCTTCTGTGGTGGATAACGAAGCTGGAGAGAGACTGAGGATGAGAGAAGCAGAGGAAGAAGAAGAGAAGAGGAAGAAGAGAAAGGAGGCTGCAGGAAAAAAAGTTAGCTACTTTAGTGATGAGAGTGATGATGAAGATTAGGTTTTTTAAATCCATTTTCTGGTCTGTGAATATTGAAAGAGCTCGAAGCAGAGAGTGAGATGAAATGTCTTGAACAAATTCAATCTTCTGCAGGTTTCAGATTTGAGATTTGATATGGTGTACAAGAAGAAACCTTCTCACTAGAAAACGCAACTCTTTCCTCAATTGTTCATCAATACATTGCTCTTAATTTTAAGATTAAACACTTGCGCTTGTATTGTATACTGCAATTGATAGAGTTATTTAGTGAAACCATAGGCATGTGAATATTGAAAGAGTTCCAATCAGAGAATGAGAAATTGATACGAAGTTTACACTCGACAAGTAAACTTGTGCCACTTCTTGTTATTTCCATGATTACATCCTTTCGCATCAATACATTTTCAGCTCTTGATACGACACTCTTGTGCATCGACATGGATACATTGTGTAATGCCAACTTATAGAGTCATGTTGCAGAGGAAAATTTTAGCTGGAACCGCTCCCGGTCTGCATTGAGAAGAAGAAATGTTTGATTGTTCTTATACGTATCAAGATTGAAAAGCATAGCTGAAACTAGTGACTTTGGTGCGTCATTTTTAGAGATTCACTAACCATCAACTCGTGATCTCCCATGATTTCCTCCATCAATTCCAAGATAGGTTTATCAGCACTGTTCGGAACCATAGCTGCAAACACTGCTGGTTCTAGCCCTGCATTTGATCCACCAGTTTTATAAGCTTTCCTGTATTTGAGTTCTTAGTACATGTTTGCATAGGAAGGTACAGTACCGGTTTCTGGAAACGCATCAATGAACATCATCATCTCCTCTCCTGTCAAACCAGATAAGAAGCAGATCCTAGGCAGCGACTCCGCTATCTGCAACGTAGATTTCTGTAAGAAACAACGACACAGGAGAACCTTAACGGAAACTGGAAGTTACATACTTTCACTCTCTTCAGGTCAGTCTGTCTTGTGTTGACTGCTTCCCATAACGAACGCGGGATCATATCTTCCGTACAGAACATAATCTGGAGTTTTCTCCACACAGCAACATTATTAGTTTTAAGGATCTTGCAAGAGCCGGATAGAGTTATTCCGATTTACCTTCATGAATTCGCCATCGAGCTCCTTAAGAAGCTCTTGTACCTGCACTACAAGGATGATAAGATTAATCCAAAGAGTCAAGAAGAATTGCAAAGTGTGAGATATGTAATTCTGTTTCCATTTGTAAAATTTACCTTTTGTGCTTCATGAAATTGAAAGCCAAGCAACAACAAAACCTGCAGAAAGAAGATATTTTCAGAAGTGTTGTTTATGATCACATACTTGAACAGTAAAGATTAAAGGAGTGAAAGAAACTGACTGGAGGGCCGAATACAGGATCTTGAGGATCCAAAGGTACAAACTTGGAATCTTCCTCTAGTTTCTGCGGAATCTCTTTAGCTGAAACTTTAACGCAGAGCTTTTGCTTGAGCTTTGTGTTTATGAGGTGAGGTTTTTTCTTTGCCCATAACAAAGAAGACGTAGCGAGTCCAACGATGCGAGAGTTCACTAAATTCGTATATGAAGATGAAGAAGAAGTTGGCCTTGAGATTGCAAACCCCAACGAAGAAATCGACATTGCTCCTTCTCCTCCTTATCTAATCTGTATCTTGTTTGACAGATAAAAATTGTTCATATAGCCTAATCATATTTCGCCATGTGTCAGGGAGGTGTTCTTCCATTGTACTCGGTTTTCGGTTTAGCCGCATCGAACCAAGCAGGTTCTCATTTAATTCGGTTTGATGTGAATTTGATAGTATCATGTCTTCTACTTTGAAAAATCTACAATTTTATATCCTTTTGCAAACGATTCCCATCATTTCACACTACACATACATACACGTTTTTAAGTCTGCAATTTCAAACGTTACCAATAAAAGAAAAACCACGGAAAACAGGGCAGATCTAAATCTTTTTCTTTTGTCTTTTTAGAATATGCTTTGTTTAACGAAATGTGCAACCCCTACATATAACATTTCTTTTTTTTTAGATCCAATTAAAGAAGGAAACGTCAAGTAGTGTTTACGCAACACATTGCTGCTTTTTAAGGTTTATCTGCAATTTAAAAGAATATGGGATCACATCTGAGCAACAAGATCCTCTCCCTCTGTAGTAGCCACAACCCCATCTGCAGTAACCACAACCCCATCTGTAGTAGCCACATCATCTCCACTAAGAGAATTCTTCATCCACCCCTTCAACATTTCCAACGCAGCTTTTGGCTGGTCCATTGGAACCATATGTCCCGCATCGTGCACCTGTATAATCACCAAAACTCTTTGTCGTTACTACAAAAGACAATCAGCAGGACGAACGAAAGACTTGTCTTTATGTAAGAAAATACTGACCTTGAGGAAACTGAGTTGTCCATAACTCTTTAACGAGCCTGCCTTTTTGCCATCAACCATAAACGGAACTTCTTTAGTCGCCTTAAAGCTCTCTTTCCCTGACCACTCCATTGCATTCACCCACCTCGAGTTACCTGCTCCAATTTATCATGTCAGAATGTTTTTGGATATCAATCATGTATCACGAAACCGATAGTTGATTTTGTTTCACTAATCTCAAGTGTTGGATTTAATTTTGTTATGTTTTTTTGGAACTTACCGAGCCAGTTGCAGATGAGATCATATTCTCCGGCATACACAAGAAGGTTGATTCCATCTTCCAAGAGCGTGGGAATTCCAACCTCGAGATTCCTCATCCAATCTTGTAGCATTGCCGAATAGACACTAGTACTACAGGAGACGAACTCGATGTCCCCAACACCGAGCGACTTTCTCACAGATTTCAGATTCAAGAATTTCTCCATGTTTGAAAAGTCGTAGCACAAACTCCCCTCACACTTCTTCCTGATGTCGTAATACTACACAACAAATGTGATATTAGGTTATCCATTACTTGAAATGCAGAAAGGCTAAACAAGTTTGGTTTCTTCAAGTGTCGACTTCTCTTATGGTTTTTGAAGGAAGGAATAAATTTCACATGACGTTGCCAGAAACGTCATTAGCTGGAAAATATCCAATTATCAAAATATATTAAACACTTATTTTGGACTTACGTTTACTCCACCAGCATGATTTATTACACCACTGAACAAGGTGTTGCAAACAAGATATGATGCCATGCAAGAAACTGTCCCATCAGTTCCTGAAAAACCCCAAACAAGCAAAAAAAAAAAAAAAAATACAGGAGTTCAGGATCCGATTTAATACAGGTGAAGCAGTTTGAAAACATAACTTGATAATGAAAAAGTGAGAAAGTACCACAAAGCTTAATTGATAGTTCGCACAGTGGGACAATCTTTTCTAAACGATCATGCTCAGCTTTCGAAATCAAACCCATTTCCAAAGCATAGTCAGGATAGGCAGGGTATTGGATTGCAGGATCTGTAAGCCCATTTCCAATGGCGAATCCCTGGGAGATTATACTTCTTTGTGAGTACCAACCTTCCATTATCACCTTACAGGCGAAACAAAAAACAATCACATACCTTAAGGTTAACATGAACTCCCTCATTAGCTTTGTTTCCTCTATGGACTCGGGAAGCAAAAGCCGGAATGTAATGCCCAGCATATGACTCTCCAGTTATGAAAAAGTCGTTTTTTGCCAACTTAGGGTGCTCCGCTAAGAAAGCCTGAGGTAGTAACATCAGGAAACATAGTCACGATCTTGTGACAGATAAATAAGCTTAAAAGAGGTTTATCCAAGGTCAAAGTATGAAAGCAGGTTTCTGTATTCACAAAAGAAAAAGGAACTCAAGAGAAAATCCAGTGGCAGACCTGCAGGAAATCATACAGATCATCGCTAACTCCGGTTTCGTCATGACGGATATCACTTTTGTCTGTTGTGTAGCTGAAACCAGTTCCAACAGGCTGGTCAACATATAGAAGATTGGAAGCCTGCAAAACAAAATGCTCAGCTAACTCTCATGTGCAAAAATCAAGAACAAACAAACTAATAAGAATTGGGAAAAAATATAGTTTAGTAGGCTCATAATGTATAAGGTAATACCTGGTCCCATCCATACTCATTCCAAGCAAGAGACATGTTCTTATCGATCTTGAAAGGACCGTTCTCATAGAACATAGCCAATTCACTGCTGCATCCAGGTCCTCCCGTCAACCAAATCACAAGAGGAGCATCCTTCTTGCAGCGTGATTCAAAGAAGAAGTAGAACATCCTAGAAGCAAACAGGTGAACAAGCAATTAAATCTATTCCCACTAATTCGAGATTCATTTTAGGAAAACGTTACCCAAAGTCCAAAATCAGATACTAAATCTTCACCAACACAAATGTACACGATCCGGTATGACTAGTAAGCTTCAAAATACACATGATTCAACCACAAAATCTGGGAATAGAAATAAAACCTTGCGCCTTGGGATTTAGGGAGCTTGTAATAACCAGCATGATGACCTAAATCCTCGACGGAATCGCCACCATCGGAAATAATATTCGGGAACCTGAAGTTCCGTTCAACAATCGAAGGTAACTCCGCGGAAGTGAGAGTCGAATCACCACCATCGATCACGTTCACGTCCAGCTTCGGAAAAAGGTTTAGCTCCCGGATCAGCTTCTCCGCCCGCGATGACGGCAAGCTCGATATCTCGAAGCTGCGATCCTCCAAGAGAATAGAAGAAGACGGAAACGTAGAAGCGATGAAGACGACGAAATGCAAGAGAAGGGAGAGGAAAGTCTGTTTCTCCATTTTCGTTTTTTTTTTTTTTTCAACTGTGCTTTTTCTTTTTTCGATTCTCGTTTCGTTGAGATTGTATACAATTGAGGGAGAGAAGGGACACGTGGGTAGAAAATATCTGAGAAGTATCCTTTCGAACGTGCCGGGAAACTTGGGGCTATTTTGTGAATTTGGATAAGTTGTGGGCGATCTGTTACAACTTACAAGTAGATAACGTCTTGGGGCAATTAACGGTTAGGCACGCAAGTTTAATGTGAAGCAAAAGGTGGATGGATGTGGGTCCCAAATATAAAAATAAAAGTGAAAACAAAAAATATCCGACCTGCCGGAATCGAACCAGCGACCTAAAGATTTCTTTGGGAGAACCCACTACAGTCTTCCGCTCTGCCAACTGAGCTAAGGTCGGTTTGCTAATTACGTGAACTTTGAAGCTATATATAGTTAAAACTACTGATTACCCCGACTAAATTGGGCCAAATCCTTCCTTAGAAAGCCCAAACATGTAAGCCTTGATATTTTTGGTGTGTATATGTTAAAATAATATTGTTTTCAGAAACAAAGCATAAACACCTTTTTTGTAATTTGTAAGCATGAGTTTGAAATGTAATATGAAAGAAAAAATTTGTAGGTTTTTGTTTGCATGTATATATTTTTATTACACTAATCTTAAAGTATATTGGGTCAAAATTCTTAAAACAAATTGAAAAAGTTCTTCTGTACGTGAGTTTCTTCTGCCTTGACCCAATCACAAGACCCAAGCCCAGATCACAACGGTAAGCAATTTAGAACTGAGAATAAAAATGACCTATCTTGTAAATACACAATTTTGGTTCGACTTTAAATTTCATCATTAATTTACTTTGGTTTTTGTTTGGTTTAAATTAGTCTGCAATTTTGGTTCAAATTTTAATTTGCAGAGCAAAAAAGTTGACGACTTTTTTTTCATCTGCCGTGCGAAAGACCAACTCCCTCCCTTCTTTGGTTTAAGTTCGTCAAAGAGTTCCCGAAGTTTGGCAATCAACGGCAGCTCCATAGCCAGACACGTGTCAATAATATTTGTCTAATTCTCCACGTGGCATCACGTCAACCACTTGTCTAAACGGCTATGTTATCTTTCCCTCCATAATGGACCCTACCTCTGGCTCTACACAATTGCAGTTTCCATGGAGATGCGTTGATCCCTTGGAATCTTCCACTATTTTCAGTCTTCACGCATCATATTATTAATAAAAAGCAGAAGAAAAAACTAAAGAGTAGACCGTAAACGTCGTCGTTTCAGTTTGCTTCATATCTTCGTCTCCTCAGCTTTTCCTTTTTAGCTTCGTTTCTGCCTTCAGAAACACATACACACACACCAGTAGCGAAAAACGAAAAACGGAATCTCTTATTTAATTCATTAATTTAATTAAAAGTATATAATTTTTTTAATAAGTAACTGTGATGAGGGCGTTGAATTCGCGGCTAGTTCTGATCGACATCAACAGCTCATGGCAAGCATCGCGACGACTGATCTCCGCCACCGCAACCGCCTTTTCATCTGACTCATCATCTTCGTTGCGTCGAACACGTGGTGCCCGTCAGAGGATCGCTTCGTCGAAGTCTCCGGCGTCGCCGTCTCCGGTGCGGAGACAGTCTGATGGATTCAGTTTCGATGTTCGGCCACCGTCAGCTGATTCAGAGAACTCCGCATCGATCTCGTCGCGGAAACCAGCGACGGCGACGCCGCCTACGGTGGAGCTAGACGCTTTCCTCGAGATTCTTCCTCCCGCTACGAGGAAGGAGCTCGTTAAGCACGAGGCGATCGGAGAATTGATCGAGGTTGTGATGGATTTAGGGAGAAAGCCACTAGCTAGATTCCCTTCCGGCGATTGGGTCATCTCAGAGCAGCCTGTGACTCAGCAGGATCTGAAGCTTGCGGTATCAAAGGTGTGTCTCTGATCTAATAATACATGCAACTAAATTCCTCAAATGCTTTAAGCTGAATTAATTAATTTCGCATGGTCTCTGCTTGAATCAAAAGTTTTTTTTTTTTTTTTTTTTTGTATTTTGTGATGAATCTGAGCTGATGACAAAAAATGTGTTTTCAATTTAGGTTGGTGATTTTTCGGATGATAACCGATCTGGGATTAACAGATCGTTGCATCGTATAAGCGCTATACGTAACCGCAAACTGCAAGTAATTGGTCTAACATGTCGGGTGGGTCGAGCTGTATCTGGAAGTGCAGAGATCATAAGAGACTTGATAGAAGGAGGAGGATCCATCTTGGTCATAGGATCTCCTGGAGTTGGCAAAACAACTTTAATCAGGTACATTGATTTAGATCCCGGGTTTATGCATTGGTAATGAACTTATCATGTAATGAATGATGATTTTGGTTTTGTTTTTCTCGTACAGAGAAATCGCACGGATGTTAGCTGATGAGCACAGGAAACGTGTAGTGATTGTCGACACGTCAAATGAGATTGGAGGTGACGGTGATGTTCCTCATTCTGGAATCGGCCGTGCCAGGCGGATGCAAGTTCCAAACGTGAATTTACAGCACGATGTAAGTTAATATATATGTTGGAATATGGGAATTGAAAAGAATATTAATGTGTTTAATGATTTTATTGATGGCAAAAAAAACCTGACGCAGGTTATGATTGAGGCGGTTGAGAATCATATGCCTGAGACTATCATCATCGATGAGATAGGAACAGAGCTTGAAGCATTAGCAGCTAGCACTATCGCTCAGCGAGGTGTTCAGCTTGTTGCAACTGCTCATGGGATGACTATAGACAACATAATCAAGAATCCCTCTTTGCAGATCCTTATCGGTGGGATTGAGGTGTGTGTGACCTTATAGGCTACAACTTTGATTCTTTCTTTTTTCCTGCTCTCTTGTTATCATCAGAGTAATTTGAGTTTTTTGTTTACCCAGAGTGTGACTCTTGGTGATGAGGAAGCAAGGAAAAGAAAAGTGCAGAAGACAATTCTTGAAAGAAAAGGACCTCCAACCTTTACTTGTGCTGTCGAGATGATATCGAGAACCGAGTGCCGTGTTCATCAAAGGCTAGATGTCACCGTTGATGCTATACTAGCTGGTAAGTTAAAAAAAAAAACAGTTTCTCCCTTCATTGTGAATTTGACGACCGAGCAGATTGGGAAACCAAACTGAGCAAACTTTTTTCTTATTATAGGGAAATCCGCTCCATGTGAGATCCGTCAAATTCGTGGCGAGGATGATGTTCCTCATAAGTTAGTGACTCCCATTCCTTTGGAGAACCTTGAAGAGAAGCCTGCGCCATTGCTCAATATAGATTTCGCAAGCGAAGTGCTGTCTGACGACGAAGATGAAGAAGACTTTCTTCCCACTCCGTATAACAAGGCCAGAAATAACATATCCATGAGCCAAAGAAGCTCACCTGTTCTCGTTTATACTTACAATGTAAAGTACCCGAGCTTCTAACTTTGCCTTTTTTTCTGATCCTTTCGAAACACAACCTTGATCTCAAGCAGCTAAAAATACTAACTATAGAGACATGGTCCTCTGTCATTGTGATTTAGGTCTTTGAAGCTGATCTCCTTCAAGTAGCTGAAGTTATGGGACTAGAAAACGACATAGAAGTGACAGATGATGTTGGAGAAGCAGATGTCATTCTAGCCTCGAGTTCTGAATTGAAACAGAATTCATCGATCCGTCGTGTTGCCAAATTACACAAGCTACCGATATTTGTCATTAAGGTATCCTTCTTCTTGCATCATTGACGATGCTGGTTCGCCGCATTCCAGTGTTACACACTAAATTTGACTAATGTCCTTCTTCCTGTTAATACCTTGCAGTCAACTACAATGGCTCAGATGGTCAAGGCAGTCCGAATGATCCTTGGGAGAGAATCGTTTGGCTCAGCCCCTATAACCATAGAGAAATCTTCTGTTGATGATATCGAGATCAAAGACGATGCTCCAGAGAGCAAACCCAGTTTGGAAGAACTCGATGCCCTCGAGGTAACTCTCATCCCGCTCTTGATATCAATGCAGTACAGTGACTATAGACTAGGGAATATGGACACTTGCGAGTATAAATATCCATTGTTTCTGAAACGCAGGAGGTCCGTCTAGCGATCGAATACATTGTAATCCCCGGAGGTGAACCGGTGGAGCTTCTTCCTAGACGGTCAGACATAATAGTCCGGCAGCTAGAGCTGGTGGAGAGTTACCAACTCGCGGTGGAGAATCTCGGCACTCACCTTAACCCGCGGCTTCAGATTCTTCCTCGCCGATCCACCAAGAAAACGTTGCCATCTTCATCCCCGAAGAAAGCAGCAGATGATAGCATGGGGAACACCGTTACTCGTCTTCCTTTCCTTAAGGATTGACATCTCTGACTCAGCATATGGATACACGTTTGGAGACACTCTTGAACATTGTACATTTACTCTTAAGTCTTGGTAAATAATCTTCTGTTAATGTTGTTGGTCATTGTTACTCATTTGCAATGTATGTTACAACTGCAATGATATTGCTCCGTCTTCTTTAAATATTCCCCATGACGTTGAGGACAAAAAGGGTGCAAGCTGTATATATATATATTTTTACTCTTTGTATTTATTATTTATAAAAAGAATTTATTCATGAATGATTTGATTTTGTTTGTTTTCTAAATTAAGTAGAAAGCTCCTCCCATTTGTTGCATTTTAGATTCGTTAGAAGTAGCAAACATGAGTGAGCCTTGAATCCTTGATACACAAGATAAAACAGGCGAATCATTTGATTGACCAAACCAAGCGAACCGGTTAGGCTGCTAAAAGTGCGAACATTTCAAATCAATTTTCTCTAGGCTTTTTCAGAAGCCAATTTCTCGCGTTTGCGTTTGTGTTTTCATTTGAAAAATTAAGGCGCATTTACAAATTACAAGCACTAATTCATCTTAATTTTACTAAAATAGAGCCTCGTAAGGCGCGTATACTTTCTGTGTCTCTTTCTTCTTTTCCCTCCGGAATTCACTTCCGATCCCGATAGAGGCGACACGAAGAGCCACTAGGGTTTTACTCCGCCTTCACAATGCTGCGAGCGACGGTTCTTCAAGCCAGTGATCACGCCGTTGAAGGTTCGAATTCAGTCTTGCTTACCAGTTCTCTCTTCCTAGTTCTATGTTTTTCAATTCGAAGTAGAGAGCTCAAATCTCGGGGGATTCTTTCAATCGGATTTCAGATGGCTTTGCTCCCATTTAGATTGTGAATTGATTCTCAGTAGTAATTTAATCTGCTGTGGAATCTTTGTTAATTGCTCGTCCTCCCCTTCGTATTCGGTCGTTTCAGTCTCAATTGCTTGAAATTTCTGGGCGCAGCGTTGTTCTTTGCCGATTATCAGAGTTTAATCTGTTTTTTTTTCTGTATTGTTCGTACACGAGAATGTTAGCTTTACCGTCGCCGATTACGTTTAGATTTGTTTGAATTTTTATAAATTGAAATCTGTAGGTGTTTCTGATAACAAAGCAAAAGGAGAGAAAATGGTTCTGGAACCTCCGATGAACAGTGGACAACGAAGAAAACTGGGGGATATAACCAACCTGCAGAATCATAAAAATCTTATGAACCAGGGATCAAAGCAGCAGCAACAAGCTATACTACTCTCTTCGACGGAATACGTTGAAAAACTTCAAAAGGTTCCTTTTTCATCTGTTGAGCTCATTCTGTAGCTGGATTTGGGAATTGTTTGTTTCCTTTTCTTTCACTGTGTTTATTCAAACGCTTTATCAACTCTTTTCTGCAGGAAAACGTGAGACTGATGAAGGTCCTCAACGAGAGAAAGTATCAATCTCCCATCGAAAAATATGAAACTTGGGAGTTTTTTTGTGTCTGTTAATTGCTTGCTAATATTTATTGTTGTTGTTCTTTGTTTTTACGACAGTGAAATCATCGGGCGGCGTGGAAGTGAGCTGCAGAAATATAGGATAATCTTACAGAAGGTTCAAGAACAGAATTTGCAGCTTGCTCAGACCAACACTCGTATCTTGGCGGTACATCTCATCTTTGTATGGTTCATTTGGATATATCAATTTAGGAATTCGATGGTTACAATGTGATTTAAAAGTTATTTTTCATTGTTCTTTTCTGACAGGAGATCAATACAAGCAAAGACCAAGTATGCTTCTTCTGCTAACACAGGCTTGCTTGATCATCAACTAGAAGTTACTCAGCTGGTTTTTTCTGTGAATTTCAGCTGAAGGCACTTCAGCACGAACTTAGTTGCAAGAATGGGTTACTCATTGCCAGGAAACTGCAGCTTGAGGTCCGTTTTGATTTGTGTGTGATTTTCCGTTGACCATAATGACTATCTAAAATAATACATAGTTGAGAAGTTGCCAAATTAACTTTACAGGCGCAAAACCTTCCATGTACGTGCCACCATGCATCAGAAGACAAGGTACTTATGAGAAATTGGCTTTTGTAGACCTTACATTATCACCAAACTAGTACATTTTTCACACGTTTTCTTTTGCATCACCTTCAGGATCTTGCAATCGCTCCTGGTGGGACCGGCGAATTCTTTTATCCAAATGGCACGGATCATAAGACTGGTAATCGAAAGCAACAGTCAATTATAAAATGCAAGCTTTTTTGGTTATCATTGTGGAACCTTTTAAAGACCCCTACCCTTTTATCGTTCTATATTTAGCTTCAGAGAGCTCCATCATTGACTCATTGCAAATAAATGAAGCCAACAATAAAAGGTCCATTCTCTCTTTTGCTCAATCTGCTTGATGTTTCACCAACTGTCATGTAAAAGCTTTTGGGAAAATCATGTTATTATGGATTTGTTGCTTTTCTTTATAGCAGAGTATCTGGAAGGACGAATCTTGCCGCTTCCGAAGTATTAGATATTATTAGCAGACCGGGAGTGTCAATAGAGAGAACCAACATGAGGAGGTCTACAATTAGCGTTAGGCCCTGTTTATAAGTAGTGCACCTTAATGAAGCTTGCTAAAAATGTGATTTTTTATTTTTCACAGGGTTTCTTTGAGAAGACAGTCTGGGAGGTTTCATATCCAAGAGCTGGGCGTGACTGAAAACTTGAATGGTATACATGATGATCAAGAGATTGCTGCGAAAGCCGGGTTTGTAATAGCAATACATGTTCTCTCTTTCTTTTTCCCACTCTTCTTGATTGATAACTTATTCATAAACCAAGCAAACACTTATGTCACTTTTGCTTTTCTTTTGTTTTTTTTATGGATCTCATTTCAGATGTTCTGCGAGTGATCAGCCTATCGGGTCTAAACCCGAAGCAGTAGAACCACCTGACACGAAAGAGATAACCGTGAAAAGAAGGTTTTGTAGTGATAGATGAATGTCCTCTATTCCACAGAATTAAAGAGTTTAGACTGTTATCTAAATGGTATACTTGACAGGGCCTCGTCAAGAAGACAATCTACAGAGGTTTTACCTCCGCGAGCCATCAAAGAATCAGCAGATCCTCAGTTGCACGATGACATTGTTGAGGAGCCTAGTCAAGTATCATCTTCATCAGTTTCAATGGAGCTTGAAAGAGAATCGAAGAACAAACCAAGAGGCGATGAAGCAGAGGAGATGAGGAAAACATCCGCTGGAAGACCTTTAAGGCAAGCTGCAGAAAAAATAAAATCATACAAGGAAGTCTCACTTAAGGACAAGATGCGAAGGGACTTCTGAGTATCGAAAATGGTCTTGAGCCTTCACAAATTCACAATCGTCTTGTTGAATGAGCTATTTGCTTGATGCTATAATCACAAAGTAATCACAATCCAAATAAATCAACCTCAATATTTGTTGGTTTCCATTTATTGTGTATTACATACTCACCCATGCCAAAGTTTGGACGGCTACCCTTTTTCTTAAGGAAAATCTAATTTTCAATTCAGAAGTCGACATCCATATTTGTGGGTAAAGAGAGCTCGAAAATACCAAGTAGTTAGACCAATTTATATACCATAAGAAGCCTTTTTTTATTCCCTATTAATTTTTCTTTAAGTACTAAAGTCAACGAATTCAAAGATGTAGACAGTGAGGAGGAGACAAGTAAATTACGTTAGGCCTTTTGTGTGTGTGTGTGTGTGTTTTTGTGGTTTCTACTAATTCAATAATTGTCCATAAAAGTGGGGCATTGATTTATCAGAAAACCAATGGCTACCGACAGCATTTCCTCTGTTCTGAAGCTGCTGCTTCTTCTTCTAATTATCTTGTTTCACAATTCTGCCGATTCTGCCTCTGACGTCAAGTATCTTCCTGGTTTTGAAGGCCCTCTTCCTTTTGAGCTCGAAACCGGGTTTGTATTCTCTTCATGTGAGTCTGTGACTAAAAAAAAATGTAGTGTTTGGAGACAATCTATAAAGCATGTATATGCATGATTCTTTGTGAATGAAAGGTATATTGGTGTTGGCGAGGAAGAGGAAGTGCAGTTGTTTTACTACTTCATTAAGTCTGAGAGGAATCCAGAAGAAGACCCTCTTCTTATCTGGTTAAGTGGAGGACCTGGCTGCTCTGCTCTCTCTGGTCTTTTTTATGAGAATGGTACAAATCTAATAACATTCTACTTCTTTCTTCACTCTCTCTTCTCTGTTGTGTCTCTGCTTCGTTTTGTTCGGTGACTTGTTTGAATAAAAAAAAAACAGGGCCTGTCACTGTGAAGCTTGAGGTTTACAATGGAACTCGTCCTTCCTTGGTCTCTACGACATATTCATGGACTAAGGTAGCACAAAGTCCGTCACAAACCTAATGATTTATGCTTTGATCTTCTAACTTCTGTGTGTGTGTGTGTGTGTGTGTTCTTTTATTCCTCAGGTTTCGAGTATAATATATTTGGATCAGCCTGTTGGAAGTGGCTTTTCCTACTCAAGAACTCAACTTGCTGAAAAACCCAGTGATTCAGGAGAAGTCAAGCGGATCCACGAGTTTCTTCACAAGGTGGAAAGACTAAATTCATCGTCTCTTCTTTCTACATCGACAATTTCAGAGCCTTCTTTTTTTCATTTTGGTTTGGGTTTTGCAGTGGCTAAGCAAGCATCAAGAGTTTTCCTCCAATCCTTTCTATGTCGGTGGAGATTCTTATTCCGGTATGGTCGTTCCGGCACTTGTTCAAGAAATCTCAAAAGGCATCATGCTTCTTTTCCTCATATATCAATCTCCAAGCCCTTTTCCTTTGACTCTCTCGTTTCTTATTCAAACATTTCTCTTTATAACAGTATTAAAACGATACTGCAGGAAATTACTTATGCTGCGAACCTCCAATAAACCTCCAGGTCCATCGATATTTGTGTTATTTATGTTAGCGAACCTCCAGAGTTTATATTTTCTTCTTCGGTACACTGACACAAAATTAAAAAAAAAAAAAAAAAAGCAGGGCTATGTACTCGGAAACCCAAGTACAGAACGTGAAGTTGATTATAACTACCGTGTTCCTTATGCTCATGGAATGGCACTGATCTCTGATGAACTCTACGAGGTATGGAAAAAAAAATAACTGATTGCAGTTTTTGCTTCTTGTCCCCAAGATAAGCAGTTGAAAAAAACTCTTGTTTCTTTTCGCAGTCGATGAAGAGAACCTGCAAAGGAAAATATGAAAATGTTGACCCATGTAACACGGAATGCTTGAAACTCGTCAAAGAATATCAAAAGGTTACACACACTCATGGATATTTTAGTCGATGTTCTGTTCTGTCCGTGTAGTGAAGATCATAACTAATTCAGCCTTTTATGGTTATTTTGTAGTGCACTGATAGAATAAACAAGGCTTTTATCTTAATGTCATACTGTGAAGAAACTGAAGATACACCTCCCGATTGCTATGTAAGTAAATCCATCTTACCCTCTTTGTTAACTGTTAAAACATTTGAGAAAACAAAATATATACATTTGACGAGTTTGCATTTGCAGGTGTATCGGTACTTGTTGACTACCTACTGGGCCAATGATGGGAGCGTGCGCAGGGCTCTTCGTATCCGTGAGGTATATACTACAAATGACAAAAGAAAAAGCTTGATTTATGATTTTGTTTTTCTTTTGGTAACGAGGATGTGTGATTGCAGGATAGTATAGGGAAATGGGTACGTTGTTATTGGAAAATACCTTACACACATGACATTAAAAGTAGTGTACCGTACCATATGAACAATAGCATCAGTGGCTATCCTTCTCTCATCTTCAGGTCAGAGTTTAAGACTCTGCCCTTTTGAAGAAGTAGTATACTCAAGACTTTTTGTAAACATTGTGAGGATTTTTTTTTTGGTGAGCAGTGGTGATCACGACATGTTTGTGCCTTTCCTTGGAACTCAAGCTTGGATTAGATCTCTCAACTATTCTCTCACTGATGACTGGAGACCTTGGATGATAGGCGATCAAATCGCTGGGTATAATTTGATGGGTTTCTCTTGTTAATTTCATTCTATTGGCTTATGAGCTCATTAGACTCGCTCTGTTTTTGGCAGATACACGAGGACTTATGCAAATAAGATGACATTTGCTACTATCAAAGCAAGTCTTTTCTTTGTTTCTACTCAAACATTTTGATAGAAGTTTTCATTTATGTTTCTTAATAGAATTGTGGATTTGATTATAGGGAGGAGGACACACTCCAGAGTATAAACCAGATGAGAGTTCTATCATGTTCCAAAGGTGGATCAATGGCCAACCTCTTTAACAAGAAAATTATGATTCTATATTAAAAAGTAATCGTAATGTAATTATCACACCTTCTCCATAAGAAGGAAACCTTGTCAACTGTTTTTTTTTTAGCTGTACAAAAAAAAAATATGTATTTTTCAAATCTGACATCTTTTTACGGTACTTTTAATTTGCAGTTGATTGTATTTATATTTTCTCTTAGCTAATCTCATTGGCAAGCCTAAGTCTGCTCGGCCTCTGCGGCAAGAGTTAGGAGGTATTATTGGATTGGAGTTTTAAGTAGGTGTTATTTAATTGTGTAATTTAATGTAATTGACTGGTAGTACACAATCAAATCTAGTGTTATTCAATTATGTATTGAAAAAGTACATTAAAATCTACTGTTATTGGATTAAGCATTTGTTTGATGTATTTTGAAATACATTAAAAACAAGTGTTATTCAATTTCCAATTGATTGTAATTGAATTCAGTTATAATGTATTTTAATGTATTTTTTTCACCAAAACGTGAGTGAAACAAACACAAAACGTGAGTGTATTTTAAAGTATTTCTTATAAATGTGAATTCATCAAAACTCAACAAAATACTTTTAAATTTAATTACATTGAAATACATTTAAAAGATCAATCCAATAACACCTCATAAATGTATTTTGAAGTAATTGTATTTAAGATGAAATCATTGTAAACACAAATCACAATGTCAAACCTTATAGGGTATTTGTTTTACTCATGTTTTAAGCAAAAATCTTCATTAAAATCTACTATAACTGGATTAAAATGTATTTTAATAAATACACAATTGAATAACACTGTATTTTTTTAGTGTAAACTGAAATTACATCTAGTTCCATTAAAATACACTATCCAATAACACCTCTATAATTGGTTGGTTAAGGTTTGTGTTCTAATTTTTGCATGGCCTTCAAACTTTTTTATTTTTAATCTATAAATAACCAAAGCTATCCAAAAAAAAATCTATAAATAAACAACATATATTTACCACACAAAAAATTAAAAAACTATAAATACCTACACTATAATGTTCGCAGATTCATAGAAGTGTATTTTAGATAATAAAAAAAATGAATAATTTTATAACATTATTGTTAATTGTTGCTTTGCATTTTGGATCAAATGAAGCTTGCGAGAAAAACACGGTAGTATTTGCAAACCATCTTGTTGCTGGTCGTATTCTCAAAGTTGATTGCGAATCCAACAGAAAAGATAAATCCGTCGGTACCGTAAAATTCAAAGAAATGCCACATCGTATCAACTTTGGTGAGGAGTTCGGTGGCTTCACTACATGGCATTGCTTATTGCAGCAAGGCAATTATTCTTCACATTTTAGAGCATACCATGGAGCTAGAATACCTCGATGTGGAGAGTTACGAGTGTATTCTTCCAGAATTGATGGAATTTACAAATCTAAAAATGCTGGTCCAGAGATACTCGACCAGCGTTGGAAGAAAAACTGATCTATTTATAATTAATTAATCTTATTAATAAAGCTGATTTTTCCTTTGTTATTTTCGTAATAACTAAGTTATCTTTCGATTTTTGTGTTACACTATAATATACCCCCCTTTGAAAAATGTGAAATTCAGTGATTATATATATAAGTATCATGTATAATCTTAATATAAACTTAGTTATATACCTGGCCAAATCATCGAATCGTTAAGAAATTGATAGTTGTGATTGGAGAAGCAAGGTCAAACTCTTATTCATGACAACACACTAAGAACTGAATCAAAAACTGAAATCTCTTTAAGGAAGTCTTCCTCGTTTTAATTCATAACTCACCATCTGGTCGTTAAAATTAGGGTTGTAAAAAAAACCCGTGAGCTGATTGAATGTATGGATAATGTGAGCATAGTTTTTTTTAAAAAGTTATATGACTTATATATATATATATATATGGGTTTAAACTAAGTTTCTCGCACTTTCTATGTTCCAACAGTGAATTCCTAAATTTAAGCAATGTTGACCGATGTGTGTCCAGTTTTTAGTTCCAAAGAAATCTGGAACAGCATTCATTCGGTCGGGTAAAGCCTCTGGTCATGTGGCATTCTCTTATTTGGCACAATGCAGAAGACTTATTGGTTGTTCACTCTAGACAGGAACCCAACTTCAAACTACCTTCTCTCTTGGGGTTGAAAGTGCACCTGTCTTCCTACGTACGTACTCTCGGAACATTTGAATAGGGCTCAATGCACAAGCTACATTTGGACACCTCTCTGATCGATACATATACACCATTAGGATTATTAAATTTCGGGAGTTCACCAAATCAAATTTTATATCTTTTGTGTCCACATATATCAAGTATTTCCTCGAGTTTAAGGAAAAAACACTATATACAGAAATTTCAAAAAGAAAAAAAAAACACCTCAATAAAAGAATTCTCTATTTTGCGTGGTAGAACCGCTAAATCTCTGAATGTCACCTTTGAAATCCATCCTTTTTATTTTATCGCTATAGAAAAAACAATGGTGAATGAATTTACACAAGAGAAATAGAAAAAAAAAAAAATAATTAAACAGCCAGATTTTCACGCGCAGCCTATTAAAAAATATTTTACTCAAAAGCCTATAAATATACTTGAAAATATCCGTACAAAGAAAGAAAGAAAAAAATGTATCGTCTTACAATAATTCTGATCATTTTAGGGTTATGCACCGAACATGCGAGAGGAGGATCGGTGTTTATCTATAACAACCTGCAATACGGAAAGCTTATGAAAGTGCATTGCAAATCAGGAGACAACAGTTTGGGTTACCACGTGAGAAAATACGACGGATTATACAATTTTAGCTTCACGGATCATATACTTGACAAAACACTTATCTGGTGTCATGTGTGGAAAGGTCATAAATTCGAGGATCATCAGGTTTTTATCGCCTACAGTGGTAAGGAATTGAAGGGCAGACACAGTTGGGTGAGATATTCTGTGAGGACAGATGGCATTTATCAGTCTGTCAATAATGAGACTTTTCGTTTCAAGTATAATTGGGGAGATAAACTTTGAAATTAAATGTTCAAAAAAAAAAACTTTGAAATTTAGGGTTTCATGATTTGCAATTTTGTTCATATCTACCATCTCTATATATATGTATGTGTGTGTGTGTGTTTTGTAACTTGATATCTACTCTTGTAACTTGTAAGGCTTGATTCAAGTGCCTACCTCTTATTATTATAGAATCGATAAACATTAATATAATTTCTTAACTCGTCCTAAAAACTTCTTAACGACATTTAACACGATGCAAAAGAAGTAATCATCAATAGATTTGCTTGAAAACGAAACATAATAACAGTATTAATATGGAGACCTGCATGCTTGCTTCAGTTCAGTTCATCATCCTTAACTATCATTGCCATCATCAAGGCTTGTCTTTTGCCTAGTTTCCTAGCTAGTAACATGCTTTTCTTGAGTTTTTCTCTTAATTAAGCCTCTCTTTCTCTCTCATAGATCGATGTCTTGTCTTATGAAACGAAGACAATTCTTTTGTGTTGCTAAACCAAATTTATTGTCTTTGAAAATATAAGACAATTGGATCAGTGTATATTTCGTCTTGCTAAACATTTGGAATGTCTAGACTAAACCCATCAGAAAGTCTTCTAACCAAGTCAACCCGAATCTTATCGAAGTACAAAAGAAGGTGTAATTCATTTCCACCCCTCGGAACATAGGCTATCTATGACAAATTATACTCTCTTTGGTACATTTTTTAAAATTATATTAACAAAAAAAAATACTCAAGGAAAGGATTATCAATGATCAAAGCATCTTTCTTCTACTAGTAATTGGTTGAAAAGTGTGGGATACAATTTTTTTCCATTTACTTTATCTTTAGTTTTTTTTGGGGGGGTATTAATGTTTAGTTTCTATATATAAAATAAGAAACGTGCGACGGTGAAAGACACTATAGATCAAGAGGAGGACACCAATCACTCAAAAATACAACCGACTTGTTCTCCTTAACTCTCCCATTATCCTCTCTTTATCAATAAGCAATGCTGGATTTTTCAAAATGTAAAAGTTTAGTCGCTAATCGTCAAACTCGATCGATCGATGATTTAATCAACTGTAAAATTTGTAAAAGCTCAACACCCATTAAACCTCTCCGGTTGCACAATAGAAAATTAACTAATTGAAACTAACAAATGACATCAATTAAATTCTAGACATTTATATAAAAAAACTAATAACTATTCTTAGAAACTAATTATTTTGCATAATTTATTTTGGTGATAGATTTAGTGTTAGTAACAACGTATCATACCAGTGTTTATAATTAAACTATTACTAGTGACTAAATTAATTAACTGTGAGTTATATATGTATAATTATATATATATATACTAGTGAAACTGTTGCATTATACTAATATAGTGTCCATTTTAAAATTTGTAGCCGTGGGTCCAATGCCCAATAGACATTGAGCCGGCCCTGATTACCATCACTACAAGAATACTACAATATTGCTAACAATTCTTTAAAAAATGTGGATATTTTACGATAAGTATTGTTAGTATGTAAGTATATACAACTACGTCGTCCAATAAACTAATATAGTCGCTCATAAATTTGTTTGTGGACGCCTATGATAGGTAAATGTATCAACCTGACTTTTTTCTTACAACAAAATGATTATTTATAATTTTAACTGTGGACGTGAACAATGTATAGTGGATAGTAAACAATGTTACAAAAAGACAATGAATATGTGCAGCAAAATGGACTAAACATCCGCTTATAATACTGAACGTATGTACTAACGTATATTTGTATATATATATATTATGGTTACATGCAGTCCATGTTATCCAGTCGACTCTTCCGGCCTAATCATTGGCAATAAGCAATAATTAGTCACTATCGTTTTTATGCTAATTAGTAGCTACATCCAACAATGGAGAGTAGACTTTATACAAAATTAATTCAGCAATAAATAATTCCTATAAATTCACAGATTTATTTCAACTAAACAACTGTGATGATGATGGCTTTATTTATGCATATGACTATGTGTGTGAACACATCAGAAGGCCACTTATCAACCAAATATGCTAATTGACTAAAATGAATGCTCGTATAGTATATCAAGTGCTCATACAGAAAAATGTCCATCCTAGACTCCTAGTTACACTAAAGCTAAAGTAACTTATCTCTAAAATGTAACTAAAACATATATAAAAAGGCTTGATTTGTTTTTTTTAAAAGAGTGGTACGTATAAGTGATTTAAATTTTCATTTATTTATGCTGTTGATCCATTTTCACTGTCATGTAAATTTGAGATATATATTGTGATCACAAGAATACATATTCATATAAAATCTTAGGTTTTAATTTCAGTTATCAGATTAACCCCTCTTGGAGTTAGCAATGCTAGTCTTTCCGTATTAATCAGTATAGATTAGTTATTGTTATTGGCAATCTGAAAAGTCTTGGAGATGCGATGAGCTGCACTTGTTGATTTCTTGTTACTTAGTGATATTCTTTACGTAAAGTGGGTGCTCTTCACATCATGCAACCATGAATAAATTGGCATATCCTTCATAATACACATACACACGCCAACATGTGTTAACTAGATTATTATATCTGGAAAATGTAGTTTATTACACAAGTTACAGTTTCAGTTCACAATTTTGTTGGACAAAATATCAATAGTTGATAATTCATGCGAAAAATCTAACGGTCATACAAACATAGCACCCTACTCCATAATTAGCCGCATTTATATATAAGTATATGAACACACTAATTAACATTTTTTTTTTGACATAAGGGTTTTCAATTAAAATGCATGAAACTAAACACTAATTAACATGCACCCACTATATGTATATATATTTACACACATCGTTGATGTTGGCATTCTGATATTTTCTACTTGATATATTTACAATCTTAAAACTAAGAGACTTGGTCGTTAATAAGTTATTATTTCCCAATGATTGTCTCGATTCTTGTTTGATTAATGAATGTTTAGGCTAAAAAGAATAAAAAGTCTGGTTTGATAAGTCATCGTACTCTTACGACATAATAGTTGGACTTAAGTTTTTCTCTTTGGTGTGTGTCAGTTTTAGAAATTAATTAGAAGATTGTACTTTTTTTATTCATTAAAATAACAAGTACGTAGAGAACAAGAGATGCGTACGTAGACGTATTAGAAATATGCCAAATAAGAATAGATAAAACAAAATAAATAAATAAAGAAAGAAGATGAAGTGGAGTAATGGTAGAGAGAGACGAAGGGAGAGCCGTAGATTCCGTGAGAGCCAGGCTTGCACTATCATTCATTTACACATTCGTTCACCCAAAGTAATCTCTAAGCCTCTTTTCTTTTAGATTTTTTATATTTTTATAAACGACGGTAAAACTGAAAGATCGCAATTCATACTTGTTTCCGTAATCTATAGCTGTTACATGAAATTAATTGTAAGGATAAAATTCGATCGTTATTGGTATCAGTCACAATAATGTCACATTAAGTGTCAATAACAAAAGAAAATATTGAGTTAAAGGTTAGATTTGGATTGTTAAAAACATATTAATCAGTTTCGGCCACCAGATGATGATATTGAGTATTGGCCCTCTTTTTATTCGAAACATTTGTATTTCGAGTTTAACCACATGTAATTATTTAAAATGGATTTAATAAATAAATAAAAACCACATGTGATTCTTTCCACAGGATTAATCCAAGAATAAGTTGTTATACAGAGTAAAAGAAAGGGATCATGAATAGACAAATAATACAATACTCAAGTTTTTTTTTTTTGTAATTGTCTAAATTTACACATTGTTGGTTATGTTTTCTCTCTCTCTCTCTCTCTCCTCTCTCTAGCTCTGGTGTATTGTGATGAGTTTGCCAAGTTGGGAAAATTGTAATAAAGACAATAACAGAAGTACTAAATTTTAAGAGGCTGCAAAGAGACAAGTCCAACATATTCCACACACTTGAGAATGTGGTGTCTCTCTTTGACTCCTCTCCCTAAATCAGTCTCTATTTATGTATGCATCTCTCCAATCCACACACATCCATCTCTCTTAACACACACATACATGTTTATATATACCTAATCCTGATCATACCCATCTCCAAATTCAATTCTCTCCAATCCATTTTCTTTCCAATTGATCAATCAACTCCCATTCTTTCCTCTTTCTTTGTTGAATCTCTCTATAATGGAAACAGCCGAGGAGGCTATATCGGCGGCTAAGGAGCAATCCTTGATCCTTAAAGGGAAGAGGACTAAACGGCAGCGTCCGCAGTCCCCAATCCCTTTCTCTATCGTTCCTCCTATGTCTTCGCAGGAACCAGACGTCGAAGAAGAGTCCACTAGTCTTGTTTCCAAGGAGAAGGGTCTCAATGATGAGATCAACGACAACAAGAATGATAACAACGTTTTGATCAATGGCGTGACATCTTCATCTTCTGCCTCTTCATCTTCTAACAACAATGCGACATTAAAGGCCGCGGCTGACGAGGAAGATCAAGATATGGCTAATTGTTTGATCCTTCTCGCACAAGGCCACTCTCTTCCACACCACAACCGCAACCACCAACAACCACAACCGCACCCACAACAACAAACAAGACAACTTATGATAAGTTACCAAGACTCCGGTAACAACAACAATGCGTATAGATCTAGCAGCAGGAGGTTTCTAGAGACATCTTCATCTAACGGGACCACGACGAACGGAGGTGGAGGCAGAGCCGGTTACTATGTTTATCAATGCAAAACATGTGACCGGACTTTTCCTTCTTTCCAAGCACTTGGTGGCCATAGAGCCAGCCACAAGAAGCCTAAAGCAGCCGCGGGTCTTCACTCCGATCATGACCTCAAGAAGTCTATCTACGATAACGCCGTTTCTCTTCATCTCAACAACGTCGTCACCACGACTCCTAACAACAACAATAACCATAGATCGCTTGTGGTATACGGTAAAGCGAGTAACAATAAAGTCCATGAATGTGGGATATGTGGAGCGGAATTCACATCGGGACAAGCCTTGGGTGGTCACATGAGACGTCATAGAGGCGCAGTGGTGGCTGCAGCAGCCGCTTCTACCGCAACAGTAGCGGTTGCGGCCACTGCGGTTAATGCAAACACGGCCTTGTCATTGTCACCTATGTCGTTTGATCAGATGTCGGATGGTCCGGTTCATCAGGTTCAGGCTCCGGTTAAGAGAGCGAGGAGTGCGGTTGTGTCATTAGATTTAGATCTGAATCTACCTGCCCCGGAAGATGAGAATCGAGTCAACGGATTAAGCTTTCCTTCAAAGCAAGAACACGAACAAGAACCTGAACAGAATAAACAGAGAGAAGAACAAAAGTCTCTTGTTTTGTCTTCTGCTCCTACATTGGTGGATTGCCATTACTGAATCAAAATTCATCACAAAAATTCGTTTATTAGTTTTTAATTTTTACGCAGAAATTGATGAACCATTTTTTCAAAGAAAATGACTGATTCCTTGCTTGTACAAGACCTGGAAGATTCTCTTGTTTTTTACTTTTTCTTCTGTTTACTTCATTTCAAAAGAAAACTCTTATATTATACAAATATATATAACCATTAGCCACACGACTTTTCTTTGTCTTCCTAGTCTATGTGTGCAGATGCCAGGTATGGAAATTACATGCAAGTTAATGTAAGATCTTTTGGCACTATAATAATTTAATATCATACTCCTCAGTTTTGTTTGAATTCCAGTACAGCGTAGTAACGTACAAATAATTATTAAGAACAATTCTTCTTATTACTAAACACCCCCTTAACTGATTGATGATAATTACACATAAATCTATGTGTATATACATCATTATTCTTATTTGTTCAGAAATTATATATATGTTCTTGATACTTGCATAGCCTCGTTTAAAAAATTAACCAAAATTTGTTTATTATTGGGGAATTTCCAAAAGTATCACATTCATATATAGTTTTATTTAATTATAGTATCAAAATTTTGAGAAAATTCTAAAAATAAACCAAAATGTTATTTAAAGTTTTCTTCAACGTTAAACAATTCTTATAAATCTTTATGATCTTTTCCAAGAATCATAACCACGAAAACTAAAATGATACTAAACACTAAATAATTCAATATTATATTTTAAAAGTTACTCAATGAATGTTAATTTAGTGAAAATAATCAGATGCTTATCCGAAAAGGAATAGTTAAAAAGTGAAACAATTTAATTTTTTTAGTTGATCCATTGAGAGTTGTTTAAAAACTATGTCACGTTCATGTGTTTTTAATCAAAGAATCTATATTTCGAAAAACAAAAAAAGGTTCAAACCCTTTAAGAAAGAAAATAAAAGTTTACGAAAAGGGCGTGACAGGTCCTAACTCTTTTTCTTGAACTTGCATTTCAAACAGAATACTTGTTCATGTTGTTGACATTAAAACTTTGGGTCGAGATTGAGCAAGAGATCAAAATGCAGTAGTATTACGTACTATACCCTTTATGCTTTTATTTTGTTTGTTAATGTCAAACTCGACCTTGTACAATTAACATTAATTACAACATAAAATGCACAATATGCTATGTCCTATGTGTATATGAAACCGTAAAAACACACATAATTTATAAGAAAAAACATTAAAAAATATGTTAAATTTATTAAACGTCAAATTTATGAAGAAATAGAATGTTGTATTGCCTTTTTTTGCTTACCAAAGACGAATGCGTGTTGTTTTCGTATCAGCAAGAACTGTCCGTCATCGAAATGGGCTACAAATAAAACTTGGGCTTTAAATTATTTTCTAATCTCATAAGAAACTAAGCACAGAACCTGAACTAAAGCCCAACTTTAACCTGAACCCAACTTTAACCTAATATGCTCAATGCATCACTTATAAATTCACAAAATTCACGAAAAATGGGAGAAACGACACAAAAAGGCGAATGACCAAATACATAAATCCAAGAAACTATAGATTCAAGAATTTTAAACCAAATTTGTGATCAAGTGGATCAATATAACATAACATAATTTAACATAACATAACACAATTTAACTTAACATAACATAACATAACATAATTATATTACATTTGTTTAAAAAACATAATTATATTATTACATAACATCAACACTATCCGTCATCGAAATGAACTATAAATAAATACTAAACTTTAAATTATTTTCTACTCTCAGAAGAAATTAGGTTCAGAACTTAATTACGAGGTTCTAACCGTTCCTGTTTTTAAGTATGAAGCTGAAAACGGATGTTTTGATATTTTAACATTTTGTCCTTTTTGGGGACAGTGGTGTTAAGAAGCTGACAACCTAAAATAAATAAATAAACAGTGTTTTATTTTACTGTTATAATTATAAAAGTAAGAATATTATTCGAATAGTTAAAGAAACGGAGCAAAACCAAACAAAAATGCAAAAAAAGATATTATCATTACTATTATGCTTCGTCCGCTCCACTGTCTACAATTTATTCAAAACATTGTTCTCTCTCAATGTTGACAAAAGAATTCTTTTTGTTAAAAACAATGTGGAGAAAAATAAATAAATCATGTTTCAATCTATATACCTAAAGATTTTTAGAAAAAAAAACATATGTAAAGTCGTAAAACATAATCAAATTCATCAAACATAGAAGGGCACTAAAGCTATGTAACAAACACTAAATGAGTATCAGTCTTTGTGTTTTTGGGTGTTTCTGGCATGATAAACCAAATGAAGTATCAGTGTTTCTAGACTATTTTGAAAATAGTTAAACGAAAACCAAACCACGAAGTAAAATTTGATAGAAAAGTGGATTGTACTGTACAAGTAGATAGAAGAAAGAAGAAAAATAAATGAAGATGAATAATTATAAACAGAAAATGGGGGAAGATGATGATTCGTGTGGACCAAGTCTTCTGCCCCTTTAGCTTGCCTTATTGGTAAAGTATCCTTGTGCAAGCAAACGTACCTGTCACTCCTTTTTTTTTTAATTTGTTTTCACCTTCTATTCCCTCATTAACTTCTTTTTGGGTCAACTTCCCGTTAACTTGTTGTATACATTTAAATTAACCATGGAGTTATTATTATGATCAACATCACTATTTCTATTTATATGCTTACTGACAATATCTCTGAAATCTATAGTTTTTTTTTTTGTTGAACCTTTTTTCTGAAATCTATAGTTATACCGTTAAATACTGTTTTCTCTAAAAAGAAAACGACATCATCGTAATTAAAAATAAATTTTATTAAGCTTAAGAGATTAAACTTGTCATGGAATTCTACTAATCTCAAAATTGCACAAAGAAAATTATAAGAAAATTTTCTTTGTAAAAAAAGAAGAACGTATCTAAAGGCAAATACATTTGGCATCCTGATGATATGAAAAGGGGCAAATGTCAATCTATAACTTTTTCAGAAGAAAATCAAACCATTATAATTTGTATGTATCTTGTATATATTTTCCAAAATATTGTTTCCTTAGAAGTTTTTTTACCCTAATTTTGTGAAGTTTAAAACAGTAATATTTTCTGAAATAATAAGATACAGTATTTGGCTACAGATTTATACAATGCACTTTGTATAATAGTAAGATTTAATTCTTTTTTTAGTGACAAAAAATACTTTTTAGTGATATATCTCTTTTTTTTTTTATAGATATCTAATTATGCTTTTTTGCCAACTGTACCATATTATATGGTTAGACACTTTTAGGAGAGTCGTATCGTAAGATATAAAAGATTTTTTAGCAAAAAAGAAATATATTATACTATTTTTGTTTAATACTTAAATTACTTACTTTTCAGACCACTACGACACGGACAGTGTTTCCTTTATTATTTTACTGCATAAAACGACAAAATTCCAAGCAGTAACGTTTTCTAGGGTTTATTACTGCAACACTCCAAAAAGAGATAAATAATGAATAATTAATTGGGAAAATGGAAATGAAAATCAAAATCGGAATCGCAATCCGAAATACTTGTTTGTAGCCGTCTAGGAACTCGAAAAGAAACAAATTTCTTGCAATTGAAGGTACCTTTAATCTCCTTGGTTTCTTCTCCGTTAAATCCACACCCCATTTGCCGACTAGTCTTGGTGTTCGTCTGGTGAGGTTTGGGGAAAGAGAGATTTAGAAGAAACCCTAGAACAAGTTCGGTCTTTGCTTCGATGGGTCGCGAATCTGTGGCTACTATGTCCTCGCCGCCGACGGTGACTGCTAGGGGTGCTGCCTCGGCGGCGACGGCGCTTGCTCCGGGCTTCCGATTTCACCCGACTGACGAGGAACTCGTGAGCTATTACTTGAAGCGGAAGGTTCAGAGCAAGCCCGTACGCTTCGATGCGATTGGGGAGGTCGATATCTACAAGCACGAGCCCTGGGATTTAGCAGGTTCGCTGGGTTTCTCCCTCTCTTTCTCTCTTCCCTTTTGCGTATCTGTGTGATTTGGGTTTTCCTATGAATTTGCTGCCTCTGATTTGGGATTTTTGTGCGTGGCCGTGGGCTTCTTCGCGGTTCGTCTTCGGACTCAATTCCGGGAGAAAGTTTTAGATTTCATGGGCTCCTATTCATTTTCTTGGATAATTTTGTCGCAGATTCTCTGTTAGTGCCTTCTGTTGTGTTTTAGGCTGTAACACTGAAATTTTTTCCATATAATCGACTTATTTTCCAGATTACTTAAGAATTTCTTATTATCTTGTGCTTCAGTTTTGTTTACTTGTGTTTCAGGAAATCAAGTTTGTTGTTGTTGTTGTTGTTGTTGTGAGTTTGCTTACCGGAAGTTTTGGGTTTGGTGTTATTATTAAGTTCGGTTTCGTTCTTTGTCTTGTGGTGTGTTGTGCAGTGTTTTCGAGGCTGAAGACGAGGGACCAAGAATGGTACTTCTACAGTGCCTTAGATAAGAAGTACGGGAACGGCGCCAGAATGAACCGAGCAACCAACAAAGGGTACTGGAAAGCAACCGGAAAAGACAGAGAGATCCGCCGTGACATTCAGCTGCTCGGTATGAAAAAGACGCTTGTCTTCCACAGCGGTCGTGCCCCTGACGGGCTCCGGACCAATTGGGTCATGCACGAGTATCGCCTCGTCGAATATGAAACCGAGAGAAATGGAAACCTGGTGGTACAGTTTTGTCCGAAAGGAGTTACTTTACTGAATTGGGTTTTATCTGATATATTCCCAAAAGGATCCTGTCTCATCTCAATTCTTTCTTTGTTTGGGTGCAGCAAGATGCATTTGTGCTGTGCAGAGTGTTCCACAAGAATAACATTGGGCCACCAAGTGGGAACAGATACGCGCCGTTCATGGAAGAGGAATGGGCTGATGATGATGGAGGAGCTCTGATTCCTGGAGTTGACGTTAGGGTCAGAGTTGAACAGCCACCACTTGCCAATGGTAACAATCAGATGAACCAGGTTTGTGCTTTCCTTCTTACTCAGGCTTCCTTCGTAATCCACAATCTGATTAGTTTCATTTCAATATTGCTTATCTGCAATTACCCTGTGTTGAAACCAATCTTTTAAGCGAACCAATCTACTTAACCCAGAAGCTGATCAGTTTCATTAGAGTATTTCTTATATGCAAAAACCCTGTAATGAAAAGCCTTCTAAAGTGAGTCACCTTCTCTTAATTCACAAGATGTCATGTTTGTTATATGCAAAAGCTCTATGATGAAGTGAAGCTTCTCTAAGTGCTGTTTCTACTTGACCTGGGCTAGTCCATTGAGTTTGTTACCAACTCTTGTAGAACTCAACCTTAAAAGATTTATCTGATGAATCGTCTCTCTTGATTTACAAGATATCTATATTTTCTCAAGTCTTTTTTCTTTGGGATTTATCGGACTTACAGTCCTAGTTTTGCATTATTTGGAGGGAAGAGAATCAACGAGAGAAGGGTTATTTGTGTTTTGTTGAACATATCAGTTTTGATCTTCATCTGAAAAGTACATCATTGCATTTTGGTTTCTGATATTTTATTTGGCCTTCTGTAGTTTACATAACTTGTTATTTGTGGTAGGAAATCCAGTCAGCAAGCAAGGATCTCATTAACATCAACGAGCCACCAAGAGAGACTACTCCAATGGATACCGAACTTAACCATCAGAATCATCAAGAGAATGCCCTGAAGCTGCAGAAGGTTAACAACAATAACCATTACGATGAAGATGAGGAAGCACTCAAACGTGAGCAGGCAGATGAAGAAGATAACCGTCCTCCTCCTTTATGTGTTCTTAACAAAGAAGCTCCACTGCCTCTTCTCCAATACAAACGCAGACGCCAAAACGAATCCAACAACCACTCGAGCAGGACCACACAGGACCACTGTTCGTCCACAACAACAACCGTCGACAACACAACGACCTTAATCTCATCATCTGCTGCTGCCACCAACACCGCCATCTCTGCGTTGCTTGAGTTCTCTCTCATGGGCATCTCCGACAAGAAAGAAAACCCGCAGCAGCCACCAAGTCATCGCAAGGAAGCCACTCCTCCTCCTCCACCAGCACCTCTTGAAGAGAAGCTTAATGAGCTCCAGAAGAAGTTTCACCAGATGTCTGTTGAGAGAGAAACTTTCAAGCTTGAGATGATGAGTGCAGAGGCAATGATCAGCATTCTCCAGTCAAGGATCGATGCACTGCGTCAGGAGAATGATGAGCTGAAGAAGAACAACGGCAAGGGGAAAGAAGCGCTCTAAAGCCATCTCTCCATGTTTCTGCTTCTTCTTCTTTGCCTTTTAGCTCTAATCTCCCTAATATTATGAACTATCTATGTAGCTTCTTCAGACGGATTGAGAGAACCGTGTGTTGAATCTCTCTGTTGTATAATTAGGATAAAAACGGATCGCAGCCGCTGAGCTGGCGTCTTTTTTTTTCTTTTGGTTTTTGGATGTTTATGCATCTTTTGAGAACATTTTCAGGTTGCTCCATTGTCATATATTATCTATCACCTAATCCTTTTAGACGAGAATCTTCTTCCTTTTTCAACAATGAATGTTTTAGAGAGAGCTACTTTGGGCAAAAGCGTTATTAGTGTCAGTTCTGAGGGTTTTTCCAGACCAGACTTTTATCTGACAATTTTCTTCTCTCTCTTCATGCTTCAATGCAAGCTGACAAGAAAAAAGCATCCGAATATCTTTCTTTTTCTTTTGGGTGCATATCTACCAAAACGCCTTAACAATATCTACGTTAAATGTTATTCGAAATCTTCTTGATCTAGATATAGAGGAAGCTATATTCTTATGGGGATGACCATGGAAGACATAAGGAAACAGCAAGGTCCACACACATAAGATCCCCAAACAAACATAACGATGTCGGAGCAGACCAAGCATCATAACAAATGAACATAGATTCTTTAAAAAGTTCAATACATAAGCGAGAATATAGATATAAAGCAAATGAAGCTCTCAAGTCTTCATGATTGGGGTAATATGGCAGGCAGCCAGGTCCTCCTACATGGGACCGTGGGAAAGCGTTGCATCATCTTCGAACCTGAGGCCATGTTCAAGTTCCAGATCCTCAAGCCAACGCATATCATTAGGATTAACAAAGCTGGAAACATCATGAGCATCAACAGTTCGAGGAAATGTGGAGCCTTCCTTAGGCAACATGTGGTTGTACTGCGTCTCTGTCAAAGAAGAAGCATCATAATCATCTCCCAAATTGCTCTCTGTACGGCTTGCCATGAACTGCCTGACCCCATCGAGATAAGACAACGTAGGAAGGATATTCATTGCAAGAGTAAACATACACACCCAAGAGCATCTAGTAGCAGGGACTTGCACTTGCCCAGCGAGTCACAATCCTTGCTCATCAGTAGCCGCATAAAACCCCTGGCGGTTCTGCTAATCACACCACTTGCATACTTCACTTCATCTAGGGCGAACAAGTAGCGATCGTTACTGCTGCTGCCTGATGCTGAATGCGAGAAACTATGGCCTCAGCAAAATCGTCTCTCTTTGGAACCTCACTTATCTTCTTGAAACTGTTCCTCTCCTCTACGTACATGTCTGCTTTATCCACCTGCACAAGTACTGGTCAAAATTAAATAACTAGGAATTTACTACATTCTCTTTCCTTTCTTCTTCTTCAATATACACAAGTTAAAGGAAAGCAACCAAGAGCAATCTATCATCAACTCTGTTAATATGCAATTCCAATGACACAATCTAAGTCAAATCTCTGCCAACAGATCAACGTTTCCCATCAGATTTGATGAGATTGATACAAAACCTCCGTAGAGAAGCGAAGACTTAGGGAAAGAGAAACTTACCCTTTTTATATATCTTTACTTAAAATTAGGGCTTACGACCTAAAACTAATTCAGAAACTTGCCAATAAAGTGTCTATAAAAGAACTTGTTTGAAGTTTGACCAATTAAAAAAATGGCTATAGAACTTGTGTCAAACCATTATTTTCGCGGCGTGGTTTCATATTTAATTTCATATATATATATTGCTCTCTTATATAGTCCATTGACGAGGAGTTACCTTTTTTCCCTTAGTCAGAAAGTTTTGCATTTTGTACATAAAGTTTGCAAAAAGTGTGACGCATGACATTAATTTTGTACCAAATTTATAAATTAGTCAGAAATTAAGTGCCTTAACAAAATCCACGTTAATGTTATACGAAATCTTCTTTGTCTAGATACAGAGGAAGATATATATTCTTAAGGGGCTTACCATAGAAGGCAAAGAAAGACACAAGGAAACAGCAAGGTCCACAACATCAGACCGACCAGCAAACAAATATAACGAGGTCGGAGCAGACCAAACATACAACAAAACAAATCTCAGAGAATATAGATATAAAGCAAATGAAGCTCTCAAGTCATCACCAAGGCTTTCATGATTGGGTAATATGGCAGGCAGCCAAGTCCTCCACCTAGGGATTGCCGGAAAGCTTTATCGCATAACCTGAGGCAGGCAGAGAGGTGGCCCTCCTTGGGATCGTCGGAAAGATTTGCAACATCTTCGAACCTCAAGCCATGTTTACGTTCCAACTTCTTGAGCCAACGCATAACTTTAGGATTTACAAAGCTGGATACATCATGAGCACCAACAGTTCGAGGACCTTCCTTAGGAAACATGTGGTTGTACCGCGTACATGTCTGCTTTATCCATCTGCACAAGTACTAGTCAAAATTTAATAACTAGGAAACTACTACATTCTCTCTCTTTTGTTCAATATATACAAAGGTAATTTAGATATAGGAAAGCAAACAAAGAGCAATCTATTATCTAACTCATGTTAACATATATGCACCGAAATTTCAATCCTATGCAATTCCAATGACACAATCCACATCACAAACAAAATCTAGGTCAAATTTCTACCAACAGTTCAACGTTTTCCCATCATCAGGTTTGATGAGATTGATACAGAACCTCCGTTGAGAAACTAAGACTTGGGAGATAGAAACTTACGAACCACACAGATCAAAGGAGCTTGTTTACGAGACTTGCCAGAAATTAATAACGAGGGTGAGGGAGGAAGCTTAATCTACAAGCTTCTAGGTTTATTGTGTAATACTTAATCTTAAACATTTAGTTTATTTTAGTGTCTAACACCATTTGTTAATGAATTTTCAAAAGAAGCAATTCTATCAAAGTACATTTTCCATGTAGACGTATTCTGAAATGGTTTTATATCGTAGCAATGGGATTTCGTATTATAAGATTAGGTGGATTTTTCGATTTTAGATTATTGTCCTTATGCGATACGGAATCTGACTATGTTCAACTCTTTTCAGGATTTATTGTCTATCTCATTTATGAGTTTGTGTGTCCCTTGTATAATGATTGTACTTTTTGTATGGTAAGTTTGTTCTTTTTTATCTTAAGAGTTTAAAAAGAAAACTTTACTTTTGACACCACTACGACACGACAGCGTTTCCTTTAATTTACTACATAATACGACAAAACCTACGCAGTAACATTTGGTAGGGTTTATTACTGCAACACTAGAAAAGAGAAAGAAGCGAAATAAAAAAATGAAATCGGAACATGAAAAAAGCATAATTGGAATCGCAATCCAAAATACTTGTTTCTAGCAAGCCTTCTGGGAAACGCGAAAAAGAAATAAATTTCTTGCAATTGAAGGTACCTTTAGTCTTGGGCTTCTTCTCTCTTTGGTTTCTTCTCCGTCAAATCAAAAACCCATTTGCCAACTTTTTTTTTTTTGGGTGTTCGTGTACTGTCAGGTTTGGGGAAAGAGAGATTTAGAAGAAACCCTAGAACAAGTACGGTCTTTGCTTTAATGGGTCGCGAATCTGTGGCTGCTGTGTCCTCGCCGCCATCAGCGACTGCGCCGGGTACTGCTGTAGCGGCGACGGCACTTGCTCCGGGCTTCCGATTTCACCCGACTGACGAGGAACTCGTGAGCTATTACTTGAAGCGAAAGGTTCTGAGCAAACCCGTACGCTTCGATGCGATTGGGGAGGTCGATATCTACAAGCATGAGCCCTGGGATTTAGCAGGTTCGTTGGGTTTCTTCTCTCTTTTTCAATTCCTTTCTTGCGCATCTCTATGAGTTTGGGTTTTAGTGTGAGACATGTGACTTTGTTGCGTCTGATTTGGGATTATTATGGCCTGGGCTTCTTCGCCGTTTCGTTTTCTGACTCAATTCTGGGAGAAAGTTTTTAACTTTTATGGGTTCCGATTCATTTCGTGGGAAAATTTCGTTGCAGATTTACCTTTTGCAATGTTTAGGGCCTTTAGGCTGTAAGGCTATGAAAAATATCCACCCAATCGATCTATTAATCGGACAGTATTCTAATTTTTTCCAGATTTCTTAAGAAGTTCTTGCTACTTGTGCTCCAGTTTTGTTTGCTTGCGTTTCAGGAAATAAAATTTGTTGTTCTGTGTTTGGTTATCTTCAGTTTTGAGTTTAGTGTAATTAAGTCCGGTTTCATTTTTGTTGTCTTCTGTTGTGTTACATGTATTTGAGATTCCCTGAGGATTTCTTGTTAACTTGTGCTCCACTTTAGTTTGCTTGTGTTTCAGGACACAAAGTTTGTTGTTGTGTGTATCTCAAGTTTTGGGTTTGGTGTTATTATTAAGTCCGGTTTCATTCTTTGTCTTCTGGTGTGTTGTGCAGTGTTTTCGAGGTTGAAGACGAGGGACCAAGAATGGTACTTCTACAGTGCCTTAGATAAGAAGTATGGGAACGGCGCCAGAATGAACCGAGCAACCAACAAAGGGTACTGGAAAGCAACCGGAAAAGACAGAGAGATCCGCCGTGACATTCAGCTGCTCGGTATGAAAAAGACGCTTGTCTTCCACAGCGGCCGTGCCCCTGACGGGCTCCGGACCAATTGGGTCATGCACGAGTATCGCCTTGTCGACTATGAAACCGAGAGAAATGGAAACCTGGTGGTACAGTTTTGTCCGAAAGGAGTTACTTTACTGAATTGGGTTTATCTGATATGTTGCCAAAAGGATCCTGTCTCATCTCAATTCTTTGTTTGTTTGGGTGCAGCAAGATGCGTATGTGCTGTGCAGAGTGTTCCACAAGAATAACATTGGGCCACCAAGTGGGAACAGATACGCGCCGTTCATGGAAGAGGAATGGGCTGATGATGATGGAGGAGCTCTGATTCCTGGAGTTGACGTTAGGGTCAGAGTTGAACAGCCACCACTTGCCAATGGAAACAATCTGATGGACCAGGTTTGTGCTTTCCTTCTTACTCACCCTTTCCTTTCCTTCATAACCCAAAATCTGATTTGTTTCATTTCAGTATTTCTTATCTGCAAACACCAATCTTTTATGCGGACTAGACTATTGATGAACCAATATACTCAGTTTATTGATGAACCAATCTACAATTTCAATGTGATGAAGTGCAAGTGTCGAAGTTTATCTGATGAATCACCTCTCTCAATTCACGGAATATCATGTTTTTTTATATGCAAAACTTTTTGCTGAAGTGAAGCTTGAATCTTCTCTAATTACTGTTTCAGTTGGCTGAGTTACTTCAACTGAATCTTATAAAAAAAAATTTGATGAATTACATTCTCTTGATTCACAAGATATCTAAATTTTCGTAGGTCCTTTTTTCTGGTTTTTGGTGCTTTATTCTTAGTTATTACATGATCTTTCAAACTTAGCATCCTCGTTTGAGCAGCGCTTGTCACTTTGCATCATATGAACTCATCTAATTGATCACTGAATGTTGGTCAGAAAGAGAAGGACTTTTTGTGTTTTAGTGAAAATTCAGTTAATGATCTACATTTGTAGAGTTGACCAAAGCATTTGGTTTCTGATATTTTGTGTGTTCCTTCTTGTGTTCATATAACTTGTTATTTGTGGTAGGAAATCCAGTCAGCAAGCAAGGATCTCATTAACATCAACGAGCCACCAAGAGAGACTACTCCAATGGATACCGAACTTAACCATCAGAATCATCAAGAGAATGCCCTGAAGCTGCAGGTGAATAACAACAATAACCATGGTGATGAAGTTGAAGAAACACTCAAACGTGAGCAGGCAGATGAAGAAGATGAGCGTCCTCCTCCCGTATGCGTTCTCAACAAAGAAGCACCACTACCTCTCCTCCAATACAAACGTAGACGCCAAAACGAATCCAACAACCACTCAAGCAGGACCAGTCAGGACCACTGTTCCTCCACAATAACAACCGTCGACAACACAACCACCTTGATCTCATCATCTGCTGCTGCCACCAACACCGCCATCTCTGCGTTGCTTGAGTTCTCACTCATGGGTATCTCCGACAAGAAAGAAAACCCTCGACCTCTTCGGAAGGAAGCGTCTCCTCCAGCTTTATCTACTGAAGAGATGATTAATGATCTTCAGAAGAAGGTTCACCAGATGTCTATTGAGGGAGAAACTTTCAAGCTTGAGATGATGAGTGCAGAGGCAATGATCAGTATTCTCCAGTCAAGGATCGATGCACTGCGTCAGGAGAATGATGAGCTGAGGAAGAACAATGCCAAGGGACAAGAAGCGCTCTAAAACCATCAGGTTTCTTCTTTGCCTTTTAGCTCTAATCTCCCTGATATCATGAACTATCTATGTAGCTTCTTCAGACGGATTGAGAACCGTGTGGTGAATCTCTGTTGTATAATTAGGATAAAACAAAATGGATCGCAGCCGCTGAGCTGGGTGCTTTTCTTTTTTTCTTGTCTTTCGGATGTTTCTGCATCTTTTGAGAACACTTTCAGGTTTCCTCCATTGTTATATATTATCATCTAATCTATTCAGAATCGGACGAGACCCCTCTTCGTTTGTTTCAACTTTCAAGAATGTTTAGTGAGAGCTTTTTAGGGCAAAACCGATATTAATTGTCAGGTCTGAGGGCATAATTGTCTTTCCGGACAGAATTTTATCTCATAATGTTTTCTGTCTTTATGAAAACTGCTGAGTAAAGAGCTTTGAAAGTAAAACCGTGATTCGGTGTCGGAACAAATGGTATAATCGTCATTGACCGATTCGGGTATTGGTAACGAATGCGGTTGCGTCAGCGACGTTAAAAGACTTTTGTTACACGTAATTTGCATTTATTTAAAAATGCAAAAAGGGTTTGTTACGAAATTTTTTTAACTTATTTCTGGTCTTTGTTTCCAACCATTTAAAGTTTTAAACTAAGAATTATACATAACGGCCCCAAAAATTCATAAATTTTATTTATCTACAAAGTAAAATAAACAAAAGAGTGGATAAAGTATATATTTGCGCCAACCAAGAACCAACTACATCAACAAATTTCAGAGACTAAAATCTGAGACTAGTCCAAAACTACGTGTCAGTGCAGCAGAGACTGTCACCTAAAACCTATCACAGCACGTCACTTTATATTCTCTAGTGGCACACTTTCCTTGAAGGGTATTAAAACCTCACGGCGTTACATCTATTAGTCCCCCGGTGGGTTCGTCGTAATCTCTCGTCTCCTCCGATTTGCCTTTTCTTCTCATTTTTCTCTATTTTCTTAAACCCCAGATTTCCTTATTTACATCCGCTTCTCTTCTTTCTTCTCCGATTCGACGACGACTCTGTACTGGATCAAGGAGAACACTTTATTCATTCATCCTTTTGTGTTTGCGCTTTTTGTTTACCGATTGAATGGGTCGTGGCTCAGAGACGTCGCTTGCTCCTGGGTTCCGTTTTCACCCGACGGAGGAAGAACTCGTTCGTTACTATCTGAAACGCAAGATCTGCAATAAGCCCTTTAAATTCGACGCTATCTCGGTCACAGATGTATACAAATCCGAGCCGTGGGATCTCCCAGGTCAGTCTCGATTTCTTACTTCCCTGTTGATTAGATCGGATTCTGTATAGAAATGATATTGAAATTCCGGTTGGTTTTTGGAAAAATATAGACAAGTCGAAGCTGAAAAGCAGAGACTTGGAGTGGTACTTCTTTAGTGTGCTTGATAAGAAGTATGCGAATGGGTCGAAGACGAACCGTGCGACTGAAAAGGGATACTGGAAGACGACAGGGAAAGATCGAGAGATTCGTAATGGGCCAAGAGTCGTGGGGATGAAGAAGACTCTTGTTTACCACAAAGGTCGAGCTCCTCGTGGCGAGAGAACCAATTGGGTCATGCACGAGTACCGTTTGGTTGATGAAGAACTCGAGAAAGCTGGTGTTCAGCAAGTAAGACTTTACGAGTTTGACTTTGTTTGCCCCGTCGTTTTCTATATATTTATGTATGCTATGGGATTGTGTTATTGACTTTGTATTTGTGTCACTTTGCGGGAAAGGATGCGTATGTGCTTTGTAGGATATTCTACAAGAGTGGGACAGGTCCTAAAAACGGAGAACAGTACGGTGCTCCGTTTGTGGAGGAGGAGTGGGAAGAGGAGGACGATATGACATTTGTACCTCCTGGAAGTGAAGATCATGTTTATGTCGATATGGATGAAGCTGATCAGGTTTGTACTGGATCCTTTAGGGTTTTAGTAATTGACAACAAAGAAAGAAGCTTTGTTTTCAGATCTCTCTTTCTCATTTCACTGAGATCTTAACAAATTCTTGCAGAGGCCTGACAACCTTGTGGTCTATGATGCCGTTCCTATTCCGCTGCATTTCGAACCAGGAGAATCCAGCAATAACGTTGAAACAAACTACTCAGACTCCAGAAACTGTATCCAACCAGGGAACTATGTGCACTCTGATGGCTACTTTGAGTTTTCGGAGGAAGATAAGCCTATCATACGTGATGGTACCCTTCGAAATGATGCATTGTCTACAGATGAAGAGAATGGCTGTGGCGTCGATGGTGAGAGCACGGGAAACTTTCAGTCTTCTGGCAACATCTTTCTGAGTGATGGTTTTCCTGTTGAGGGAAACTATTTCGCCGGTGAGGCGTTTCTGGATCCAAACGGTAACCTTGTGCAGAGCGATGGTCTGTACCTGGAAACGAATGATCTCAGCAGTGGTCAGCAAGATGGTTTCAACATTGAAGATTATCTTACCTTCTTTGATGAGAACGATGAGGATGCTCAAAACTTGACTTTCGATCCTTGTCAGCTGATGGGAAATGAAGATGGTGTTGCTGATCAACAAGAGCTCTTTCCAAAGGTATAATAAACCTTTTTTTCTTTTGACTTTTTTTTTTAAGTTTTCCTTTTAACTAATCTTTCTAAACAACAGGCCGAGACTGAGGAATTGGAAAAAGGGGAAGGCTCAGGAGGCAAACAAATGGACAAGAGTGAAGCATCTTGTTCGAAACAAGTCGATGCTGATGCAACAGAGTTCGAGCCAGGTACAAAGAAGAAGAAAACTTATACCAGAATCAGAACTCTCCCCCAATATGCTAATAAGCCTTACTTGTTTCTGATTAGCTGATGGTTCGATTCCTGATAACGCAGATTACAAGTACCCGTTGCTCAAGAAGGCGAGCCACATGTTGGGTGCTATTCCCTCACCGCCTGCATTTACTTCTGAGCTCCCGGCAAAGGATGCAGCTATCCGGCTACACGCAGCACAATCGTCAGGTTCGGTCCATGTAACCGCAGGTATGATCACAATATCAGGCAGCAACATGGGCTGGTCATACGGCGGCAAAAACGGGAACGTTGACTTGCTCCTTTCTTTCCGGTTGGCCCAAGAGAATGCGTCTGAGAAATCAGGAAATAGTTTAACAAGGGGAATGTTAGTGTTCATGTGTTTCTGGGTACTCGTACTCTCGGTTAGTTTCAAAGTAAGCACTTTGGTGTCTTCTCGGTGATAAGATATAGTTTTTACTTGCAGTGTTCAATGTAATGTTGATGACATGACCATCATCTTCACGACCTGCCTTGGGTCTTCCCTCACTCTTCTTCTCTGCAAATACAATACTCGGTGTCACTATATCCTCAAACAAAAGCATCATCTGAAACTATCATACCTACTAAATTTCTATAATTCTACTATTTAATGTCTTCATAAATATTAATCTTATATAAACATTGATATGAGAAATCATACCTCAGGACAAAACATATTATTTTTTATTTTCTATTTTATAAATTTTGTGAAAAATCTTGTTTTCTATTTTAAAAAATCTTTGAAGATCTTTTGAATTATCTTTTGTTTCTAAGTGTGGTTCAAAGATTTTACCATTTATAAAATCACCATGTAATAATAATATATATGGGATTCGCTTCATAAATATAAGATATTGTCGCAAAGAATGAAAGAAAGTTGAAGATTTGAATATAATTTACATAACAAAAGTAAATATAATTACATTTTGGTGTATTAGCACGTATCATAAGCAGAAAATTAGAATCTAAATCCATTTATCTTCTTTTTCGTTTGTCTTCTAAAATCCATTCAAAATGTCCCGACAACCGTACAAGTGTGGAAAATGAGAGTAAACAAAAAAAAAAAAAGCATGAAGCCGTGTCTTTTATTCTGCTTAACCATTGAGTGATTTTAAATTTATGGTAACCATTAAGTAGAGTGATTAATGATTTTAATTAAATTTGTTTTTCTTCCCTATCTCTAATAATGACTATTGTCGCACCTTCTCTTTCTCAAGCCTTCTCGTGCCATTTATAAACTGCCGATTCTTCTTCTTCGATCTCTCTCCGAATTTTTTCTTCAATAAATTTCGGAAGCTTTATCGATTTGTTTATATACTTGCTAGTTTTTGTTTTGCCCTTTTCGTTTCGCCATTCACGAAGTACTCGGAAGCGAAGAGGTATGTCTCGATAATTTTGATCATCGTTTTCCGGTTAATTTCACAATTGGGTCCGATTGCTCCGTTAAATTTCATCGGAATAACAGGTCTTTCTTTTCTCTTTTCAGGAAATTGAAATTTGGGGAATTTCTGGCTGATAGATTGGTGTTATTATGAATATCAGGTGAGATAGATTAAGAGGACAAACTGGGTGTGAAATTTCCGAATCGTTTCGATGTCGAGGATTTTGTTCTATCGTGATTTATATTTCCCCCGGGAAACTCGTTGCAGTTGTGATGTTGTGGTTTAGATTCTGAGTTTGAGGAAGCTCTTGTGTGTATTTTGTTAATTGGATTTTTGAACAAAGCAAGAAGCAAAAGGGGATTGCTCAGGGGTTTCGTTGAGGTGTGAGGGATGACTGATATCGATCCTCTGCAACAAAAATCGGAGTCTATGGATGGTTCCGGTGCTGAGTTCGATCGAGGTTTCGAGGATTTCATGGACGACTGCATCTCGTTCGAGTCGTGCAGCTCGGTTCACAGTCCAGGCAATGATGACCAAGAGGACGAACATCTTTTGAGGAGGAGGAGGAGGTCTGAGCTCCAAGGGGTTGATATAGCTGAATCCTCTGCTGCGAGAAGGCGGCAGTCGCGGATTCTGAGCCGTTGGGCTGCAAGGCAGGCTCAGGAGATGATCACCACCATTGAGAGGAGGAACCGCGAGTCCGAACTCATTGCGATTGCTGGCTTGCACGCTGTCTCCACGCTCGACTCTTCTTTCCTTAGGGAGTCGCAGTCTCTCTCTTCGAGGCGTCAGGCCGCTGATGCTGATGCTGCTGCTGTTGAGAGGCCTAGAACTCAAGCGTCCGGGATTTTGCAGATGTGGAGAGACTTGGAAGATGAACATGTACTGAACAGGGCGCGTGAGAGGATGAGGCTGAGGCGAAGAAATGCTGTTTTGCCTGGCTCTAATGCCTCTGAGAGCCAGGTGGGTGAAAACATTGAGAGCCTGAGGGGATCGAGTGAGAGTGAGAATGATTATGGGTCGTCCAGTAGAGAACAGTCTCCAGATCTTGGCGATGGTGGTGAGAGTGAGAGGGTGAGACAGGTTATGCGTGGATGGACTGATACTGGAATCAGTGATCATCCGTCTAATGTAAGACAGAGAGACGATAACCGTAGAGGAGAATGGCTCGGTGATACGGAGAGAGAGAGAGTCAGGATTATCAGGGAGTGGATGCAAATGACAAGTCAGCAGAGAGGAGCTCGTGCAAGTCGAAGGGAAGATCAACAACGATCTCTTGGCTCACAAGATGACAGGAATCATGAGACTTCACAAGTTCAGAGGGTCCGTGAAGGGTTAGCCCTTGAGAATGAGGAAGGGCGGCGGGAGCATACCCGTAGAGACTTGCGGAGACCACGAGGGAGGCAAGCGTTAGTTGATTTGCTCATGAGGATTGAAAGAGAGCGACAGGGAGAGCTTCAGGGTTTGTTGGAGCATCGTGCAGTCTCTGATTTTGCTCATCGCAACCGGATTCAGGTTTGTTCTTAGGACATCATCTTTCTCTTGCATACTTATATACAGGTTCTCTAGTTATTGTGATGAGAACTCCACATGATAGGACCGAAATGCATGCTTTGGACCCAACTTCTATCATATGGACTGCACATAGTACAGTATATAAGTTGTAAAATTAAGAGTGAGCTAAAGTTTTCCAGCATGATATGTTGCAAAAATTCTCGTAGCCCTTTAATAATGAAAATTTAGCGGTGTTTGTACTCCTGGTTGATAGAACCAAAGGCGTATTGTATGCTAAGACTGGGCTACTAACACCATATTAACGTAATGATAGAACCTTAGGTCCTTGTAACCTGATTTCTAACATTTGTACTCTTTGCCACAGTCGCTTCTTAGAGGAAGATTCTTACGGAACGAGACACCTGAAGAGGAAGTTAGAGCTCCATCAATTGCAGCAAGTGAACTTCGCCAGCTAAGAGAAAGGCATACAGTTTCTGGTTTGCGGTAACTTTTTTGTTCATTACCATTGAATGGTTAAACATTTTTTCCCATACTTGTCACATGGTCGACTGTGTGTCCTTGCATCTCATTTACCTTCCCTCACTCATTGGAGATATGCATATAATGGTTGGCTTTGCTTTTTCGACTTAACTTTTTGACATTTAGCTTACTCACAGCTAATTTCTCAATATTGATATTGATTGTTACAGGGAAGGATCCCGTGACAGGCTAGAAAGCAACACTAATGGCGATAACACCAATACTTCCACGAATAACCGAACAATAGCTAATACTGCTGTGGATTCTCAGCGGCTAAATGAGGGTTTAAATTCTTCTAGGCAGGGGAATGATACCCCCCTCTTACCTAATGATTTGGGCAGCTCGGGAAGAAACCGAGTAAATGCAGGTCAAAACAGGGTTGGGCCTGAAGTTTTCACAACAGACGAGAGGCAAAATCCGCTGCAAGCAACATTAAGCCAGTTCAGTGAAAGGGATAATGTTAACGCAGATCTAAACGGGCAAGAAATCTCAGTCAATGACCTGCACCACAATGAAAGTGGAAATTCAGATGAAACTATTGTAGTAGAAGGTCAGAGTGTAGGGCCTGCAGATAGCTCTAGACAATCTGATGGTAATTGGCCTGAGTCACGGTTTGGAGCCCCAAGGAATCGTCGTGTGGTATCAATGAGAAGATTAAACAGGCTCCATCTACCTGATGACGATAATGCTAACAGCATTGAACTTCGAGAGCTACTAAGCAGGTACAGAGATAGTGGATTCGTTTTCTCTGTTTTCCCAACAAATTTTCTGTCTGTTTAATGGAATTATTTTTCTTTCACCCTTGTAGGAGAAGTGTTTCTAACCTTCTACGTAGTGGTTTTCGTGAGAATCTGGATCAACTAATACAGTCATATGCTGAGAGGAGAGGAGGGCTTGCTCACGCGGACTGGGATTTGCAACCAGGAAGACCAGATTCTCTAGAACATCGTACAGAGCAACCAGGGTTTCTACAGCACGAGGATCAACTTGATGGCATCAGTCGATCACAAACGCTGTCAACTCCACCAATGCCACCACCGCAGCCGATATGGCATCACAGTAGCTACGCTCGTCACTCCTTGCATCGATCTGAACTTGTAAGCCGAAAATTTTCAGGCTTTTTTCCCCCTCTTAACAACTTTGTTTCTGGTGCTCTATCATGCAAATGGTGCATTAGCTCCTTGCGCCGCTTCAGTGATTTCTTGTTACTTTTAATGGTCTTAATGTGGTTGGTGCTGGTGAATAGGAATGGGAGATAATGAACGACCTGAGAGGAGACATGGCGAGACTTCAGCAAGGAATGAGTCATATGCAGAGGACTTTAGAGACCTGTGTGGATATGCAGTCTGAGCTGCAGCGTTTGGTTAGGCAAGAGGTTTCTGCGGCTTTAAACCGATCTACTGGTGACAAAGGTTTTGTTTCCCCTTTCTATCCAAAATTTATGCTTAGTCTACATATCGGACAATCTGTAAACTAAATGGATGATGCCATCAGGTCTTGAACCAGGAACATCCGAGGATGGGTCGAGATGGAGCCATGTAAAAAAAGGGACTTGCTGCGTCTGCTGCGATACCGACATAGATGCCCTCTTGTACAGGTTAAAAATATTTGCTTAAACCCGGTTTGTTTGTCATTTACATAACCAAAACAAGTGTCTGATATCATCTTTTGCGAATCTTTGAAATATGTAGATGCGGGCACATGTGCACTTGCACAAATTGTGGTAACGAGCTGGTCCGAACAGGAGGGAAATGCCCATTGTGTAGAGCGCCTATTGTCGAGGTCATCCGAGCCTACTCCATCGCTTAATCGCTCTGTAACTGGAGAAGAATGAAGCTAAAGAGAACGGGATTGTATTGATGTCTGAGTAAGAACAGGTTCAGAATCTTTGATATTGATTTATGTATCTTTTGCTCGATCATGCTGTCTCTAAACTCTTGAAGCATTGTCTCTGCAGATTGTTCCAGCGTTGTAAACTCTCTGAAAGGAATCCAACCAAGAGCAAATACATATTTATTCTGTCGTAATTAGGGCTATTTTTTTTAGTTACTGATTGTCATGTACCTCTGTGTTTAGAGAAAGTAGATAACTAATTGAGAGAAATTTCACAAAGATGATGGGATGAAATTATCATATTTGTGCATACAGATTCACCATTTCATGAATAGCTAATATTTTATGATACTGCACTTTTCGTTTAAAAATTAGTTTATTACAAATTTTACGGTTTTAAAAGCTAAAGCCCTGAAAGTCTACAAGACCGACTTTCCCTTGACACTATCCTCTTGGCTTAAGCCAGGAGACCCATTATCATCTTTGTTATCTCAAACCGACATGTAAGTTCAAATATAAGAAACCAATACCTAATGATAAACTCAAATTTCGATGGAGTTGGATGTTTGCAGCAGTTATATATTATTTAAATAATTTTTGTAAACAGATAACGATATCTCAAAGTCCTTCAAAAACACTGAATAGTAGGAAGTCTAAGAGCAACAGACACAAATGTGTAATGGTTCATGTATGAGCATATACTCGAATGATCTTTATGGTTTGATGAGATGTTCTTGTTTCATCTCGGTCATAATGGCTAAAGCCAAGTGATCATAGGCTTGAGACCAAGCTCCTTCCACTTCCTCATTGTATTTCTCCCCCAACCCTTCTTTCAATGTCCTTACCAATGCCTCTTTCACCACCTTCATTATTCACCCCGACACTCATTAAATTTCTCTTACAAATTGAAAATCAATGAAAACAAATATTAGTTAAAAAAAAGAAACCTCAAAGTGAGGATCAAGAACGCCGCTTTTGAGATGAACAGAGCCCAAGTATTGGAGGGTTGTGTCAGCCACAACCACCTTTCCTTTCTCCCTCAGCTGTATTGCTGTTTCACATGTCTACACCCACAAATCAAATATTAGAATTTTTTTTTAAAAATTCACAGATTTAAAAATGGTTAAAAACTCAGGTTTTTGTTTTAAATAGCTTTTTAGTAGATATATCAAAACTAAACCAGTGGTTTTTTCTATTCAGCTATACCCACACAAATAAAGGGGTTCCAGAAAGCGAACCGAACCACTTGGATTCTTCAGTAACGTTTATATGTTGATAGGAAAGTGGTGCGTTTGTTTTAAGTGGATTTTATGAAGGAGCCACTCAATATATTTTAATTATTCTTTACTAATATGAGTTAACATTATTTTATCTCGACGAAGAAGACAAAACCAACTAGCCAAGTCCAAACAAGATAGACCGCAAAATCGTATGCACATGGCTACGTAAAGAAAAGAAAAGCATATTCATATTATTTTCAATAATATATCCTTTGATAGACTCAATAAAATTTCGTAGTTTGTATAATTGAATCATTTTAGTTTAAAACCCCTTAATCTAAGAAGGCTAATTAAGATCGATTCTATATATGCAAGTGATCCACACATACATGTAGAGTATATATATATCACAAGTAAGTAATTACCATCTTGAAGACTTTAACAGCATGAGCTTTGAGTTTAGGGTTGTTGTGAGGGACTTCATCTGAGCCTCTTAGGAAAGAAAACATATCCTTAACCGCTGGTGCTATCTCCAGTATCCTATATATCATCATTATATTGTTTATTAGCTCACATACAGTATATTATATAGACAACATATAGATATTACATATATGCTTTTATACATATATGTATATGTATGATTACTGTGAAAAGAAGTGAAGGCTGTATTTAGGGATGTCTTGCTTCAGTATCTCCCAAGACTCCTTCACCAAAGCTTCTTGCTTCTCTGTAAACACAATTTCTCCCATCTCTCTCTCTCTCTCTTTGAGAAACAAATGTTGTATGTGTATGAGTGTATCTCTATATAATGTGTGTGTGAGGTTTTTTGTCAACGTTTGGGCCTTGTAATTCAGTTTAGGTTCTATTATTGGGTCATTGTCTATTTGGGTCATTATAATAAATTTACAAGTGAGCCTTAAATCTCTCTGAACATTATCCAAACTGTAAGTTTATCAATCTATATAGTATTAAATCCGTAATTTATCTAAACTGCGTTAGTGTAATCGGTTTGGAAAACAATTCGATTCGATGTTTAGCTTTTCTATGAACAAAGTGCAAGCATGTCCAACCCAAACAAGCCAAATTTAGGCTTTGGGATTTTATTTCAATATTAATTTTGGTGGCCCTTTTTTAGTAAAATGTTCTTTGTACTCTTGTGGTTGAAGAACTTTGTTGTGGGGACGTGGGGGAAGAAAGATTGGAGTTTGATTCCTTCCTTTTTCAATTTCCTTGGCCTCGCTAAGCCATTAACAAACGATCCATGCATGACTTGAACGTGAGAGGCAGCTGAAAGTGACGTCATAAAAACCCAAAGTATATACACGTTATATGCATATTTAACAATAAACCAAAACCAAACAAAAGTGAAATTTGATTCAAGTCGGTAAGTTTTTTTCTTTTTTACCAAAACAAGTCCGTATAATTTCCAACTAACAGAACCAAAGTGGTAAACTAAACAATGCCGAAGTTAGTTAAAAGAAAACAAAAATCAAATTGGTGTAAAACAATAACCGACAAACAAAATTGAGGTGATATTTTTGTTTGGTTTCAAAAATAAATCTCTCAAGAAACAAAACAAATAAATTTATTAGTCAAGAACTGTAGCTCCTCTTTAATTTATCAAAAAAGAAAAGAAAAGAAATGTAGCTCCTCTTACATGCGACATGATGGTACCATATACTTTTGTTTGTTAAAAGATTCAATATGGTATACTTAAATAATAAATAACTCAAGCTATAATAGTAGTATAAGTAAAATAGCTCAAGCAATCATGAAGAAGTAAAAAAGAGTAGCTTGTGTTCGAAGACAATTACTTGTTCGATGCGTAGACATGGCTCCTCCTTCGTCGCAGGACCATATCATTACTTTATATTTAATTACCATTCAATTTTATTGGTCTAATGAATAACGCTCATTAATTCCATTTTGGTCGCAGGTCCATACAATTACTCTATATTTAATTTCCATTTAATTTTGCTGGTATGTGAGTAATCTTCTTCCTTCTGTCCGCCAACGAAAATAATTTAAAATTGTTGATTCTCAAAGAAAAAAATTAAATTAAATTGTTGAAAGAGACAACACTTCATTTTTCTTTTTGTTATATAAAAAATACTAACATAACTGAAAAAAGTAAGTAGTATATACTAAATAATCTAATAGACGAAAAAATACTGCAAAAAGTAATCAAAACTACAAAATAAATACTATATTTGTTAGATCCCTAATTCACGCTGATATAAGTTTTTTTGCAGAAAGAATCAAGTTATTATAGTTCACTAAGCATCGCTTTATCTTATTATTGTAAATTTTACTGAACAACTGCAAATTATGAAAAGGTGTGGATTTAACATGTTAACACATGCATAATTCCCGGGAATTAAAAAAATCAATTATTATTGTTCACTAAGCATTGTAAATTTTACTGAACAACTGCAAATTTTGAAAAAAAAGTGTGGATTTAACATGTTAACACATGCATAATTCCCGGGAATAAAAGAAAACATAGCTTCATTTCAATTATCTTCTAACAGTTCCTTAAATAAAATCTGATGATGATATTGGAGATCGTAAGGAATTAGACAATGAGTATCAACTTCGATCTTTGAAATCTTTAGATTATATTTTCGTATTGATACTATACAAAATGAATTGTAAAATATCTACAGATCCCAAAGTTGCGTCCGTCGCTCTACCGGCCGGTCAAAATGTCAGAAACAAGCATGAATTTCAGATCAATGAGTCTGATCGATTATAGTATAACTTAGTTAATTATACATGTGCACGTTTTTTTACCGAGCAAATAAAACATTGGTTAAAATAGATATTTGCGTATATCAAGGCTTCATCACCTCTTCGTTGTTGCTTTCACAACATAGGACACGCAACTTATACATCTTCTACCAAATTAACACCTAAAACTTCTAAACGCCACTAGCATTTTTGTATTAACTAAATTAACTGATATCATCTAAACGCCACTAGCATTTTTGTATTAACTAAATTAACTGATATCATCAATATATATATATATATATATATATATATGTGGTATGAAATTTTGTTTCATTTAATCTCCCTTAGTTGGTTGCATCAATGCAATGATTTCATGTTTAAAGTAAACTTTACCACCAATATAGCTCATGAAGAATTGCTGTCACTAGTTTGATATCACAATAACTTAATACAGTATGTTGATATAACGAATTTTAAATATACTTTTAATTTAATATCAGAAAAATGCGTCGTAACAAAACAAAATTTCTTGTGGCTGCAGATATTTTAGTTAGTTCAGAATTTATTGGTCTTATTAAGCTCATTTGTTCAGTAGTAGAAGTCGAAATATTTAATTATCGAGTTTTTGTTTGGTCGAAATATTTAATTATCGACTTGGACATACTGTAAAATTACTTCTTCTTCTTTTTTTTTTTTTTTCTTCTCATGGGCTCGACGATAATAAGTCGGTCTTGTCTCTTATAAAATATAAATGACATAATAAATATCCCAATTATTATTATAAAACTTGGCAATTGGAATTGAATTTCATTTATTACGGTATTTACATCATCGACCCCTCCATGCGAAATTAATATGCGGTTGCAGAAAATTATCCATCCATTTTAAAACTAAAAAACTTGTAGTCATGATTTTTTTTAAAAAATTATATATAATTTCACGAGATTTCCAGTAAAACTGTAAAAACGAAAATCTTGAACTAAAGGCTCATCTTCGCGCACAATAAGGATAGCTTCTCCGCCGTTTCGCGGTCATCGACGTGTCACTATAAACGGAGGAGAAGAAACGGTCAATCTCTTCCCGATTCATAATAATCTCACAAGTCGACACTAAAAGCTTCCTCTTGCACGATCTGATCATCATAGCCGCCGTAGCCGACGGTTTTGACGGCGGTGGCCGGGGTTTTCGCGGCGGAGGAGGTGGAGAGTCGACAACGGAAGGAATCTTGTGTTCTTGAGATGTGGGTGTGCTGCAGCTAAAACCATCGTCGTCATCGCCGTCGTTGTTGTTTCTAGAAGTTTTGGATCGGATCTTAATGGTCGATGGGAATTCGAATTTGGAGAGATCTTGTAATAACTCAAGATCCATATCTGTAATTGTGTGTGTGAAGGTTTTTGTTTGTTGGGGAAACTTTTTTTTTTTGTGTGGATGTAGAAACTAGAAAACTTGTTGGAGAAGTGAGGTTGAGAAAGGTTTGTTATATGTGTTTGTGTCTTTACATACACGTATACACACACACATAAAGTTAGAATGTCGCATTTAGAAATGAGAGTTACTTTTTGACATGGAATAGAGAAGATTATTTATAAATGGAGATAAGTAAGGTAAAACCTATACTATATGGGAAAGGAGAGTAGACGTAGTTTTCCGAATTTAGAAAATTATAGTATTACTAGGGAAGGGATGATTAGTTAGTTACCTCTTACTTGTACAGTTGTGTTTGTATGTTTGCATGTACAACTAGACCACATGTGGTTTACCTAATTTTCTGAATAATTTCTTTTCTATTAATGAGGTTTTTTAATGGAGCACAATAATAAATACTAGGGGAAGATTTGCACCTCCCAAAAAAAAACGAGGGAGAGAGATAAATATTTAAGATGAAACGCAAACTATTTTTGTTAGATAAAATTGAATATATGTAATAGTTTTTATTTGGAAATTAAGATGCCTCACTATTTTCGACAAATGTTTAAAAGAATCTGTGGTGACATGTAGAATCTGTCGACAAATGTTTTTACTTTTCATAAGTAAAAATCTCACCGTCACAGAAAAGTAGCATCTGTATAGATCAGTTAAAAAAATGGAAATTAGTAAGGATTCATAGAAGGAAACTGTCGAAATATTACAACTTTTTTTTTGCGGTTGTGTTATTAATTGTACTGAAAACTTTATAGAAAAAAATACTTATTGAAAAGTAATACAATTACAAACTATCTAATAAAATTCTTAAAAAGGGTTGTTGCCCGAATATTAGGATTTGTAATTTAAATTTTGATGAATAATGTTTTTTGAAAAGTTTTAAAAAACTCTGGGAATTTAAGACTAATTGTTTTCGCAAATAAAAAAAAAAGACAGATGAAACTCTAGAGTTTGGAAGACGCAGTACTGAGATTGAATCAGCGAGGGCCACAACGAATAAAACAAACGCAAATGGTGTTCTCGTACCATTGGTCTCCCATCTAAAGACGTGTGGGTTATGGTCTCAGCATCAACATTAAAAGTGTGTATCTACAGAAACTTTTATATCTTGATAAAAAAAAAGAACTTTGACAAGTAACTTAATAGTAATTTATACCATTATAAGTAAAGTACAAAAAATACAAGTATTATATACATACAAAATTCGAGATCAACGTAACGTAGATCCCAAACATAAAATTTGGTTGAATGCATGTGTCTGTCTTGTACCTATTACAGCCTAAAGACAAGGCATGTGTTCAGATTTAAACACTAGTCCATGCATGATGCATCACATAATATATTATGTAAACAAACTGATTACTCTCAGTTTTTTTATTTCTTTATTTCTTTGTTAATTAAATGTTCCAATGTAAGAAGTTGTTGTATAATTTTTATGTGACATTATGATTTCAATATATACGATGGACCCACAACGTTTTACACGCCGAGTTTAAAAATGTAAAAACTATATAAAGCCCTTTACCACGCCATACTAGTTTTCGTAGATAATTATGATTCATTTCCTATTAGTGATTGCGTTTTCCGACCTGGATTTTAGGTCCATATATTTGTTTCATAAGATATAATAATGAAATTGCAACCGAATATAGTTGTAATAGGTTTGGTACGATTTAGCTTTAGTTT